AAAGACACAAGAGAAAAGGGGAGAAGTAGTCTTCTTCTTATTCATCTTCTTCCTTTGTACAATGGGGTGCTCTATTTATAGGCACATATATATAACCTTTACAATCCCATCAATCTATGCACATGAATGTGATATAATAATCATGAAGATGATTCATTTTCATGATCAATGTAGAGAGGTAAATACCTGCTAACGTAACATCTCATATGGAATCCAAAGTAGCATCCAATGTAGAATCCAATGAACATCCACAATACTACATAGTTTCATAATACTCCCCCTTGGATTTCCATTTATTAAGAATATGCCTCATTAATACCTATAGGAAAACCCCTATGGGATAAAATCCCAGTGAAGGAAAAAGAGTGCATAGTCATAATACGCTATCTGAAACTACCTCAATAAAAACCTTAACAGGAAAATCATTGGGAAAAACCATGGTTAATAAAAAAGAGTGCAGTGTGTATATGCTCCTCCTCATGACAACATTGAAGTGTAGTTTTGTGAACAAAACTTTCAAATATAGTCATGGTAAGTTTCTTAGTGATCAAATCTTCTAGATTGTCACTTTATGCATGATCTAATGAGACCATTTTCTTCAAACATGATCTTAGGATCATTTTCTATGAAGATAGTCCACAACCAGAATTCATTTAGACGTGTTGAGTCACAAATCTTAACCAAACAGTTCATAACATGTCTCATGAATGCTACCTACTGTGCATAATCTGATGATGTAGCATTTATGATTCATCTTTGATTCTCATCGTTACATAAAAGATACATGAGCGCTCTAATGATATTAATATCTGGTACTTCAAGACTTAATCATTCATTTATGTCCAAAGGCCTAAATGAAACATTGGTCACTTCTAGACCTTATGATCATTAGGTTGAATGTATGTCATTTTTCATACAATATATCTTTTTCACTATTTCAAGATCTTCTTGATCCACAAAAAGGATCTTCTGAAATCATTCATGTTTGATTTCTGTCTCTTGGTTAGGAATGGCAATGGGCAGGTCCGGGGCGGGTATCTCGATACCCATACCCGCCCCGCGACAGGTTGGGTTCAAGTCGGGTAATTTATTATGGATCGCGAGTCGAGGCAGGTCGATCCAATAGGTATGCAATTTATGTGAAAAATATTATAAATATTCATTATTTTCATTATAAGACCAAGAAAACAAACCATATAATGATAAATGTAGATAAATTATCGTAGAAATTAATGTTTTCACTAATTTACAACTTTATTATAGCTAAAATATGATATAATAAAAGAAAAATCCTAAGTAATTTGACTAAGATTACACGCAATTTAGGCAAGAGCAATTCGAAAATGGTGCGGGTCAGGGCAGGTCGGGTCGACCAGGCGGGGCGGGTCGGACACACCCCAAAACAGTCCAAACGGGTCGGGTAAAACGGGTCAGGTCGAAATTGCCATCTTAGCAATCTATGGCTTCATGAAGCTCTTTTGGAGTTCTAATAATATTTGTATCAAACTAATGTAAGATCGTTACGAAATAATGTCTTGACTCTTTTCTTCTATATAACTATAAAAATTAACTAACACAATTGTATGCAAGCAATTATTTCATAGTCCATACTTCAAGATCACAATCAAAACCACGTCATACACACAACATCAATTAACCAAACTACTCTCATAAATCAAAACACATACATAAAAATAAAACCAAAATATCACATACATAAGCTATATGTCAATACACAATCATAGATGGAAAATGCAAATGCTCTAATGCTTTAGATGAATATGCCACATTCATCCATTTTGTCTCAATCTATACAAGATATTATTTGATCGATCGATATTGTTCTCAAGAACATCATATGTATGCTTCTAACAAATAAACCTTCAAGGAAAATAGTATAAATATTATTATCAAGGGATCCATACAAATAAGTTGCCACACATTTATCATATGCATATTTAATTCTTCACAAGCTGCTAGACTAATTTAATTTTCAAAACTGATTGCATCCACCACAGGGAGTACGTCTCCACTTCAACAATGGTAGGTTTGTACGAGAAACCTCTTACCACAAGTTGTATTACATCTATCACAATTTCATACATTTTCTTACATGTTTGCAAGAAAACTCATTCATATCCCGTTATTTTTACGTCTTTAGGTGTAAGGACTTCTGGTCCAAAAATTTTATCAAATAAGTCTAATGCTTTCTTTTGTATTGGTTAATAAGTATTCCTTTGTATGCATAACTAGACTTTTACTTTTGATCCTCTTTGTATCTATCATGTTAAGCTCTGTAGCATAATCAAAACCCTTGTCGACAATCGTCGGTGTTCAATCGTCGTCGAGATCGGAGAGATTGGGAGGGCAAGGTCGCGGGCGTCGTATGTGCCTTCTTCATCCTGGGCAGTCTCTGCATCGTCTTCCTTGCAGCTTGGCATACTGGTGATGGCGAGTTCCAACTACAATTGCGCTTGGAGAAAGAGAAGCAGACATGCAAGTAGGGTGGGCACGTGTGTGGTGAATCCGCGGATTGATATCGATCCACCCGCAAGCTATGGATGATTGATGTGGGTGGATTGCGGAGTGATAAATTTCCCACCTGCGCTTATGTGGGTGGGTGGTGGATTGATTGCGGGTCACCCAAATGACCCACATTCTATTTTTACATAAATAAATGTTGTTTATTATAGTATCGAATATTCATAAAATTTTCGAACCGCACTACAGTCTGACCATATACTTCTAAAGGTGGAGAATAAATAATAGTTTTGACTACTGTTATTGGTTACTGTATTGTGTAAAGTTCATTAGATATTGGATACTGGAATTCAAACTATAATTAATATCCATTAAATATTGGGATGAAAACTATAAATTATTAAGGTTAAATACACTTGTATATCCAAAACTTTCACGGTTGTGCCAATAATATCCAAATTTCCCGAAATACCACTTATATCCAATTCCTTCACATTCTTTAACGGTGTTTTTTTATATACAAGTGTATTTAACCAAAAATATATTGGGAAATGGATAGATTTGGCAAAGAAAAACTTTAAAACATGGATATAAGTGGTATTTCGGGAAATTTGGATATTATTGGCACAACCGTGAAAGTTTTGGATATACAAGTGTATTAAACCAATTATTAATTGCATCAAAATCACAATATCCGTAAGTTTTCTCTAAACAATTGGTGGATAGAGTAGTAAATTTTTTGATGCAAATGCTACATGAATTCACTTGAGACAAAGTGAGAAGTGTCTAAATTGATACAATCGTACTAATTTGCTATAAACTTATTATAAATATTATTCAAATTTCTTAATGGCTACTCGGAGAATCAATTTTGCGGGTTAACTCATGACCCAAACGCACCCATTCGCCACCCACCCAATCCGACCCATAAGATAATGTGGATGGAATGCGGGTCACAATTATTCCAACTCGTTACTAAACGAGTGGGTCAATTTTATACGGAAACTCACTCAACCTACCTATTTCTCACGAGCAATTCTACTATGCTATATAGTATTGGTGCTTTAATGTACAACTTGAAGTTGTACCATAACATTAAATGTACAAGTTTAGGTTGTACCATAAAGGAATTTGTATCATTAAGTTATGGTACAACTTTACAACTTGAAGTTGTACCATCACATAAGGTACAAGTTTAAGTTGTACCATAAAAGAATTTGCACAAAAAGTATAGGTACAATCTGAAGTTGTACCATAACATTAAATGTACAATTTCAAGTTGTACCATAAAGGTAAAAACCTATAGCACCAATACTATATAGCATTGTAAAATTCTTCATTTCTCACCCCTACATGCAAAGAGAAATCCAACTATTTTTTTGATTTGTTCGAAAACAAAGAAGAACGACGAGGGAGAGAATTTTGGTGAGGGGAAAGGGAAACAGGGAGAGAGCTAGAGAGATCGAGAATAAAGGGGAGAGGATTTGCTTTCCTTGTTTTTTTGGTGTCCATTTAATTCCCCACCCCCTTTTATTTCCGCCAGTGTTCCGTCGAGCCGAACCAAAATTTGCGGTTGAGGCTAACCGATCTGCATATCGGTTGCGATGTCGGTTGGTCATTTAGAGGCATATCGGCTTCCGTTTAACTAAGAATTCAATTCGAATAAATCGAAACCGAACCGACTATCACTCCTATCCATTTTGATGTGACTTTATAAACAGTAATTTTAAGACTCGTTAATACCAGGTTCAACCCGCTTTAATCGGGTCGATTATTTTGTTTTTGTGGGTGTGGGAATAAATAACATAACTAAAATGCAAAAGCAAAGAAGCAAACTTTTCCTAAATAATCCTTCAAACTTCCACTAAAGCATAAGAATGGCACTCGTGTAAAACTCGTCCTCGACCCAAAATTCGTCAATACTGGGTCGAAGTAGATTGAATACCATTTGGGTTCAATTGTATTAAAAGAATTAGTTAGAAAATCCAAAAACCGTTAACACCGAGTTCAATTCACTTAACCGGCTCGAATTAGGTAATGGCATTGATTTAAGCGTGTAAAACTCGTTTTTGACCTAAAATGCATCAACAAAAATAATAAAATAAAAATAATTAAAGTTTAAATTTTAAAATGACAGCAAAGGCAAGTGGGCGAGTTTTTAACAAATTCACCACGACCCAACCCTTTAATTACAAAAGAGTGCAAAACTCATCCTCAACCCAAAATTCATTAACATTGAGTTGAACTCGCTTTAGCCGAGTTGAATTAGGTCAAATACCATTGATTTAAGCGTGTAAAACTCGTTGTCGACCTAAAATTTGTTAATACTGGGTTCAACTCACTTATTAATAAAAAGAAAACAAAATAATGGAAGTTAAAAATATTGGCAAAGGCAAGTAGGACGAGTTTTTAATAAAGTCACATTGACTCAACCGGGCAATTACAAAAGCATGTAAAACTCGTACTCGACCCAAAATTCGTTAACACCTGAGTTAAACTCGCTCTAACTAGATCGAATTAGGTCGAATACCCATTGATTTAAGCGTGTAAAACTTGTTGTCAACCAAAAATTTGTCAACACCGGGTTAAACTCACTATAATCGAGTCGACATTAGGTCGAATACCATTGATTTAAGCGTGTAAAACTCGTTGTCGACCCAAAATTCGTCAACACTGGGTTCAACTCGCTTTGTCGACCCAAAATTCGTCAACATTGGGTTCAACTCGCTTTTACTGGGTCGAGTTCCTTCGAATACCAATTGATTTGGGTTGAATTTGGGTACAATTGTCATAATTATATTAATTAGGTAAAGCACGTAAACTCGTCCTCAACCGAAAATTCGTTAACACCGAGTTCAACTCGCTCGAACCTGATCGAATTAGGTCGAATCCCTATTAATTTAAGCATGCAAAACTTGAAAAATTCGTCAACACCAAGTTCAACTCGCTTTCTATTGATTTGGGTTGAATTTGGGTTCAACCTCAATTGCACAAAAACTCATTGTCGAAAATAAATTCTTCAACACCAAGTTCAACTCGCTTTAATCGGATCGAATTAGGTGAAATTTGTATTCAATTGTCATAAGTTAATTAATTAAGACCTTAATCATAATGACACAAACCTTGTTGGAGGAGTTATTTTGATATTTTTAGCATTTTTTTTAGTGAGTTGTTGGAGATGGTCTTAATTACAAAAAGAACACTTTTTTATGTGAGTCTATAAAATTAGGGGTGGGCAACGGGAAACGGGTACTTGAGTATACCCATATCCGTCCCATTTTTTTAGTGTTACGGGTACCCAGATACCAGTTTTTTCTAACAGGATGGGATTTGGGATCAATGATTTCTACAACAGATACCCACGGGTTACCCGTTAGTACCCGTTTGTATAATACGGGTACCTGTAGTACCCGTTAGCAAAAATTTCTACAATAAACATTACATCCCCCCCCCCCCCCACCCCCACCCCCAAGTTTCCATCCCACCCCACCCATACGTACAATTGATTGAACCATAAATCCAACTGATGGTTCATTTCATTTCTCATTCCACCCCTTTCCAGTGCAAACTCTGCTTCCTTCCTTTGTTTAATCAATTCAGCACAACATGACTGTGCGTACACAGACACTAAATGACTACTGAAAGCCAAAAGCCATGTCCATTCTATTTCACACTGTATCTCTGCATCTGTCGTGTCGAACTAAGATGGTATGTTCAATAGTATCCGTTAACCCTAATCCGAACTTCTGTCTTATAATTATCACTAAATGATTAGTGATACATCCAGCTTCTGAAAGAATCCTGCGTTATGCATGTTCATTGAACTGAAATTCCCACGTTCATTGAGTTGTATGTTAGCTCTACAGAATTTTTCCCTTCTCATTTGGACGGGCATGTACGAGTAGTTTGGATACCCGTTAACCCTTATGGGTTTAGAATATGAGATGTACTTTGCTCTTTAAACGGAATTGGGTACCCGTTCCCCACCCCTGTATAAAATAGTGTTCCAAAACTTTTAGTTTTAATTATCAACAATATCACATATATAATATATCACAAGTTCACTGTCCGCAAGATGCAAAGCTGCGGCAAGGTTGGTTCGCTTTGTTGTCGATACCCCGCTCCGCTAGTATTTCTGATTCTGACAAGCATTAATGGAAACCGATGAAGTTTTTGAAGTCGAAAAAAACCGGAGAGTTGATCACAAGTTCTTTTCATGGCGGTCAAAACAGAAGTGGCCATATGCCATCCAACGCCATCAACGATGGGAACCCAAAAAGATACATATTCTGCTCAAGCACGAACATAACAAGCCACCATGTTTATCTACACATAGAACCTAACGGGACGAAGGCGGCCTGCTGCATCCTCGCCATTATTTCCTGGTTACAAAATATTCACATCCATCCAGTTAAACAAAAAACACACTAGCACTACCAACACTTAAGCAGCGGCGGAGGCTTTCTTGGCCCTCCTAGCAGCTGGGGACCTGATGGATCTTGGCTGCTTGACCTTACCAGGAGTCGATTTCTTGGGCTTCAAAGCGGCCGGAGTCTTCTTCCCTATCTCGGGCTTGTTCACAGACCTCGTCTTCGTCCTAGGCTTCTTGGGCTTTGCAGTTGCTGTGGTTATCGACTTCTTGGCAGTGGCAGTAGCGGTAGCAATAGCAGCTTTAGTTGGAGCAGTCTTGGGACGGGATTTCTTCTCCTTCTTCCCAGATTCAGAAAGCTTGTAGGAGGCCCTGATTTTGGTAAGCTTCCCCTTGGCTGCAGAATTCTTGAGCTGCAGAGCTAGTGTCTTCCTGAAATTCGCTGGCAGAACCGCCTTGTGCTTCTCCTCCATGAACTTGGCTATGGCGTACGGGCTGGACCCGCTCTTCTCGTTCAACGCCAACAGAGCATCCTTGATCATCTGCCTCAAATCAAATCGATCATCAACCCCGATCTCAGAATATAATCGAATAAATAAAATTGTGAGGCCAAAAAGAATGAAAGCCCACAAGAAATCAAATCAAACCAAGTCCGATTACCTGGAAATATGGAGGATGAGAGGCAGTTTTGGGCTGCTTAGGCTTCTTCTTCTCCTTGGGAACAGCATCTGCAACCAACTTAGTTTTCTTCTCCCTCTTCTTCTCCTTCTTGTTTCCTGCCTCCTCCTTAGCGGGCGGATCTTCCCCTACCGGAATCTTCTCCTCCTCCGCCACCGGGGGCACCTGCTCTGCTTCAGCTACAACAGGGACAGGGCCCTGAACTTGCTCTTCCGTTTTCTCGGCCATATTTCTCTACGCTCGCAGCAATCGAAACAAACACACAACAACGATCGATCTTGCAAAACAAAGCTGATAGGGTTTGGCTGTGTTTTTTTGGCGTCACTGGGGGAGTCGGTTTTCGATTTATAGTCGGCCAGAAATCGAAGCGAAGAGCCCAGACGTCGTCGCTGATTGGTGGAACTGGTGTGCAGCTGATTGCCAGCGTGGTGACAAGGAAAAATCCAGAACGTCCACGTACGGGTACAGAACCAAGCTAATCTACGGTCCTTCCTTCGACTGCGTAAACAATAGGCGGAAAGAGGGATAAGATTTTATGATATCCGCCCACTTAAAAAAAGCAAACCTTCAGCGCTGGTTTTGGTTTTCTTATGTGCAAACGGAACAAGTAGGCAATGCGCGCAGGTTCGGGGCGAACATCTCAATACTGATACTTGTATCACGCAGCGGCGGATTTAGGGGCCGTTCTTGAGCCGCGGCCCAGCCCTCTTCTGGATTTCGAACTAGTATAGTTATTGTAATTTCTGATTTTTGGTATTCGTTTTAGTGTTTTTCACGCTATGGCTCAGTGCTCTTCGTCTTTTTTCAAAGATGGCCAAGTGCTCTAACCTGTCCTGGATCCGCCGCTGGTCTCGCCACAGGTCGTCACAGTTTTGGTAATTCATTATGAATCGGGGCAGGTCAACCCATATGGATATATGCAATTTAAAAGAAAAACATTAGAAATACTCATTTTTTTCATTAAAAACATAAGAAACAAACTAAAACATGATAAATATAGTTAAATTATTTGAAAAATTGGGATTCTCACCTATTTACAACTTTGTTATAACTAAAACATGAGGTCATAAAAGTAAAATCATAACAGCCTGTTGGATTGACAAAAAAGTAAGAAATTGGAATTCCATTTCCATATATTATGTTTGGAATAATAAAAAAGGTTGAGAATTGAATTCCATTGGGTCTAAAATTTGGGAATTACAATGCCTATCAAAAGTGATATGAATTGAGAGAATGAAGATGAAATTAGCATGGTCCAGGAAACTGGATCGTACCGTCCGGTTCAACCGTAAACCAGATCAGAAGCGACACGGTAGCCTGATGGTGGTCGTTTTACCGTACCGGCCGGTTTTTCCGGCTTAACCGACACAAACCGGAATACCGTCCGGTTCCGTACTAACCGACGATAGACTTATTGGAACAAAAACGTCGCTGTTTAACTCACTTAAAACAAAAAAATAAAAAAGACGTCCTTTCTTCCATAGCAATTCCCAAAACTTAATTGTCTCTGCCTCGATTGTAATTTGTAACCCGACCCCATCTCCATTCCCGTTCCCTGCCTCCACTCCTCGGACAAATTTAGCTAGATCGACGCTTTTGGTCGATTTGGGTCGGCCTTGATCGATTTCTCACCGGCGACACGAGACAGAGGGAGTAGATCGAGAAAACAGGCCGAACAAAGAGGAGGTAGGTGAAGCAAGGAAGAAAGGGGAGAAAAATTTGTGTTATTTCTCTTTTCCTCCATCGTTTTTTAGAGAGGGGCAAAATAAAATTGGATAGAATGAAAGTTGGAGAATATGATTTTGTTCTGTTCATTTTTCAGAATGGGAAGAGGGGGAGAGAAGGCCGAAGGGTTGCAGAGTGAAAGTGAAGTATGTGGCGCCTAAGGTTAGGTATCCCTTTCATTCTTTATATATCTTGCAGAATATAATAATCAGCCCTTACTTTTTAACAAAATTACTTCATTTGCCATCACATCATCTTTTGTAATAGACAACGGCCTATTTCTCATCAATCTAACTAGCTTTTTACCCGGCCCGTTGGCCGGAGAGTTTCATTTTATCGTTGACATTAATTCAATTTATCTATATGTTTAATCTATTTTAGACCTTCTAAATTTATTATATTTTGTATTGATAAGTGAGTATGTGGTGTGTCTATATATTGAAAACTAGCTTTTTACCCGCCCATTGGGCGGCGCATTCGTATTGGTGTTTTCGTTTTCATTCTATTATTTTTTTATGATTTATGTATGTTAAACTATTATACATTGAATTATTAATATAACTTACTTGATCTTAGGTATTGTTACAAACTTTTATATCTTTCGTTTATTCATAAAATTTTGATTTTATTAAATGAGTTTTCGGTAGATCTTTCTTTATTTATTTATAAGTTGTTATCGAACCCACAATTTAGAATATAAACATAAAGTATTATTAATCTTTTAGCACAATAGTGACAAAGAAGTTTGAAAAAATTAAATAAGCAAATATGTTCAATTAATAAAAAAATAAGCAAAGAGCTTTTCATTCTTCTTCCTTCTCGTACGTTGCTATATGATAATATATTATATCGTGCTCTAAATCCCACGAATATCGTACACTATCAGTTACTTGTGCAATTTTGGAAGAATGAGGAAACACATTAGCATCCACATCAATAATCTCCTACTTATTCATTTAATTTATCTTCAAAATGTTCTAGCATAACCAATCAAAAATAAAACTATTAGTTGTCACTATTTTATTAAAATGATATTTTTCAGCAAACTAAATTGCATATAAACACAATTTATATTTGTAGAGAACTACATACACCCTTCAAAAAAACAATGGTTAATTTTTTTACCTAATAACAACATAGACAAATTGTAAAAGTTGCATACTCAACGCATTGTATCTTGTAAAATCTTCATTCATGAAAACAATTGATGCATCAATCCAAATAGTTGTAGTTAAGAAAACGATCAGGCCAAAATTGAGTTTTAGTTAGGGATTCAATTAGGAAAAATTTCATGCTAAGGAAACAAACAAATGTCATTGCAAACGCGTAGAAATTGAAAGAACGTCGACATAGACAACTTAGAGACTACCACCATCATTTTCTTTCTCCTTCGCACCTTTATAAAACCTCACATATGTTCCCTTCTACTTATAACCCCCTGCTACATTTTACTTACTGGCCAGATCATAATCATATAGGTAGTAGCATGTCACTCATGAACATAATAAACAACTCTAACAACTCTGCTTTCAATTTTATCATCCACGAAATTGGTATGCAATAGGCAAGTAAAATGATCAATTATTCAACCAAAGGAGAGATACTCTAAGTCCAAGCAATAAACCATTCCAATTGTCTATTACATGTTTACATAAAAGTATACAATATAGAGAACCATAAAATAACTAACTGAAAACCCAAGAGAAATACATTCATTGATTTGAGCATAAAATTTTACCATCAAGCCGTTGTAATCTAGAAGAAATTAAGAAACAAATGGAAAGAAGAGTTTAATATGGCCAGTCAACCGCAAACAACCACATATCTCTAGGAAAAAGAGACCAGTTGTCAACTACAAATTAAGGGTGAGGAGGGAGCAATGAGCAATCATCGACTTCATTTAATTCATCTTCGCAATGATAGGATGAACTTTTTTAGTCAATCGTCAAACATATGTTACAGATGCTCAATTGTATCCCATCTAATCATTGTCTCATGTAACTCCACCCTCATATTCTCTTACAAAGAGTAAAAACTCAACATGCCTTACTATTTCCTTTCCTGTATCTGTTTGAAAAAAGTAGAGAAAAGAAATGCTAGAAATCTTAGGATTTTGAGGAAATAAGAAGAGAGGTTTGTTTGTTTTTATGTGGCTTGATCCAATTTCTTTATTTTCAATGTTGCACTTTATTTTTATAGAGATGATTTGTATGAGAAAAGGAATAGGAACAAACCAAAATGTTGCATTATGTGTTATTAACTTAATTTACATTTTATTTATAATAATACCAATTTAAAGAGTAAACAAAAAATTATATAAGCAAGAATTAGAACTTGTCCACTATGGAAGGATGAGAGCTAGCCATTTGTTGATATGGCACTAATTTAGTTTTAAATTCCTATACGATTAAGTAATGATGATTTATAATTTTTTGAATTTTTTTTATAAAATTTTAATAATTCATACAATTATTGTGACATTTCACATACATGTGAATTCTGGGATGTATTGTAGACAAATTTATTGTAAATACAACTTGCTTACTGTTACAAAATAGAAAATTCCTATTTGATACTTTGATTTTGAAAAAGTTTTTATTATTGCCAACCAAATCACATGTATCATTTTTTAAAATATATTGTGTCTCGTCTTAAGGTATGAAGTCAAAGTTTGTCAAAACTCATACTTAAGTCATTTTGAAAACTTTGATGTATAATCCTCGACAATAACTCTAAATTCGAAAAGAAAATTTATTAACATATTATTTATGACCTCAATTGAGCATGCTCAACCAAATCATCTAAATCAAATATTTTAATGTGAACTTAAAAACCAAATTATAAAATATTGCACATGATTACTCTTCCTTTGAGAAATTTCAGGTAGAACATTAATATATGTTTTCATTTAATCGGGATGAATAGAAATGTTTTTAAGAAATTATTATTATTTATCGATCAAGTTATATTCTGAAAATTATTTTATTATATGAAATAATTATTTATATACAGCTATTTTAACTGGTAGACATATATATTATAAAGAAGTATAATAAGAGAAGATTTAATATATAAATTCATATATTTCATTTTTCAAAGTCGATTGATTGTCAAACGCTTGATTTATCTCTTTGTGTGGTTATATTTTATTTAATATACAAAGATATTATTATTTATGTGTGTATTTCTTTAAATTTTTCATCAAAATATAACTTATTATGAATTTTTGGTTAAAATGAGTAGATAATTTATTTGATAAGATTTAATCATATATTTTTTGTTTAAACAAACCCGATATATGTTATTCTTCTTTTCCATCTTTATATTTTGTTTTATTGACAATAATATTATTATTTATGCTTGTTTTTACTTACATTCTTAATGTAACTTATTATTAATGTTGAGTAAAAGTGAGCATAAATACTAAAAGAAGAGAGAGATAACTTCATAAGTAGATCAATAATAAATTTTTTTGGTGGTAAAAAAATGTCCACCTAGGCAACTTGTTATTTCCCCAAGTGCTTATGTGGCAAGAATTTACTTTTGAATTGCCATAATATATAGTATAGATAGATAGATATAGATAGATAGATAGATAGATAGATAGATAGATAGAAGATAGATATAGATATAGATAGATAGATAGATAGATAGATAGATAGATATAGATAGATAGATAGATTCTCAATACTTAGCACATTCACTTATACTATTTGAATTCTCTAATCATAAACCATGTCACAAAAGTATACCACGTACATGTACAATTTTTTCTATCTTATATGAATCCATGTTGTTCAGATGAGGACATCTTACGGAGAGTTTCTTTGTATATATACTTCATTATTGGATAAATTTCTTCATTCCAATTTAAAGTCGACACTTTGAATGTTCATGAAGTTTGCTGTAAGATCTTATTTGTATTTAGTCTTTTATATAATATGTATCAATTGCTAATTTCTGAAATTTAATTTGGACTAATTAACTGAGACTCATTGTCGTTGTTTATATATTGTTTTAGAATCTCAATCCAAGATACTCACATACGGATTTTGATCTTAATATGGTGCGTTAGTGTATAATTTTACAACTTGTAGAACCTCCATTTTCTAAAATTTATTTATGTTTGGTATTTGTTTAGAAATTAATTTCATTACTTATACTAATATATGAATTTTTTGTATTGCCACATTTATTGTCAATATATAAGCATATATATTAAAAAGAGTTTAATTATTTTTAAGTGTAATTAATGCTTGTTTTCTACCGGGATTTGTAAAATGTTAACAAAATAAGGGAAATATGAACAATTGTAAAAGAAAATAAGGGATGGAAGGACATATTATAAGTGAGAGAAAAGTTATTCTTACTTATCATCTTCATTTATCCAATGAGGTGATCTATTCTTGCTTCATTGAATTTTATCGAATTATTTTATTTCGTAAATATATTATTATTTATGCATGTGTTTTATTGCAAAAAAAATGCATGTGTTTGCTAAGAAAGATCATACCTCTTACGATGATTAACTTTTATAATCTTGTTTCATAGGTCAATCGTTGATGAACACATGATGTTTAACATACAGTTTAGCAAAGATTCATCTAACTTTCACATGTATCATTTTTTAATGTATCTCGTGTCTCATCTTAAGATATGAAGTCAAGTTCATCAACAATCATACCAAAGTCATTTTATAATTTTTGATTTATAATCCTTGAAAATTTTATTACTCCAAGTCTGAAAATTAAATTTCTTAACATATGACGTAAAACTTCAGTAGAGTTTGCTAAATTAACACGATCTAAAGAAAAAATGCTAAATATTAGTAATTTGAACTTAGGATACATTGTAAATTATTTCACCTATGATTCATATTTTTCACTTAATTAGAATGAATAAGATTTTTGTTTAAGAAATAGATTTTATTGCTTGATCAAGTTTCTATTCAAACGTTTCTTGTTTTCTCTCTTTAATTTCCATCGTTATTTTGTCGCGATAAAATGTTATTATGTATGTGTGTTTGTATAAATTGTTCATCAAAATGTAACATATTTGTAAATTATTGTAAAAGTGAGTTAAAAATCTACTCAGTGAGCTTTAATAAGATATTTTTTTGGTTGAGAAAAAAGTTATATGTGTGACTTAAAGACATTAATCTAATGTTGCGTACATCTATACAATGCAAAAGTAAAAATAAAAACATAAAGAAAGTATTGGAAAAGAAAAATAAATATTAAGAATTTTAGAGATACAAATGTAATATATGTCACTTTTCATACATTATTTATTATTGTGTACATTGATATAATACAAAAAAAAGGATAAAAGGGAAATGAAATATTAAATGAAGAGAGAGATAGCTCCATAAATATATCAATAAATATTTATTTTTTTGTAAAAATATTGTCCACCTTGGCAATTTGTGAGCTCTTCAAGTGCTTAGGTGGCAAACAATTACTTTTGAATTGCCATAATATTATGTATAGATAGATAGATATAGATAGATAGATAGATAGATAGATAGATTCATTAAGTTATATTTACAATTAAGCTTAATACATAAACCACACACCAATTAAACGTCAATATACTACTGGATTATGATGTGATTATTAGATGTTGTATGATAATTTATCTAATTCCTGACTAGTTTGTTTATTCTATGATTATTTAGCATTTTACTATTTATTGTCTGGTATTTTCCCGGTAGGAGTTCCGGTATTACTTCGGTACGGTAGTCTATTTTTCCGGTACGATATTTTAACAAAAATATATATTTTTTATTGAAAAACGGTATTTGGCCGGTATGAAACGGTTGAACCACGGTCGTACCATAAAATACCGTACCACAGACTTGTCCGGTATGACCTCCGGTACGGTTTCCTAAACCATGCTTATTTCCCCTTCCCTATATCGTCTTGATCCCCCTGCCGGCTAGAAATTAGGATGGTTAATATTTCCCCTGCCCAATATCCTCTTGATCCCCTCTTTTTTTTTTTTGAATAAAGATTTCATTCATTCAATCCCGAAAGAGGAAGGGTTTACAACAATAGTGCCACAATAGAAAGGACCGAGATCCAATCAGGCGGAAGAGAAAGACAACGTGCATTACGAGCGACCCAATCGACACATCTGTTCACACGACGACAGGTGAAAGAGATATGAATCCATCTACACTGAAGGAGCAACTCTTTCACATGAGAGAGAAGAGCAAAGCACCGCCATGGCTAGAGTGATTCATCACCTTTAAGCGCATCCACCAAAATCTTGCAGTCTGAAAGGATAACTGTAGGAGAGTTGTCAAGGGCCGCCATCCGGCACGCTTCAACAAGAGCAAAGGCCTCAGCCTCAATAGGGGACGAACAAATGACCCTGCCAGCCCTCCCATCACAAATCTGACCTATGGGAATTAGTGATAACTACCCCAAAAGCCGCCTCAGACGAATCATTGTCAAATGACCCATCGCAGTTGATCCTAATAAGGTCATCACTTGGCGGTGGAAGAGATTGTGATGGAGTGTCCCTTGGCTGGTTTGTAGGGATGATAGATTTACGACAAGGAGAAGGTTTAGAAGCCTCTCGGAAAGTTGTGATTGAGGACAACAATGGGGACAAGTTGTTGCCTCTGAAGATGAAGTCGTTCCGTGCTTTCCAAATGTTCCACAGGCAAAAGACCTTGAGACGGAGAGACAGAAGAGTCTCCGCATCTCTAAGTGAGAAGAACCATCGCATGAATTTCGGAGGAGGGGTGCATGACGGGAGGATCCTCTCCCAAGTCTCCTTTGCGTGAGGGCAAAGAAAGAGACAGTGGATGAGAGACTCACAATCGGCATTGCAAATCTGGCAACGAGGGTTAGGAGCACAATGTTTGTGGTGCAAATGAGCTTTTGTTGCTAGAGCATTGCGGAGGCACCTTCATAAGATGTTAATTTTTCCTCTTGATCCCCTCGCCGGCTAGAAATTATGATGGTTAATTTTTCCTTTCCATTGATTTCCCCCCCCCCCCCTCAACGTCTGTTTAATACTTAATAGTAATGGCAATCCACACCGTATTTTAATAATTATATTATATATAGTTATAACAAAATATACTCATTCAAAGGTTACAAATGATATACTCTTGGAGTACATTGTATCCTTTTTTTATATAAGCAGAGTACATTGTATCCTACACAATAGCAAAGTCGGGATATAAAAATAGGTGAAGTATGGAAAAGGTTCAAATACATTAACCCTAAAATTAATTACAAAGAGTTTTACAATTCTTTTGTATTCAGCTATTCATCCATTATTCTAACGTTTAGGTTAAAGAAAACTATGATAATCAAGTATATAAAAAAGCAATCGAATCAGGTAGGGCTGCAAATGAGCCGAGCGGCTCGACGTTCGACTCGAGAAAAGCTCGTTCGAAACTCGACTCGTTAATAAACGAGCCGAACACGAGCTCACCATTGTTCAGCTCGTGAAGATCGCGAGCTAGCTCGACTCGGTGGCTTGTTGAGCTAAACTCGTGAGCTGGCTCGTTTAGAGCTAATGATATGTCTTAACATGTGGCTAGAGAGCCAACTCGATTACCAACTTATGGACGAATCAATCTATATCTTATGATTTTAATTCATATGGTTGTTAAATTATATATCTCACAATATATAAAGTTTAACACGTTGAGTATGTGAGCAAATATATCTTATTTTCTACTTTAAAAAGAAATTATGCATCATAGATTGCTCCGATACTATGAAATAACATGATTTGGAGTAGTTAAAATTTATTAGTTAAATGATATATGATACCAACAAAGTATAATATGAGATTAGCTAACAAAATAAATCATATGTATCATGATATACAAAATGAAGTACCAATTAAAAGTTAAGATTTTAATAAACAAGCTAGCTCGAACTCGACTCGGCTCATTTGCAGCCCTAGAATCAGGACAATCTTGTGAAAAAGAAGGGGGGGAAAGTCGAATGAAGACAACCTTTGAATTGAAAACTAATTAAATATAATACAATTACTTATTACTGGTGATATAGCAAAATCAGGCTCTCACAACCTTCTCATCAGGTCTGCAGAGGCCATTTTGGTGTCAAAGATCAGACGGATCTGCAGGAGGACATGTCCTACTAAGACCACCCACAGCAAGCATTGTAAAAAAGGGGGAAAAGGAAAAAAAGAGGGGAAAGCCTACAATAGGGGAGGATAAAAAGGCTAAAAAGGAAAAGAAGGCTATTGGGGGAGGGTTTACCCTTCTGAAAAAGACAAAAGGAGGAAAAAGTGGGTTGCTGGTGGAAGAAGATGATTGGGCCACGTGGCTGGTGCCCTCTTTTTCTTTTTTTCCCCACCCTTTTAAAGAAAAAAACCCCTCCCCATTACCATTTTTTTTCCCTCCCACCCATTGTGACCAATTCCTCTCCTCCACCCTTTTTTCCCTTTTCCACCACCCTTTTCACCCTTTTTTCCCTTCCATCATTATGGATGGTCTAAGTAGCTCGCACAGCTGTAGTCTGTGACGGGAGCAATTTGTTTGGTTTGGCTAACGGGAGCTTGTGTGAGTAACGGCAGCAAACGGAAGTGATTTATTATTATTATTGTTCTCATAGGGGTCGTTTGGAAGTTGCGATTGTTTTGTTGAGATTGTCATTATGCATGTATTGTTTACAATGCATCATTTTTTTATAGCAAAAACAATACATGGATTGTTTATGTGATGTGGCAGAAACTATCACTCATTTTGAGTGATTGTTATATCTCAACTTTTAGTTGTGATTGTTGAGATAGTTGAGTTGAGATTGTTTTGTCTCAGCTTTTAGCTGATGCGACATACACAATCACACATACCAAACGTTGTATTCTATAATGCATCAAATTCGACAATACATGTATAATATTATACATGCATTCTCAACTATACATCTATTTAACAATACACCTAAAATGTTATTATGTTACTACACATGCACTGCTAAAAATCAAATTATTAACATAATTCATATGAGAAAGGGCATAATATAGAGTACCTGCACCCTCTTTTTTCAAGGAGTCTCAAACAATTTAGGAATAGAATAGAAACTACTCTGAAAGTTAATGTATTATTGTACTTGGGCTTCTGAATCAGTAAAGTACACCGATATTCAACCATGGTCGATCCTAGTGTTAGCCTTAAGAGAAGATGCATACATGTCAATACAGTTTGTGCATCACATTAGTCTTTTGAAATTTAGAAAGAAAACAAGTTATATGGGTTGTAGTAGTATTATTTCCAACTACAGTTGCAATATATCATAGTGACATGATAAAATATGTCCATACGGACTATTGTAAAAGGGTTAATTGCATGGTTGGTCACTGAGATTACAAAAAACGTTCAAGTTTGATCACTCGAAATATTTAAATCAATTGGTGGTACTTCAGTTTACTGAACCGTTCACGTTTGGTTACTCTCCGTCCATCTCCGTTAACTTTGGCTGATGTGGCAGTCAACTTTTAAAGTTGACCGTTAACTTAGTGACGTGGCAATTAAGAAATAATAAATAAAATAAAATTTTAATCTATTTTAATGTCCAACTCATTTTGAATGTCCAATGGATTTAAATATTTTGCGTGACCAAACTTGAACGTTTTTTATAATCTCAGTGACCAACCATGCAATTAATCCTATTGTTAAATGTTATTTTTTATGACTTTTTTGTTAGACTACAAACCCTTTGTTGTACTAAACTTCAAAGAAAAGTAAAACCTAAGTCAATTCCTTTATTCTTCTCAATTTCCTAAAATTTATTCTGGGTAAACGGCCCGTTATAAAGTAATCCTGAAAAATAGTGACGAGTAATTTTTGGTTAAACGAAAACGTCAATAGTGACGAAGAAAATTTTATGTCAATACAATAGTGACGCTTGTCCATCACTCCATAAGTAATTTTTGAGTAAACGGTACATTATACAGTAATCCTAAAATTAAATAAGAAAAAGTAAAAAAAAAAAAAAAAAACATAGCCACTTATAACTTTACAAGGAGAAGGATGTGTATATTTAATTTATTTTTCTGCCAGCAAGATTACCTTCCCCAAAACAATTAAATCCCTCCTCTTCTCTCACACAAAACAAATTAACAAATGGAGATAAAACGTAGAGAAACGTACCTTCTTTCCATTGTTAAATATTATTTAACTATGACTTCTCCATTGTAAAATATTTTTTTTATGAATTCTCCTTTATTAATTTTTGAGTAAACGGCCCGTTATAATTCTAAAATTTAAATTAAATAAGAAAAAGTAAAAAAAGGCGAAACTTAGCAGCAAACTGGATTGTCGGCTGCTGCTTGCCCATGTGTCACATTGTTATTGGGTCAAAGTTAATTTTTTTAATAATTTTAATCGTTAATTAATGTACGAAGCAGCAGGGAAACGGAACGGAGCATAGCTTCCGTTGTTTCCATCTTTTTACTCAATTGGGAGAACTTTTTCATGGGCAATTGGGATAAGCTTTTTCTTTACTAGTAATTAATTGGTATTTTTTATAGTACATCAATAGTTATAAAATATAAAAAATAAATTAATTTATAAATAATATTTAAGTTGGCAATTTAACGCATTAAATACGGATATTAATGCATTATACATATTTTATACATGTTTAATACGAGAGTAATCAAATGAAGGGAGAAAATAATTTTGACAATAATATGAATACAAAAATTTTAAACAAATAAAATACATACTAGCATATATAAATATATTAAATGAAGCATTTACTAACTATTTTGCACCGTGTAGATGATAATTTTTCGTAGCTTCAAATTGAACAAAAGTGCTTAAACTCATTGAAACATGTGAAAGAGAAAGTAATGGGAAAATAAAGTTAATTGGAAAGAGAAGTAACGGAAGCTAGGATCCGCTTCGTTTCCCTGTTGCTTCATATTTTATTTAACAATTGAAATGATTAAACAATTAATTTTGATCCAACAACAATGTGACCTATGGGCTGGCAGCAGCCGCTGGCGGCAACCCAGTTTGCTGCTAAGTTTCGCTAAATCATAAATGAGACAGATGGAGAGAGAAAGAAACAAAAAAAAGTAAAGAGAGAGAGACAGTCTAAAATACTTTGGTTATTAGGAGAGAGCGTGCAAATTTACTTGCTCGAAAACATCAAAACCGCCGCTACACGCAAACTGTCCCCTTCCGTGAATAATGGCGAACTGGGCAGCGGGGAATCGATTGCGACTTTGCGAATCCGTTTACACGATTCCAATTTGAATTGGGATGATGGCTAAAGGTAAAAATAATATAGATGGCAGCCACAACCTTTGTCTCAGACTCTTTTTTTTTTTTTTACAATACCTTTGTCTCAGTCGACGGCGTGAGAAGGGAGAAATACAGAGGAGGAGGACTGACTCATTTCTTCTCAAACAAATCTTTTTAATTTTTCCTTAATATAAGAAAGCCACAACCCATTAATTACTGACAGTAGTCTAGGGACATACTGAGGGGAGACAGAGTCGTTGACCTGCTCTCATTAAAAAGTTAATAAAATGGGTTAATTGCAAGCATTGTTACTGGGTTTACTAAAACCGTTCATGTTTGGTCACTACAAATATTTAATTTCATTCATGGTCACTAAAATTAGTTCAATAGTTCAAGTTTGGTCACTCTCCGTTAGTTTTTGCTGATGTGGCAGTCAACTATTATAGTTGACCGTTAAATGAGTGACGTGGCAATTAAAAAAATAATAAAAAAATAAAATCTAAATATTTACAATTTCCACCTCATTTTACAACTATTAAAATTTAAATATTTACGAAAAAGAAGGAAAAAGTTTGGTCACTTTCCTTCTATTTTACTTCTTTCATCTTATTCCACTCATCTCTCTGCTTCTGTCTTTCTTTTCAAGTTCTCGAGATGAATCAAAATACCCATGGATGTTGCCCTCTAGTTGTCTATCTTCTTCCTCACGATCAGAGGGGTGAGAGGAGCAGCGGTTGGATTCTCCATAACAAGAGGGAAAGTAAGAGCAGCAGCAGACGGGTCGGCAGAAGGGGAATCGGTAGAGGGGAAAGCGGAGCATCAATAGTCGGATTATTCATGACCATTTCCAACATCCTCCGTCGCAGCGGTAGCCGGATCCGGGTGGCAAGAACAGAGGTGCCAGCGAATACCAGCAAGTACTTTTTTCCTTCTTCGTTCGTCGAATCCTTAACCTCAAAGGTATCTTTTCCCTACTTGTGGCCACGATCCAGACCCACCAAGAAGTCTCAAATCGAACTAGTTGGTCGACTCGGTAATGAAGGCGACAGTAGGTAGACTTGGCCCCAGACATCCTTCCTCTTGAAATGGCAATGCCCTTAACCTCAAAGGTATCTTTTCCCTGCTTGTGGCCACGATCCAGACCCACCAAGAAGTCTCAAATCGAACTAGTTGGTCGACTCGGTAATGAATGCGGCAGTAGGTAGACCTGGCCCCGGACATCTTTCCTCTTAAAATGGCAATGCCCTTCACCACCGCGTTATAGATTAAGTTCGAGGAAGACTGGGAAGTGACTTGCTGCGCCTCGAAGGGCGACAAGAGAAGGGCAAGAACAGTTAGGGGGAGAGCTCGGCGGTGATGATCCGTTAGAGCTTTTATTTTATTTTCTTTTTTAATAGTTGTAAAATGAGGTGAAAATTGTGAAAATTTAAATTTCATTATTTTTTAATGGCCACGTCACTCATTTAACGGTCAACTATAATAGTTGACTGCCACATTAGCAAAAACTAACGGAGACTAACGGAGAGTGACCAAACTTGAACTATTGAACTAATCTTAGTGACCATGAATGGAATTAAAAATTTGCAGTGACCAAACATGAACGGTTTTAATAAACCCAGTGACCATCCTTGTAATTAACCCTTAATAAAATAGTAAAAAAGAGTAAAAAAAAGAAGCTTCTCCTTTAGTAATTTTTGGGTAAACGACCCGTTATAATTCTGAAATTAAATAAGAAAAGGTAAAAAAAAGGGCAAAACTTAGCAGCAAACTAGGTTGTCGACTGCTGCCTGTCCATGTGTCACATTGGTATTGGGTCAAAGTTAATTTTTTAATGATTTTAATAGTTAATTAATGTACGAAGCAGCAGGAAAACAGAACGGAGCCTAGCTTCCGTTGTTTCCATCTTTCTACTCAATTGGGAGAACTTTTTCATGGGCAATTGGGATTAGCTTTTTCTTTACTAGTAATTAATTGGTATTTTTTTATAGTACATCAATAGTTATAAAATATAAAAAATAAATTAATTTATAAATAATATTTAAGTTAGCAATTTAACACATTAAATACAGATATTAACGCATTATACATATTTTATACATGTTTAATACGAGAGTAATCAAATGAACGAAGAAAATAATTTTGACAATAATATGAGTACAAAAATTTTAAACAAATAAAATACATACTAGCATATATAAGTATATTAAATGAAGCATTTACTAACTATTTTTGCACCGTGTAGATGATAATTTTTCGTAGCTTCAAATTGAACAAAAGTGTTTAAACTCTTTGAAACATGCTCAAGAGAAAGTAATGGGAAAATAAAAGTTAATTAGAAAGAGAAGTAACGGAAGCTAGGATCCGCTTCGTTTCCCTGTTGCTTCATATTTTATTTAACAATTGAAATGATTAAACAATTTATTTTGATCCAATAACAATGTGACATATGGGCTGACAGCAGCCGCTGGCGGCAACCCAGTTTGCTGCTAAGTTTCGCTAAATCATAAATGAGACAAATGGAGAGAGAAAGAAATAAAAGAAGTAAAGAGAGAGAGAGACAGTCTAAAATACTTTGGTTATTAGGGGAGAGCGTGCAAATTTACTTGCTCGAAGACATCAAAACTGCCGCTACACGCAAACTGTCCTCTTCCGTTAATAATGGCGAACTGGGCAGCGAGGAATTGATTGCGACTTTGCGAATCTGTTTACACTATTCCAATTGGAATTGGGATGAGAGCTAAAGTTAAAAATAATATAGCTGGCACCCACAACCTTTGTCTGAGTCTCTTTTTTTTTTTTTTTACAATGCCTTTGTCTCAGTTGATGGCGTGCGAAGGGAGAAATACAGAGGAGGAGGACTGACTCATTTCTTCTCAAACAAATCTTTTTATTTTTTCCTTAATATAAGAAAGCCACAACCCATTAATTACTGACAGTAGTCTAGGGACAGACTGAGGAGAGACAGAGTCGTCTGACCTGCTATCATTAAAAAATTAATAAAATAGTAAAAAAGAGTAAAAAAAGATAACTAAAAAAGGAGTAAAAAAAAGAAAGAAGCTTCTCCTTTAGTAATTTTTGGGCAACCGGCACGTTATAAGTCTAAAATTAAATAAGAAAAAGTAAAAAAAAAGGCGAAACTTAGCAGCAAACTGGGTTGACGGCTGCTGCCTGCCCATGTGTCACATGGTTATTGGGTCAAAGTTAATTTTTTAATGATTTTAATTGTTAATTAATATACGAAGCAGCAGGGAAACAGAACGGAGCCTAGCTTCCGTTGTTTCCATCTTTTTATTCAATTGGGAGAACTTTTTCATGGGCAGTTGGGATTAGCTTTTTCTTTACTAGTAATTAATTGGTATTTTTTATAGTACATCAATAGTTATAAAATATAAAAAATAAATTAATTTATAAATAATATTTAAGTTAGCAATTTAACACATTAAATACAGATATTAACGCATTATACATATTTTATACATGTTTAATACGAGAGTAATCAAATGAGCGGAGAAAATAATTTTGACAATAATATGAATACAAAAATTTTAAACAAATAAAATACATACTAGCATATATAAGTATATTAAATGAAGCATTTACTAAATATTTTGCACTGTGTAGATGATAATTTTTCGTAGTTTCAAATTGAATAAAAGTGTTTAAACTCTTTGAAACATGTGAAAAAGAAAGTAATGGGAAAATAAAAGTTAATTGGAAAGAGAAGTAACGGAAGCTAGGATCCGCTTCGTTTCCCTGTTGCTTCATATTTTATTTAACATTTGAAATGATTAAACAATTAATTTTGATCCAATAACAATGTAACATATGGGCTGGCAGCAGCCGCTGGCGGCAACCCAGTTTGTTGCTAAGTTTCGCTAAATCATAAATGAGACAGATGGAGGGAGAAAGAAACAAAAAAAGTAAAGAGAGAGAGAAAGTCTAAAATACTTTGGTTATTAGGAGAGAGCATTTACTTGCTCGAAGACATCAAAACCGCCGCTACACGCAAACTGTCCCTTTCCGTGAATAATGGCGAACTGGGCAGCGGGGAATCGATTACGACTTTGCGAATCCGTTTACACTATTCCAATTGGAATTGGCATGAAGGCTAAAGGTAAAAATAATATAGATGGCAGCCACAACCTTTGTCTCAGTCTCTTTTTTTTTACAATACTTTTGTCTCAGTCGACGGCGTGGGAAGGGAGAAATACAGAGGAGGAGGACTGACTTATTTCTTTTCAAACAAATCTTTTTATTTTTTCCTTATTATAAGAAAGCCACAACCCATTAATTACTGACAGTCGTCTAGGGACAGAGTGAGGGGAGACATGGTCGTCTGACCTGCTCTCATTAAAAAATTAATAAAATAGTAAAAAAGAGTAAAAAAAGATAACTAAAAAAGGAGTAAAAAAAGAAAGAAGCTTCTCCTTTAGTAATTTTTGGGTAAACGACACGTTATAATTCTAAAATTAAATAAGAAAAAATAAAAAAAGGGGTGAAACTTAGTAGCAAACTGGGTTGCCGGCTGATGCCCAAGTGTCACATGGTTATTGGGTCAATGTTAATTTTTTAATGATTTTAATTGTTAATTAATGTACGAAGCAGCAGGGAACGGAACGGAGCCTAGCTTCCGTTGTTTCCATCTTTTTACTCAATTGGGAGAACTTTTTCATGGGCAATTGGGATTAGCTTTTTCTTTACTAGTAATTAATTGGTATTTTTTATAGTACATCAATAGTTATAAAATATAAAAAAATAAATTAATTTGTAAATAATATTTAAGTTAGCAATTTAACACATTAAATACATATATTAACGCATTATACATATTTTATACATGTTTAGTACGAGAGTAATCAGATGTGCGGAGATAATAATTTTGACAATAATATGAATACAAAAATTTTAAACAAATGAAATACATACTAGCATATATAAGTATATTAAATGAAGCATTTACTAACTATTTTCACCGTGTAGATGATAATTTTTCGTAGCTTCAAATTGAATAAAAGTGTTTAAACTCTTTGAAACATGTTAAAAAGAAAGTAATGGGAAAATAAAAGTTAATTGGAAAGAGAAGTAACGGAAGCTAGGATCCGCTTCGTTTCCCTGTTGCTTCATATTTTATTTAACAATTGAAATGATTAAACAATTAATTTTGATCCAATAACAATGTGACATATGGGCTGGAAGCAGCCGCTGGCGGCAACCCAGTTTGCTGCGAAGTTTCGCTAAATCATAAATGAGACAGATGGAGAGAGAAAGAAACAAAAAAAGTAAAGAGGGAGAGACAGTCTAAAATACTTTGGTCTCAAAGACATCAAAACCGCCGCTACACGCAAACTGTCCCCTTCCGTGAATAATGGCGAACTGGCCAGCGGGGAATTGATTGCGACTTTGCGAATCCGTATACACTATTCCAATTGGAATTGGGATGAGGCTAAAGGCAAAAATAATATAGCTGGCAGCCACAACCTTTGTCTCAGTCTTTTTTTTTTTTTTGACAATACCTTTGTCTTAGTCGATGGCGTGAGAAGGGAGAAATACAGAGGAGGAGGACTGACTCATTTTTTCTCAAACAAATCTTTCTATTTTTTCCTTAATATAAGAAAGCCACAACCCATTAATTACTGATAGTAGTCTAGGGACAGACTGAGGGGAGACAGAGTCGTCTGACCAGCTCTCATTAAAAAATTAATAAAATAGTAAAAAATAGTAAAAAAAGATAATTAAAAAAGGAGTAAAAAAAAGAAAGAAGCTTCTGCTACGTACTGCCATTCAACAGGAGAAGGTTACAGTTAAAGTCTGTTGCCCTCAATCCCTTTTTAGGTTTTTTTGTTATAAAAAAAAAAGTGTTAATTAAATGGCAATTCATTGAATAAAATAAATGGACCAGTCCTAATCTGCCATTTAAACAGGTTGGACGATGTGGCTGCAACCTAGGTTGGAGCTAAAAATTGCTCTTATTTCCATGGTCCAGGAAACCGGATCGTACCGGCCGGTTCAACCGGAAAAATCGGAAACCGGACCAAAAGCGACACGGTAGCCTGATGGTAGTCGTTTTACCGTACCGGCCGGTTTTTCCGGCTTAACCGACACAAACCAGAATATCGCCCGATTCCGTACTAACCGGCGGTAGACTTATTGGAACAAAAACGTCGCTGTTTAACTCACTTAAAACAAAAAAATAAAAAAGACGTCCTTTCTTCCACAGCAATTCCCAAAACTTAATTGTCTCTGCCTCGATTGTAATTTGTAACCCGACCCCATCTCCATTCCCGTTCCCTGCCTCCACTCCTCGGACAAATTTAGCTAGATCGTCGGTTTTGGTCGATTTGGGTCGGCTTTGATCGATTTCTCACCGGCGACACGAGACAGAGGGAGTAGATCGAGAAAACAGGCCGAACAAAGAGGAGGTAGGTGAAGCAAGGAAGAAAGGGGAGAAAAAGTTGTGTTATTTCTCTTTTCCTCCATCGTTTTTTAGAGAGGGGCAAAATAAAATTGGATAGAATGAAGGTTGGAGAATATGATTTTGTTCTGTTCATTTTTCATAATGGGAAGAGGGGGGGAGAAGGCCGAAGTGTTGCAGAGTGAAAGTGAAGTGTGCGGCGCCTAGGGTTAGGTATCCCTTTCATTCTTTATATATTTGCAGAATATAATAATCAACCCTTACTTTTTAACAAAATTACTTCATTTGCCATCACATCATCTTTTGTAATAGACAACGGCCTATTTCTCATCAATCTAATTCATTAAGTTATATTTACAATTAAGCTTAATACATAAACCCCACACCAATTAAATGTCAATATGCTACTGGATTATGATGTGATTATTAGATGTTGTATGATAATTTATCTAATTCATGACTAGTTTGTTTGTTATTCTATGATTATTTAGTATTTTACTATTTATAGTCCGGTATTTTCCCGGTAGGAGTTCCGGTATTACTTCGGGACGGTAGTCTATTTTTCCGGTACGATATTTTAACAAAAATAAATATTTTTTATTGAAAAACGGTATTTGGCCGGTATGAAACGGTTGAACCACGGTCGTACCATAAAATACCGTACCACAGACTTGTCCGGTGTGACCTCCGGTACGATTTCCTAAACCATGGAAATTAGTGGGACTCATCAATACTTTTTATTATTTTAGGGTTAATAGCATATTTTGCCCCTCTACTATGCATTTTTCTCAAACATGCCCCTCTACTATATTTCAAATCAAAGTTGCCCCTCTACTATAATAAATTCTCAACCATGCCCTTCTGTTAGTTTTTCAATTCAAAAACCGTTAAGTATGTTCAAAATGACTAAACTACCCCTAATTACCAATATAAAATTGCCTATGAAGGCTGCTACTTTTATAGGCCTTTCCCTCTCGCGAATTTTGTCGAACACCTTCAAGGAATAATAACAGAAGCCACGGTGGAGTTTGATAAGACTTGGGAGGATTTGTTCGGAATCGCTGAAGCATATCGGCTGGTGTATATCAAGCCAGAGATTGTGGAAGGCGGGCTTCGCATCCCGGACGAGCTCGTTCAAGAAGGCATTTCGAGGTGGGAGAACTGCCTCGTGAGTCAATTTCTCCATTCTTCTCCCTCGCTCAAGCAACTCCACATTTGGGCGAACAGGCTTTGGGGCAAATCAGGACAAATTAGGGTTACGAGATTCAGTGATCAGCTTGTTATGTTCCAGTTTCCTAATTCGGCTGCTTCGGATTGGGTTTTCACCAGTGGACCATGGCACTATCTGAACGATATGTGTTTTCTTCGCCGATGGACTCCAGGTATCAGGGCGGTGAGCTGTCGTTCCTCGATCCCTATCTGGGTCTGCTTTCAATCTCCCGGTAGAGTATGCGACGGGGAGAATTCTCACTCGAATGGCGAGTATGCTCGGTACACCTCTTTGGTTCGTTCAGTCCACAAGGCTTGGTAAGAGAATGGGCTTCCCTAAGGTTTGTGTGGAAATGTCCATTAATTCTGAGTTTCCAGAAACGCTGAAGCTTGTGCCTGATCGAAAGCCAGCTTTCTTGGTGAGTCTTGAATACTGAAATCGCCCCTTACTATGTCAGAAGTGCCAAGTCTTTGGTCATGAATGTGTTGTGGATTCAGTAGGGGGAGTTGAGGATAGGATTGAGAATGAAGGTTTGGATGAAGGTTTGGTTGATGTAGGAAGTGATGTGGTAGAGCCGGCATCTTTGAGTGTTGCTTCTCCGGTGAATTTGGTTATTGAGTCTGCTATAATGCTGGATTCCATAACTAAAGATAAAGCTCGTACCTCTACTGAGGTTGCCTGCAGGAACTTGAACATTGCAGTAGCAAATCTGGTAAAATCAATAGAGCAAGGGGTGATATCAGAATGGAAAGGAAACAAATAATTACATCTTCTTGTTTTAACTCGAAATTAAAATAATTACATAGAAAGAATGCATTAGGTATGATCTACATAATGATATTAATTTTGGTATATTAGAGCAAAACAAATTACTCATTCAAAATACGTGTTGCTTGCAATCTTATCACTATCGTATCATCAATTATAATCTACAAAATTATATCAGTTTTGCTTTATCTTTCACAAATAAACAAATCATCCTTCAAAACATGTGTGCGTTTTGTAATCTTATCAATATCACGTCATATGATCTTACCACTATGGTAAGCTAACTATGCATCATACCACTTTGATATCACGACATTATAAATAAAAAAATACATCATACCAACACCTCTATCGTAAGACTTCACAATATCATCTCATCAGTCATATCATGATCGATCTCACCACTATGGTAAGTGATGTGCAATATGTATTAGTATTAGTATTATAATCGAAGTAATAAATTTCCTAGGGATGTCTTGGGTCATAGTCCACGAGTCTTTTGATAGAAAAGACTTTGAAACTAATACATTGTGCTTGAATTGTAATGCGAATAAAAGAAAATACGATGGATTGAGGTTCCATGTGGTTTGGTAGACAATCTATTATATAAACAAAGCACGAAATAATAAAAGCAATGAGAAAGCAAAGATAAAAGGTTATTGTTTAAGTAGCGTCATCTAGATGATCATACATACGATCTCATTAATAAGATACATCTATGCATCTTCTATCATGTAACTCTATCCCTTCCACTAAAGCATTCCTAATTGAGCTTTTGCCACATGCGAGAGGAACTACAATTAGCTAATGCGTGCTTTCACTTCATGCCATTAGACTAATCAATAAATCAATGAACTAAGGATAACACACTGTTAAGTGTGGGCCTCAAGAGTCATAAAGATGGTCTATGGCAATGATGATCTACTACATCAAGCATTAAACTCATACAAGTTTGCATAATCATGTCACTAACTAAACACACATGCATAAGACAATAGCACATAACATAGGAGTAGTTTCATGCACAACATAGATCATATTATAAGCAATGTCATAGCAGCACATAAAAGATGATATGAGCATCGAATAGTTAATGCATCAAACACATAGAGCATCGATTGGTATAACCATCACATGACTAAGGATATAGGCATCCAATGAAAATGATACGAAATGTCTAAAGCATATCATCAAATCATAATGGAAAGCATCAAAGAATTCACGTCCATAAACAACACAAACTTAGTTGGCCATAAAGGAGATCGATGACACCACCATCGATGATGAAGGCATCTCCCTGAACCTCTAACATAAATTCACCTCCTCCTATGGATGCTACTTCAGCCCGCTAGGGCAAAGTGTGTGTAAAAAGTGTGTAAAAACTCTAGGCTAAGCCTCTGTTCATAGTACAAGAAATATGAGGTTTTCTAGGGTTTTCCTCCTAAAATTCGGCCCAAAGTGCCAAGATACAATGGGATGAGGGTATTTTGACTTGAGATGAAGTAAAGCATATTCCAGAAGATTCCACATGATTGGGCCAACGTCGCTCACCATCGCAGATATTTTTCTTCCTACAAATGGGCTGATTTTTTATGAAAACCTTCATCCTTGGCTTAGTCAGCTCAATTAGATTTCACTTGACTTGTTAGGTTTCATAAATGTAGTTCTCTGGGCTATCAGATGAGCATACGATGTCCAAATTCATCACCGTTTGAGCCCATTAGCTTGTATTCTCATATTCCTTCTTATCCCTTGATGATTTGTATTCCTCTTGAGTGTGTTATATCTTTGAAATGCACAAAATAACACCAAAAGGCGTAAAATAGTACAAAAACACACTCAAAATCTATCTTAGGCACTTAGATTAATAGTTACGATTTCTACAAAATACATAGAAAAATATACCAAAGATGCATCTATAGAAGGAAAAAATGTATAAAATATGAGAGTGATAAACAATATGATTTCAGCTTATTCAGAAATACCCCACACTTGAACTTTGCTTGTCCCCAATCACTACTCATAATCAGACGACTCAATAAAAACTATGAATACTACTTGACCATCGAGCTGAGGTAGTGGATCATAAGTGACCTTACAAGGTCAAAAATAAAACGAGAGAACTCTAACCACATCAGCATGCATGAACAACAAAATACTCAACTTAATAATAAGCAACTAACCATGCACAGGTCTCAAAATATAGGATTGAGAAGTTTGCAATGCTTTACCATCATCTTTTACAGCCTGTTTGGATACAATTCAGGAAGAAATGGAAATGGAATTCTATTTTCATTTCCTATTTTTATAGAATTCCATTTCCAATTTTAGTGTTTGGGCTAATTCTTACAACTATAGAAATGAATCGCACTTTTAACAATAATTAATAATGTAACATATTTGTTTTATCTTGGAAAATGGAATATGAACGATAGAGTAAGAGAGTAGGGTGATAATTGGTTAATAAAATAATAATAAATAGTAATGAGACCCACTAATTCCATCGTCATAAACCCAATTCCTATCACTTTTGATAGGAATTGTAATTCCCAAAACTTAGCTCAAATGAAATTCATTTCTCAACTTTCTTATCCTTGCAAACATAAAATATGGAACTGGAATTGAAAATGGAATTCCAATTCCTGAGTTTTTTGTCGAACTTTTTTTGTCTATCCCTTAAGGAATTTTTTCCTTTCAACAAACACATATTTTTCAATTTTCTTGACTATTCTCATCACTTTTTCTTTTCTTTTTCATTGTAAGGAGCTTTACTAGAACATTAGAATCTTATTAGTTGAGCAAGAGCAATTTATGTATCTATATCATCGTTATAGTACTTCTTTCAACTCCTATACCTCAATTTGTGTGGAGGATCAATAACATTAAGGAGTGTCGGAAGCTTATCCATGACCTAAAAAATAGATCCTCAAGTTGGCTATCTATTCAACGGAAGGAAATTTTACTTGTGATAAACCGTTAATTGCACATGTTTTCACCCCTATTCTTGAGCCGTTTGAGGTGTTGATTCTGGTGTTTTAGGCCGATTTCACGCTAGGTTGTGCTTGTTTGTGATATTTCAGGTCCTAGTAAGTGAATGAAGGTTTAGGAGCGAGTTCGGGGTCGATTGGACGAAGATCGGACGCGAGGCAAGTCGCTGAGGAAGCCACACGGGCACACACAAAACACACACGGCCGTGCAAGTCACCAATGTGGCCGTGTGGGATTGTGCGAGCCTTCACACGGGCACAAATAAATTCCACACGGCCGTGTGAAAGAACAATGTGGCCGTGTGGAATTCTGCGAGGCTTCACACGGGCAGACTGGGTGAGCTACATGGCCGTGTGTCTCTGGCCGTGTAGGTAGCCTGAAGTGCAATTATTGGAAACGCGGTGTTTTGTGTCTCACACGGGCAACTGGGTATGCCACACGGCCGTGTGGCCTGCCCGTGTGATCGGGATTTTCAGGTTTTTACCCAATTTCGGGCCACAAGTGAGAGAATCGAATTTCCAGAGCAAAAACAGAGCCGTAGAGAGAGAAAGTGCGAAGAACACATCCTAGAAGGTATCTTGGAGCTGGGTTTCATCAAATCGAGCTTGGAGATCGTTATAGGAGTGGAAATCATCATCCCAGAGCAGATTTTCCTCATCTTTATGAGTATGACTGCTTTGTATTCTGTTTTCCTCTCTCTCTCTATGGAGTAGAACCCTTCTCTCACTTGGGTATGAAGAACCCTAGTTCCATGTGTTAGGGATTTGATTGTAATGACTTGGGATGATTATACTGTTTGGTTTTAATCGAATGATGCATGTTTATTGAATTGATTGAAGTCTGATCAGCTTTTCTTGATTTCTGCTGCAACCTGAGATAGATAGAATCTGATTAGGTTGTTAGAGCTTCATCATTCGTTAGTAGGAGATTGGCTATACGAGAGTTAGCCAGTTTACTGCTTTGTACTGGAATCCAATTCAAGTAGTGGAGTTCTGTGCTTATTGCTTCAGCTTTCTATCCCGGTGAAGACTAGTCGTCTGCCGGGTAGTTAGACTGAGAGGGCTTGGTCAGCTTAAGAGATTCCAAGCTACTGTCGGATCTTCCGCAGTCTAATCAACAGTAAATCAACCCAGGGTAATTACAATTGAGACCTAACTAAGGAGCTAGGGGGACTCATTCCCGAGTGACTCTTCTTTGCTTGAGAAAACCGAGCCAATTCCTGCTTTCTTACTGCTTTTGCTTAAAACAACAATCACTTGACTCAGTTGGCTAGATAATAGATAATCATGGAGTAAGCAGTAGATCTAGACCCCGGGTTGATAATAGAACTTGCCACTTTACTGCATTCACGGACTGCGATTACACTTGGTCGCAGTTTGGTGTTGTGTTTTGGCGTGTCAAGTTTTTGGCGCCGTTGCCGGGGACTCTAGGTTATTGGGGAAACGTGAAAATTTGTTACTCTAGATTTTTCTTTATTGCATTTTATCTCTTCCACCTGTGTGCCTTCACGGGTTGCTTCTGCTGATTGTGTGCAGGTAGTGCATGACCCGTAGCCAGTCGGGAGATCTACTACCATTAGACCAGGAGCTTGAACGAACCTGCAGGAACTTCAAGCGGGTTCTAAAGGCGCGACTGGCTGCGGAGGAGGCGCTAGCACAACTGCAGATCGCTGAAGAAGAAGAGATGGGAGATCCACAGGACCATGATGTGGTCCTTCCCGAGGAGCAGACCATGGGATACTACTGGACCGCCAGGGCTGCGGACATGAGGTCACCCATTCAACACCCTCATGTCCCAGCCAATAATTTTGAGGTGAGCACCTCAGTAATCACCATGTTGCGCGGTTCAGTGGTGTTCCGAGGCAAAGAGGGGGAGTGCCCCCGTTCACATATGAGGCGATTCCACGAGCTCATCGATGGAATCAAGATAAATGGGGTCGCAGCAGATGCCATCCAGCCGAGGTACTTCCCATTCACCCTGGAGGGGCAGGCCAAGGAGTGGCTAGACACTCGACCTCCGGGCTCTATCACCATGTTCGCCAACCTGGCGGACAAGTTCCTCACTCGCTACCATCCTCCATCCAAGACGGCGGATCTGCAGAAGCAAATTACCCATTTTGCTCAGGACGAGGATGAGACCATCAGGGATGCTTGGGAGAGATACAACAGTCTCTTCCTAAGGTGTCCCAATCATGGTTTCAATGATGCTTTCAAGGTGGGAACCTTCTATCACGCCCTCTTCCCAGAAGACAAGCAGCTGATTGACTCGGTTTGTGGCGGGAACATGCTGACCAAAACACCGCCACAGCTGAATCAACTCTTTGAGGAGATGGCAGAGAACGGGTATGATTGGGGCACTGCTGGGAGGTCGAGGAGAGCACCAAGCCGAGGTGTACATTCTGTGGGAACCCATTCCTCTAATTTGGTGCAGGTGGTATCGAAGCTGGTTTCAGCTATCGATCGTTCCGGGATGATTTCAGGGACCGAACAGCAGCAGGCGATGCTCTGCCATTGGTGCGAGAGCACCCATCACACGGTGGAAGACTGCCAAGCGATGAAGGAATCGACCACACCCCAGGAGCAGGTGAACTTCATCAATAATGTTAGGCGCAATGACCCCTACAGTAACACTTACAACGAGGGGTGGCGCCAGCATCCCAACTTCTCCTGGGGTGGGGCAAATTCCAGACCACCAGTCCCTCAGGGACCACTTGGCTTCCAGAGGCCGCCATATCAGCCCAGACAGGGGCAATTCCAGCAGCAGCAGCAGTCTCTCTACCAGCCCATGCAGGGGCATGCTGCTCAATCACAGCCGCGACCTTTCCAGCAGCCAGGTACAGCCCCTGCCACCCCAGTGCAAAATGATCCGATGGCTAAACTGCGGGACTTGGTGGGTTCTCTCGCCAGTTCTAGTGCTCAGAAATTCAACACTATCGAGCAGTTCATGGAAAAGGCCTCGGGTAAATTCCTAGCTCTTGAAGCTGGCCAGAGGAACACACAGGCTGTCTTGCAGGATATCCAAACCCAGTTGGGGAGCGTGGCTCAAGCAGTGGCACAAAGGGCTCCTGGTACTCTACCCGGTCAGACCATCCCTCATCCGCAGGACCCGAATGAGCACTGCAATGCCATCACAACCAGGAGTGGCAAGATGACTGCTGATCCACCTGTTCGGGCACAAGAGAGAGAGGCCCCTGCCTCGGCATCTCCAGCGGCTGAAGAAGAAGCAGAGAAGGAGGTTGAGGTGCCTGCGCCTAAACCGCAACCAGTAGTGGAGGAGTATATCCCTCAACTCCCCTTCCCTACTCGGTTGCACAAAGACAGGCTAGATGCAGAGTTCGGGAACTTCATGTCAATGCTTAGGAAGCTGAATGTCCAAGTACCTTTCCTGGAGGCACTTTCTCAAATGCCTAAGTATGCGAAGTTTCTGAAAGATCTTCTCTCAAAGAAGCAGAAGCTGAGCGAGCTGGCCACTGTGGAGCTCAGCGAGGAGTGCTCAGCTATTCTGCAGAACAAGCTTCCGCAGAAGCAGAAGGACCCAGGTAGTTTTACTATCCCGTGCTCTATAGATAAATTGCATGTAGAGAGGTCCTTGGCGGATTTAGGTGCTAGTATCAATGTTATGCGGTATAAATTGTTCAAGAAACTAGGCCTAGGTGAACCCCGTGCTACTAGGATGAGCCTTCAATTAGCGGACCGATCTGTAGTGCATCCTAGGGGCATAGTGGAAGACCTTCTGGTTAAGGTTGGCAAATTCAATTATCCTGTGGATTTTGTTGTCATGGACATCAATGAGGACACAGAAGTGCCCCTTATACTGGGAAGGCCTTTCCTGGCCACCGCCAAGGCTCTCATAGATGTGCATGATGGGACCTTAGTTTTGAGGGATGGCGAGGAGCGAATAACGTTTTCAATTGCTAATACTCTCCCTGCTTCGTCACCTCTGCATGCTATATCTCACCAGGAGCACGAGTCTGTCGTGTATCCTTCTGTGCTTCCTATTTTGCAGGATCCGCCTCCCATACCTTCGCCGCCAATCCCGTCCACTCCGCCACCAAAAGAACACATCAAGGAGGAGTGATGGCCGAAACTGCAGGCAGCTAAGCCTGCTCGAAAGAAAGCCGGCGACCACTATGAGCTGGTCCCGCCCCCACCTTGGCCATCCGAGTATTCACTCGCTTGCATCTTGCCGGATGGCCAAGTCGAGTTGGCGAGTGCTGGTGGGCACAACCGCCGTGTGCATGGCCACCACCTGAAGCTGTACCTCAAGAGCGATGTGGATCCGCTCTTGAAGGCACCTGATCCTACACTTCTCTGAGCATCCACCCACTGGCGTCCAGCTAAAAGACGGTAAAGAAGCGCTTGTGGGGAGGCAACCCCACCTAGGTTTGCATTTTCTTACTTTTTTCCTTTTTATTTTTTGTGTTTTTGAGTCTTGAGGGGTTGTTCACGAGTTGTACGTCGTTCTGGAGTGAAAACAGGTCAAATTCGGAGTTCTGGCTGCCCACACGGCCAGCCCTGAAGGTCACACGGTCGTGTGAAAATGGGTTTTGGCCGTGTGGATTCCCTGGAATTTTCACACGGGCAAGAGGGGTCCCTCACACGGCCGTTTGGATTTGGCCCCAGCCTGTGTGAGCTCTCGTTATTTTTCACACGGCCAGGTGTGCTTTGCACACGGCCGTGTGGAAATCCTCGGCCTGCCCGTGTCGGCCGACACGGGCATATGTGCACCTCACACGGTCGTGTGAGCCTGCCCGTGTGGCCGAGCCACGGGCTATAAATTCGGCCGACACGGCCGAGTGGTCAGAAAATCAATTTTCTCTCGCCGGAATCCTCTCCCCCTCGCCGGAAAACCGCGACTTTTCGCCATCCTTGTCGATTTTCGGCCATTTTTGGTCGGTTTTTCACAAATCCAGCACCACACCCACCCTTTGCTCCCCATTATCGGCCTATCCCTCGATTTTGAGGTGATTTGGCCTGATTTTGAGTCGTCGGAGGCGATTTCCGGCGAGACTTCGGCGAGGCTCCGACGAGTACTTCCGGGAAGTTTTTCGGCCTTTCGTCGCTTCCATTGCCTTCCCCTCATCATCCCCTACACCTCTACTTGAGTCTCCAGGTTTTATTTTGACCTTAACTATGTTATTTATGGAGAATTGGGTGTTAGGGTGCATGTTTAGAGAACCTCTTTGAATCATGTGAATTGTGTGCAATTGATTGAGGGGAATGCTTGGATTATGTATGAATTGTGTTGGGCATTGTCCCCCTTGCTTGTTTGAGCCCTTGTGTGCAAGAATTTTGTCAATTCCATGTTTACCTTAATAGTGCACACAAGGTGTTCGATAAAATGCCTGTTTTCGTACCATTTTGTGGGAGTCGGTTGGAGCCCTTAATGATGTGCTTTGATGGTGTGCTTGCTATGGATGTGAACCTTGAGTTGCCTACTTTTCCATGGATGTGCACCCCCACCCCGATTATGCTTGTTTGATCGAGTTTTTGACCCCCGAACTATGGATGAAACCATGGTTCGGCTGTTTTCTGTTCTTAAGTGTGGGGGTGCGATTAACATTTTCCTTGGCTCTTTTGGTTACACTTTGGGTTGTTCTTTTGCAGGACCATGATGAAGCCCAACCTCAGGCACCCATTTGTTCAAGATTTGAGAAGGGGGCCCCACCAGGATCGTTTTAAGAACGTCCTGGCCTGCAAGTTTGGGCAGCATCATTGCTGGTCCAAGCGAGAGTTGGAGAAGCTGAACTGCTACGAGCACTTCTCCGCCATTTTCACCAACCGCCCCTGGCGCCGCCTAGTCTGCATTCGCTAGAAGGTTTACCACGAGCTCGTGCTTCAGTTCTACACGACCTTCCAGCACACCGACATGGAGAATTGGAAGGACGGAGAAGCCGTCAAATTCAGGCTCGGCGGTGAACCCCGATCCATGAGCTACCACGAGCTGGCGACCGCCCTCGGCCTCGGCCTGGTCGATGACAGGGACTACATCACCGAGCTTATCGAGCTAGAGGGGGTGAACTTCAAGACACTGTACACCCGCCTCGCTCGGCCAGGCCAGGATCCCTTCTCGGCGGGGAAGACGAAGGCCAGCACATTGCAGCTCGACAACCGCATCCTCCATCACTTGCTGACCAAGTCTTACACTCCAGCCTCGAACAGTGCCAGCGCCATCACCAAGAGAGCCATGTACTTCATCCAGTCTATGCGCCAAAGGGATCATCCCCTCCACTTGGGTTCGATGGTGACGAGGACCTTCGACAAGAGTGCTTCTGAGCTGAAGAAACTCCACTACACTCCACTCATCACCCGCCTGGCCACTTACTTCCAGATATCACTGCAGGGGTGCATAGAGCAGGGAGACACCAGTGCCTTTGGCGAGTTTACGATCAGTAAAATGCACCTACTTCGAGAAGAGCGAGGTGTTAAGTGGATCGAGGGGTTTCCTCAACCTCAGATCCCAGAGGAGGTCCAGCCGGAAGTTCCCGAGGGTGCGGCTGATGAGGATGTCCACCCCGAGGATGTGGATGATACTGCTGCCGGCCGCCCCACCACCTTCGAGTACGGGGGTGGCAACTCCACTTTCCCCGGCCAGGACTACTTCACTCAGCAGTTTGAGCAGCTCCGTCTCCAGAATCAGCAGCTCTATGACCATCAGCTCCAGTTTCAGCAGCAGTATTCGGCTCACCATGCCGAGTACCAGACCCGGTTGGCTGCGTATGATGAGCGCCTTGATCGGATGGAGACCCAGCAGAGGGTGACCCTAGCTCGCATAGAGAGAGAGCAGGCCCGTTCTCGGCGCATGCAGGAGGTCCAGCAGCGCCTGCTCCAGCTGCTACCAGGTGCGCAGCCAGTCTGGAGGACTCCTTGGGAGGACTCTCCACTTCCACCTCCCCCTGCTGCTGATGATGATGATGATGCATTCATGAATGACATCGATCTGGACAACCTTGGCGACGAGTAGGCTGTACTTGTCGCCCCTCAGTGTGTGTTTTTGTTTTAGACTTTTTATGTTTGCTCCATGTGTTTGAGGAGCTTGAATTGAGTCTGTCGGTTGTTTTTGTCCTTTTTTCTTTCTTTTGTGGATTGTTTATTTTGTGGCCATCTGGGCCAACTCTGATCCCTAACGAACATGTGCTAGTGTGTTCTTGTCATTCCTTTAAGTGCAGAAATGCCCGTTCGTTCCATATGTCCCCCGCTGACTGGTCCACTTCCAGTCTCCTGCAGCATTTCAATCCGGTAACATCGTTCCCCTTCTCTATCCCTCTGCTCCATTGAGGGCAATGTCGTGCTTAAGTGTGGGGGGTGCTTTGTATCGGTTGGAATTTATATACGTGTGCTTGGGGCCTAGTCCGCTGTCCAAATCTCGAGATTCGAGGGCTCCAAGTACGGTTGTTTGATCATATTGGCACTGTGTTTTGATTGGTGAATTGAATGGTTTTCGGATTAATGCATGACAACTGGATGGTGACTAGGACAACCTATAATGATGACTGAGACGTGCAGTAGAATTGTGTAGGGTTCAGTCTTTCAACTGTTTGCTTATCAACTGTGACTTGGATTGATTACATGTTCTTGAAAGTCTCTTATGCATCTAGTTCAGGGAATCAGAATGAGAGATAGAGCATATAGGTAGCCATGCGAGATTTGAGCCTGCTCGTTTCTTTCTTGTGCGATAGTTCCCTCTTCCATGATGTGTAGCATTCACGTTGTCATTAGCTAAGATGATGGAGGCATAGGATAAGCCCACGACCAAATTGACTGTCCTGGTGTGTCATACCCCCTAGTCAGCCCCTTTGAGCCTTGTGTTATCCTTTCTTTCGGTCTTCAATGAAAAGTCACCCTTTTGCATTTTTTAGAAGGTTCCACAGAGTGATTTTTACATGTTCTCTGTTGTTTCTGCTAAATGTAATGTGAGAGTTGGAGGTAGTTCTTAAAAAGTTGGGCAGGTGTTTGAAAATGCGCAGAGGTGGTGGTTTTCTTAAGAAATGGAAAAAAATGAAAGAAAAACAAAGAAAAAATGGAAGCAAAATAGAGCCACCACCAAAAATATGAATAGTGCCCATTAAGTAGTGTTTCTTAGAAGTCTGGCTTAGAAATACTAGCATTTATGTGACCTCCTTCGCTCTTGTGCTCTGAAGGATTTGAGTAATGCAGAATAGCAGAAAGAAAGTACTGGTTTGATTGACTGTGAGTTTATTGGGTTTGGAAATGTGGAACCTTGTGCTAGGAATACTTCCACCACCTAAAAGGCCTTTTCCCCATGTCCAAGACCCTAGCCAGTCGTTTGAACCTATGTCTAAGACCTCCTAATTAGTTAGTGATGACAACCATTTATGTGAACTCTAACATTTAGAGGCTGCCGTCATGGTGAAGAGATGTTAGGAATTGAGAGAATAAGTATGCGCATTTTTCGCATCAAATTGTCCTGACCCCACTGGTCGAGAGTGAGCGATTCATTTCCTAGTTCTTTACACTCTTTACCCAGTGAGGACCTAGATGGCTCGGTCTTGATTATGATGTCTTGAGTTTTATGCATGAGTTGACTGTCTTGAGTAAGTGGCTGAGTTAAGTCTAGGTTGGTTGATGAACAGAAGGGAGACTCCTCCCTTACTCGATTTTGCTGCACTCGAATGTTTTCTGTGGTGGTTGTCAGGTTGCTATTGAGGTTGTTCATGTGTTGATGTTTGAAAGCCAGTATGATTCACGTGTTCTGTGCCTATATGATTTGTCCCCAATGTTGGTACGATTGAAATATGTGAGCTTACCTTGTGTCTGACTTGGTTTGCTTGGGGACAAGCAAACGGTTAAGTGTGGGGGAGTTTGATAAACCGTTAATTGCACATGTTTTCACCCCTATTCTTGAGTCGTTTGAGGTGTTGATTCTCGTGTTTTAGGCCGATTTCATGCTAGGTTGTGCTTGTTTGTGATATTTCAGGTCCTAGTAAGTGAATGAAGGTTTAGGAGCGAGTTCGGGGTCAAATTGGACGAAGATGGGACGCGAGGCAAGTCGCTGAGGAAGCCACACGGGCACACACAAAACACACACGGCCGTGCAAGTCACCAATGTGGCCGTGTGGGATTGTGCGAGCCTTCACACGGGCACAAATAAATTCCACACGGCCGTGTGAAAGAGCAATGTGGCCGTGTGGAATTCTGCGAGGCTTCACACGGGCAGACTGGGTGAGCTACACGACCGTGTGTCTCTGGTCGTGTAGGTAGCCTGAAGTGCAATTATTGGAAACGTGGCGTTTTGTGTCTCACACTGACAACTGGGTATGCCACACAGCCGTGTGGCCTGCCCGTGTGATCGGGATTTTCAGGTTTTTACCCGATTTCGGGCCACAAGTGAGAGAATCGAATTTTCAGAGCAAAAACAGAGCCCTAGAGAAAGTGCGAAGAACACATCCTAGAAGGTATCTTGGAGCTGGGTTTCATCAAATGGAGCTTGGAGATCGTCATAGGAGTGGAAATCATCATCCCATAGCAGATTTTCCTCATCTTTATGAGTATGACTGCTTTGTATTATGTTTTCCTCTCTCTCTCTATGGAGTAGAACCCTTCTCTCACTTGGGTATGAAGAACCCTAGTTCCATGTGTTAGGGATTTGATTGTAATGACTTGGGATGATTATACTGTTTGGTTTTAATCGAATGATGCATGTTTATTGAATTGATTGAAGTCTGATCAGCTTTTCTTGATTTCTGCTGCAACCTGAGATAGATAGAATCTGATTAGGTTGTTAGAGTTTCATCATTCGTTAGTAGGAGATTGGCTATACGAGAGTTAGCCAGTTTACTGCTTTGTACTGGAATCCAATTCAAGTAGTGGAGTTCTGTGCTTATTGCTTCAGCTTTCTATCCCGGTGAAGACTAGTCGTCTGCCGGGTAGTTAGACTGAGAGGGCTTGGTCAGCTTAAGAGATTCCAAGCTACTGTCGGATCTTCCGCAGTCTAATCAACAGTAAATCAACCCAGGGTAATTACAATTGAGACCTAACTAAGGAGCTAGGGGGACTCATTCCCGAGTGACTCTTCTTTGCTTGAGAAAACCGAGCCAATTCCTGCTTTCTTACTGCTTTTGCTTAAAACAACAATCACTTGACTTAGTTGGCTAGATAATAGATAATCACGGAGTAAGCAGTAGATCTAGACCCCGGGTTGATAATAGAACTTGCCACTTTACTGCATTCCAGGACTGCGATTACACTTGGTCGCAGTTTGGTGTTGTGTTTTGGCGTGTCAACTTATCCTAGAGAAGAACTAGCATCAAATAGGATTAGTGAAACTCAACTAGTATCTCTTGCAAAATCCAATTTTGTGCAATGAACAGTTGCCTCACACGTTGGCTTACCTCATACTTTATTTGGTAACATAACATGGCAAACTTCATATCATACAATCATGTCTAGATGGGTAGTTTTTGCATGTGATAAAATGTCCAATACACCCCATCGATGGTCTAAGGTCATTCATACTATAGAAACATCAATGACCATCATAAGCATCGAATACAATAAGCTTCCATATGTTACGTGTATTTCTCCGGTGAGAACCTTCACGCAAACGATCATCGTAGATGTTGAAAGATAAACTTAAGAAAGTGACTTAGAACAAAGAGAATATTTAGAGGAACGAAGATAACTACAACTACTAATGAATTTCAATCTTTAACATTCATTAAACTAGAGAATAAGTACATATTTACAGGCATAAAAAACCACCAAAATCCCAATCCTACAACTACAAGGTTGGCCGCCCTCTCTCCATTTTTCTACCTAGATTATGAAACCCAACCCACAAGGAAATATTAATTAACTCCTAATCAATAACACAAATCCCACTTGAATAAGGAAAACAATAATAAAGATAATTAATAATAAAATACTAAGTAATTAAATATCCAAGCCCAGGTCGAGACCCAATAGTTACGATGGCTTGATTCTCGTAACACTATACATAATCATCGACATCGAGAATCTCATAGATAAACACAATCATGAGATGAAATCATAGCATTCATTCACGTAACAATAATCAAGATCACGTCCTAACACAATCAATTTTGACTAGCTACATAGAGGAGAAGGAAGATACCACAATTGATGATGACAACATCTCCTTAGCTGCAGACCCTCTACTTGGACTAAGATAAGCAATGGTGTAAAGTGTTACCGAGATTTGTGTGTTTGTGCAACCTTACTCTTATATTGAAGTCATGCCCTCTATTTATAGCGGAGAATTCATCATAAAACATCCTAAACTGACTAGGAAAGAGTCTCCTAAACCTAGTAGACTCAAGAAACTTCGTCAACAAGGCAAAGGAAAGGCGGCGGTAGGACATCGGTTGGACCTACCGATGTGTCTCTTCGTGGGTTGGGCATCCTGATCCATACACTTCTATACCTCATGATTTGGGCTGCAACTTGAGGGAGCGACGGTTTGGACCTGTTGCTTGGGCCACCACTCATTCTTTCTTCAAATTGGGCTATTCTTCCTCTTATGCGCTCGTCTTCATATAGTCTAGCGAATTCTAGTCGACTTCTCCGTTATTGGACCACTTCTTTCTCGTGAAACTCTTTAATCTTCTCATTATAGCTCATTTAGTCCTCTAGAGCTCTTCAACGTTTGATTCAATCTTCCTTATGTTAATTTGTACCTTCAAAAGCATACTCAAAAGTCATCCAAATCCCACATATCTAAACAAACAAGTAAATTGGGAAAAATAACTCATTTAAATGAGGAATTTAGACTCAAATGACTCCTTGTTGGCTTTATGTCGGTACATTCACTAGATTGGGCCTTTAGGATACTTAGTCTGCTAATCAGCGGCTTCTGCCCCTAAAACCTTTACTCCTCATGATATGAGTTCCCACCAAGCTTGTCAACTCGGTTTAGCCCGTTGGTCCTGTCGAGCAAGTGGGCTGAGGGTTAGTGGGCCAACCGCTTTATCCCGGATATATGGTAAAAGTCATTGTATTGTTCATACATTTATAAATTATATAAAATCTCATCTAACATATGAGTTATAACATATATCATTACAATAAATATGTCGTACTTGGATCTAATATAAAGTGAAAATTCACACATACTTATATAATATCAATGTTCAACTTATAATTCCAAAGAATGGGCTAGGCGAAAGAAAAGCCAAAAAAATATGCGCATTTCACAAACCAAAGGAAAAACGATGCCGTTTGACCTCCCGTCCAATGCCTTGTAGCGGGTCGACCCGGGGGGTGTGTACGACCCGTTTTTCTCACTGTGTCAGGGTAAAAGTGGGCCAGTGAGTCGACCCACGGTTGACAACCTTGGTACCGTCTCGGCTAGCCCGAAATGAAATACCAGCGTGCGTGAGGTTCCGGTAGGGGTGTGCAACGGTTCGGTCCAATCCATATCGGACCAAACTCATAAGAACTGCGGTCCATTAGTGAAATACATCTTAAGACCAAGGACCGAACCATCATTGTATTCGGTCTATCTGATCTTGTTCAATCCAATACAAATATCAGTTCGATCCATCATTTCTTCCATAATTGTAAAATTCATGTGGACCAAAAACCGGACCGCATTATACTCGGTCCGGTCCAAACTTCAATTTGGTCCGGTACGATTCGGGAATCGTACCATTGCAATTTGCACACCCCTAGGTTCCGGGACACGCCTCCAGCGGAGTGCCAACATTCGGTTGAAGTAGTTAAAACTTAAAAGTTAAAACTTATAACTCAAAATGAACAGGCTATCATCAAGCTCCAGCTACCCTCTCCGTCGGCAGGTCCTGCAAACGGAAGATCGATGCTCAGGGAAAGTAAATTACCACTCAAGAGTTTGAAGTTCTGTCGGACAACGAATCTCGGGAGGGAGGAGCTAAGAGATGGGTGCCTCGGAATCCACGCTCTCAATCTCGGAGGTAACTGTTTTGATTTCTCGCCGATATTTCCACCAAATTTCTTTCTGAAATTCGTGTCCACTTACGCTTGACTTGGGTCTGGATATGGCGAGCAGAAATTCGCCGACGAGATTACCACCGTTTCAGAGCGGTCCGAGAGCGTGGATCTCCTCTCTGAGAAGCTGAAATCGCTCAAAATTGTAAGTTTTTGGGGTCACGCAGAAATTAGGTTTCCTGCGTTTCTGCTCACATTGTCTGGGGCGATTTATAATTGCAGACAAAGCCACTGCTGACATCTTCTCCAAAGGAAGGCAGCTTGACTGACATTCTGGTGAGGAAGCCGTCTTCTTCTACCACTCCTGGTGGGTAGACCATTTCCCCCCTTTTTGGGATCCTTTCCCGTTTCGTTTCCCTTTTTGCTTTTGAAACTGAGATGGAGTTTCCTTGTTGGACTGAACACAGGTATAGTGGACCCTAAAGTGCTGCTGGACCTCTTCTCAATGTACCGTGTTTGGCAGGAGGAACGGACCCAGGAGATCAGCAAGAATCAGGTTGGGTTTCCTCGCTGCATTTGCAGCATTTTGATTTCTCATGGAGATGTTTGCTTCCCAGTTATCCAATGGCCCATTCTGCGCCTAAAACCTGGCCTAGGTTAAACATAAACCCTAGCTAGTATTCTCTTCCGGTTGGTTCAAGAGTTCAATGACAGATTTCTGAACGAATTAAGAACTTGATTCTCGACGAGATAGTAGAATATGATCTGTACTGAATGATTAGATTGATGGTTAGTTCCTCACCAATGTTGATGTAATCACACTGCTAGTTTGGCAGCGGCAGTAGTAGACACGCACTGGAGCTCCTTGCTAGTCCAATCTCTGTTTGGTCTCTTTCCTACTGTTTGATATACACCTGAGATTTGCTTTCAACTGAGAAAAGCCTGCTTTTATGATGTTAATTTGCTCCAATGACAACGCTTTTGTGTTCTGCTCGTTGGTGGAAATGTTACAGGAGGAGATTGAAAACAAGATAGAAGTTGTGGATGCTTTGGCACTCAAGCTTCTTCAACGGTTCAATCACTCAGTCTCAACCATGAGGACTACTTCTCATCATCTATCAGGAGGTAATAACCAATTACTGCTGAAATAGACGGATCTTCCCTTCCTGGTCTTTGGCTCTTCCGTGTGTTAGCACAAAGCCAGTAATCGATCTCTACCTTCCCAATTTCATCACAGTTCTAACTAACTTCGTATGAACAATGCATGTACATACAAAGTTCATAGCCTGAAGGTGGAGATAGGTGAGTTAAAAGGGAGGCTGACAGAGGTGATCAGCAATTGTGATGCGCTATGCAAGAGAATAACTACCGAGGGCCCAGAATCCCTTTGTTCCTCTGTCAAGCCATTCGTCGTGCCAACGCTTCCTGGATCAAGCATTAGCAATAGCTCCTCTGCTGTTTCTGTGGAAAGTGTTCTACATGGAAATAAGCCTTCCAATCAAAGCTAGGCTCTGATTTCTTGGTTGATGATCGTATTTATTTATGAACTCTGTTTGGGGATTCAGATGGATACAGATTGTCTAACTAGAGTGAAAATGGTAAAATTGAAGACTGTGACCAAGTCTTTTCAGCTTCTTTTTCTATGTATTTAGTACAGTGAGTGGCTGTCTGCTCTGTATGAACCATATAAGAGTTTCATTTGAAAGGAAACTGTACTGCCACCAAGATCGTATCTACCATTCACATTTATCTGTTCATAAACTGCCAGCAACGGCTCTCATTGCAGAAATGAAGCAATGCAATGACGACAGAACACAGGTGGAATCTGAAACTTTTTTTTTTTTATCACTGCCATTTAATCTGAGAATGGTGAAACAAAATCAAACCACTGGAAACCAAAGAAACAAAAGGTACAAGTTTTAAAAACTCAAAGGCAAATGTAAATTACTCTCCCAACTCTGTGAAGCCATAAATAAGTAGGCGAAATGGAACTCAAGGCTGCTGCTGGGCATCCATGTAACCAGCATCCACCAGCACCTTCTCCCTCTTGGCCAATTCAACATCTTCATCCACCATCATCTTCACCAGCTTCTCGAACCCAACTTTGGGCTTCCATCCCAGCACCTGCTTCGCCTTGCCGGCGTCGCCTTTCAAGTTATCCACCTCTGCCGGCCTGAAATACCTCTTGTCGATCACCACATGATCGTTCCAATTCAGACCCACATACCCAAACGCCACCTCCAGGAACTCCTGAACAGAGTGCGACTCCTCGGTCGCCACCACGTAGTCGTCGGGCTTCTCCTGCTGCAGCATCAACCACATGGCCTCGACGTAGTCGCCGGCGAAACCCCAATCCCTGGACGCCTGGAGATTCCCCAGGTACAGCTTGCTCTGGAGGCCGACCTTGATCCTGCCGACGGCCCTGGTGATCTTCCTGGTGACGAAATTCTCGCCACGCCTGGGGGATTCGTGGTTGAACAAGATCCCATTGCAGGCGTAGAGGCCGTAGGCTTCCCTGTAATTGACGGTGTACCAGTGGGCGGCCGCCTTGGAGGCGGCGTAAGGGGATCTGGGGTGGAAGGGGGTGTCCTCGGACTGCGGCGGCGGGGTGGATCCGAACATTTCGGAGGATCCGGCCTGGTAGTAGCGGATGTGAGCCCGACCCGTGTCCTGGATGTGAGATCTGACGGCCTCGAGGAGGCGGAGGGCGCCGGTGGCGACGACGTCGGCGGTGTAGTCGGGGATCTCGAAGGAGACGGCGACGTGGGACTGGGCGGCGAGGTTGTAGACCTCGTCGGGGCGGATGGTGTCGAGCCAGCGGCGGAGGGAGGAGGCGTCGGTGAGATCGGCGTAGTGGAGCTTCATCCGGGCCTTGTGGGCGTTGTGTGGGTCGATGTAGATGTGGTTGATCCGCTGGGTGTTGAAGTTGGAGGACCGGCGGATGAGGCCGTGGACCTCGTAGCCCTTGCCGAGGAGGAATTCGGTGAGGTAGGAGCCGTCCTGCCCAGTTATGCCGGTGATCAGAGCCACTTTCAGTGCGGCAGCGGCGTCGCCATTGCCGGATCCGGATCTGGAATTCTCGCTGTCGGTAGCCATTTGAGGGGTCGGCGAGGGAAGGGGGGGAAGTTTTGAGATTCAGTTGACGGAGTGGGGAAATCGAAAGACGCGGTTTTGGGGGACGGTGGAGGGATTTCAATTTATAGGCGGAATTGGAAATGGCGATGTTGCAGAGTAGTTTCTTGAGGTTAATGAGGAAGGGGGGAGGGGCTGGGGGGCGTAATTACTACTTTCTCCTCCGGTAAGTGGCCAATCGACGTTTGTTTTTTAATCTGCTTGCTGAAAATGAATAGAAAAGTCAAGTTTCCCGTAATCGGACGGGGATGCTTAATGAAACACTTTCATGCTTTAGCACGTCATGTGCAACATTAGATCTCTTTTTTCCTTCCAAAAAATTAGATCTAAGGGGTTTATATCACCCAAGATGATTTGAGGTGCAACCATGGTTGTCACGCCGGCCGTTGTACCATTGGTTGAACCTGGTTCAACCTGTACCGGTCATAAAACCGGTATGATACTATCGGTATGACCGGCATGATCGATATACGAATCTCTAAGTAAAATTATCTTATATTAGTGAATTTATTTGATAAAAAGTAAATTATTATTTATTTTATGTGTTAAAAAGTTAAATGTTGATGTTATTTGTTGGATTCAAGTACAAATATTTAGGTATTGACGTTAAATGTCGTGCTTAAATATGAGTATTTGTAATATTAACCGGCATGAACTGGCACAAACCAGTATGTACCACCGGTCGAACCATTCCACTTGCTAAACCGGCACACTGGCACAAACCGGTTTGACAACCTTGAGTGCAAATTAATTTGGGTAAATAAAATTTATTAGTTGAATCTTTTGCTTTTAAACAAAAAAGGGTAAATACTCTAATATGGCTCCAACTTTGTATAAATACACAATTTTGGCCCCAACTTACAATAAGGACACAAATGGCCCCAACTTTGAAATTAATGGACAACTTTGGTCTAACGGTCAACTCATTTAAGCCCTGTTCTATACTAAGATGTATAGAACAGGGCTTGTAAAAGGGATACTTGCATAGAGGAATCCGAAAAGTTTCTATTGATTGGTGCTTAACTTTATGGTTTCATTTAATTAATTTCTTTTTTTAGCTTATGTATCTTAATTTCATATCAAGTCATTAAAACTTAAATGAGTTGACGTTAGTATTAACGATCAAACGCAGAATTAGGCCAAAACAGTCCGTTATTTTCAAAGTTGGGGTCATTTTTGTCCTTATTGTAAGTTGGGGCCAAAATTATCTATTTATACAAAGTTGGGCCATATTAGGGTATTTACCAAACAAAATAATAGCCAAACTTTTTCGACATCAATTTATTAGTCAAACCGTTAACTTTCCATCTGGTCAACTGTTAGTTGACTCTGATGTGGCAAAATATTAAATGAGATGGATTGGTTTGATGATGTGGCAAAAAATCAAAGGTTTGACTATGCCACATATTTTACTCAACAATTTTTATTTAATGAAAAATGAATAAATTAAAATAATAATGGTACAAAAAAAAGACAATCCTTCATCTTCTTCGTTGGTGGGATCGGAAACAATGACGACTTCATCTTCTTTGTTGGTGGGATAGGAAATAGATGAGTGTAAGAGGCCACAGATGAAAGACATCGACGGCGATCGACTTCATCTTCTTCTCAATTGGGGGAACTGGAAACAGATCCATGCAACACTCGTCGGATCAAAGCATATCTGGAACACATCGTTCAAAAACCCCAGAAATCGAAAATCTATCTGCTGGAGGCGGCGACGGACGATTGGGCATGCTTCGTGATTTTTGGTCACCCAATCTATCTCTCTAGCCCTCTCTTTGTCTTCTAATTTGAACCATCTTCGCCTCCATTGTCGCCTAATCCCTGCAATTCTGAGCTAACCAATCCATTAACAACTTCCGACGAGCTCCAACCAATGGCGAAGTTCAAAGAAGGCGAGGAACGCTGGATTGTTGAAGATCGCAACCTCTCTCCAAGTTCCTCTCAAATCACACCCTCCTCTCCGGTGAATGAAACCTCTGCTCGCTCTTCTCTGGGAAGGCGAGGCAAAAGACGTCGAGGATGGAACTTTAATTAAAAATGATATCTTCATTTATATGCTATCAATTGAATTATGATTGCACCATTAAAATAATATACTACTAATTTTCCAGTATCATTTGTCTAGGATGGTTTCGAAGAACAATAGGTGTAAATCGAAGAACTGTTTTACTGTTACTCGTCAAATAATAACAATAATAATAATGCTATAACTAATCCCTGCAACGAGAGTGAAAGTAGGTAGGTCATTTTTTTCTTTACAAATTTATTATTTATTTCATATAAAAATAGCAATATCAAGATTTGAACCCGGGTCTCTTCAAACAAATATAACAATCACAACCAGTTACACTAAACAAATTTATTGCATCCTTTTTTATACAAAAAAATAGACAAAGTTAATCTCTGAAAATCATATTACTTTTTCATCATAATTAGCAAGCTCACTAAGTCTACCGTATGTATTTTTATCAAGCTTGATACTTCTATTTTCATAGTAGAGTTTCATGTAATTTTCTCAATTTTAAATTCCTGCTCTCTCCTTAACTTTTGCTAAAGGTAAATGGGTAATTGGCTAACATGGAAGAAACTAATTATGTAACTACGTGTTGTATCCTTGCATTTTTCAATCTAAATTTAAATTTAGTATTTTTTTTTATCTTTGTTCTTTTCTTTCTAACTTCCTCCGAAATTCATCCATCGTGCAATAGTTTGCGCCTTTCACTTCCCAGTACAAGACTGTCATTGAAAATCAATCTTCAGGTATCTCTTGGCACTACGGTTTTATTGTTGGGGATTTTAAGCTGGGCGAGTAGAAGATTTCAACTCCGATATCAATTCATGGCGAATAGAATGGAGTTCATCAATAACTGAAGTTGTAGAAGGAGGATTAGAAATTGAATTTTTGGTTGAATATATGCCTCTTGAGATAGAAAATTTGGTTGTACAACGGAGAGTGGTGGCTATTGGATCTTTAGGTTTATGGTTTTTGCAACTGTCACAACCTATTTCTATCTTAAAACGAGGAATCATTGATTGATTGTTTGAAATAGGTCGCTTTTTTATTCAACCTACTGGAACTAATAGATAACGAGTGTCTAATTTTGCGCCTTATTACTTTGATCGAGTCTATTCGTATATTGGAGTGACCCTGATTTTTTCGTTTGCTCTCAAGTTGTGATGGTCCCCTCTTAACTGAGTTTTTAGTATATAGATGACTTGAATGAACAACTCTCCATTTCTTTTTGATTAGTGACATATTGTTTCTAAAAGGAGAGCATTGAACCCTTTATATAGATTGTGAAGTTTAAGATTTAGTTTCAAACTATCTATGGGTTGTGTGAGAATTTCAGTGAGTTTTTATACTCTATATTTCTTGACTGTAAAAAAAAAAACTAACTAATAGCATTTTAACAGAAACTTAATTAACATTATGAAAATGGGGTCAATGATACATTTTTATATTTTATATTCTTAAATGATTATGATATTTCTCCGAATGTTCGACCTATATATTATTTCTTTATGTATCATTTCGATCGAATTATCATCAATAAGATTAAACGGGTTAATAGATTTAAAAGTAACATAAAAATGCAAATAATCAAATATGAGCATTCCGGCCAAAGGGCCGGGTTATAAGCTAGTTCAATAAAGATATGCAAAATTACGACGAGTGTCCTTCCCGAAATGATGCAAGATTTGTTTGTTAAATGAATATAATAATTCGATTATTTGTTCAAATAAGACCCTAGAGATTAGAACGACTTAAAGAACGAGAAATCGTTTTTATCACGTTCTTCCACTAACTTGTCCATTAAAAAATCTCATTCTCTTGGCACACGGAGCTTCATCCAATCCAGACCATGTGTGCATCTGAAACGACAAGTCATGCCGGTAAAGGCAGTTTCCGCCACTGCGGCAACCCCTTGAACTTTTGAAGTACATGCACGCCTTTTGGAATTTCGCATTTACCTCCCTCATTTTTCTGTTTTCACCATAATAATCTATGGCAGCAGCATCAGAAGATTGTTTTGGGACCTCCCCAAAATGCATTTTCGACATGTCTGCTCCGTGTTCCCTTATTAGATTCTTAAAGTAGTCGAAGTCCTTCACATGGTTCGTTCCAATCGGCGGCGCCATCACAGGTTGTCCAGCGGCCGGTTCGACCCGCATAATGTTCGGGTTGGTGACATTAGGAGGCACAGGTTGAACCCGATTCAGGCCGGGATAGATCGGGTCCGACCTGGGAATGTAAGTGGGTGCAGCAATAGACGCCTGGTTTGGGCGGAAAATCAGACCAGCATTGGAGTCGGGAGGTGTTATAGGAGCAGAAAGCATTGGCTGGTTAGGTGGGTTGGCGATTTCATCAGCTGCCCTGGCAGTGATGGTGCCATCTCCAACTAGTTTTTGGATCATGTCGGGGTCATTTAAGATTCTAACTAGCAGATCGGTGTCAATAGAAGCTGCATTTGCAGCAGCTAAAGTTGAAGCAGCGATACTCACGGCGGCCGGATTTTGATGTCGTATTGTTGCTACTCCAGCAGGTCCTTGTTTCTTTTCAGCCAAGTCGGATGGAGGTGAAAACTTGCTAGCTGAAGGAATCTGGTTAGCAGATTCATGGGCAGATGGTGGTGGTTGGCATTTCACAGGAGAGGGCGGAACTAAAGCTTCAGCGTCTTCTTCAACAGGAGTGAGAGGGATGATAGGGACGCGGCGACTATCATCACCCTTTTCACATTCTGCATTCAATGGACTGCAAGCAGAAGAAGAAGAAGAAGAAGAAGAAGAAGAAGAAGAAGAAGAAGAAGAAGAAAACCCTTGTGAGGCCACACATTCCAATTGAGCGTTGCATCACTTGTAAGCAGTAAGATGTAGAGTTGGGAACTTGGGATTGGTAAAATGAAGGCTTACTTGGGCGGGACGACAGAGAGACGTGGATAAACAGCTTCGAACAAACTCATTTCCCTCTGTTTCTGAGCTCTCATCTCCTGGCTTTCTTCACCAGCAGCGACGCACCACTGAGCTCTCAATCCAAACTGTTTCGAAAAGGATGACTGAATTAACACACTATTCAATGTCTCAAATATCATAAGCTATTCCTAGTGAGAGGAGAATAAGAGTTGTTGTTGGCTAATATGCTAACCTTGGGAGGGCACTTCCACTGTAGCACTGTAGCAAATTGCGAGTGACTGTCCTCAAACCCAGGAGGGAGATCACTGTATTCTCGGCTGTTTGGATTCTGCAGTATGCCACGGGGTATCCTGTCCCTGTGTTTAAGATGGCATTGAGCTTGGTTTCCTACTTTTGAAGGACAATCATCTCTTGAGAAGAGCTTCACCTGTTTCAAAACACAATCTCATGTCAAAGACAAAGAGCAATTATCCCACAGTTACTAAGTGCTGTATTTCCAAATGAATTATCCCATGTTCATCAAACATAATGCAGCTCAAGGACACGCCCATAAACAAAACATAAGAACACATATATTTGCATTGCTGTTCCTGGATCTCAATGGCCTCTTGTAACCAATGATCAACCAGTGGTTCCAAAATTCAACAGCGCAAACTGAAACGGGGAACAACAATATACTAATTAATATCAGAGAATTAGATGGATGAACCAGACTCCAAATCCAACCTTTAATTTTTATTTGTCCACTCGTCTATGCTACCTATCATCTCTTTTCCCTCTCATCGTGTTTGAGATTCACAGCTAATCAGAATCGGGGTCATTGAACCACCCACATAAGTTGTTTTTTTTACCAGCAAAAAAAAAGAGCTCTGCTGCAGTTTCTTGTCTCTCTCGTAGTCGTACAATTCCCTCTTCCATATTTGAGAGCTGTGTTTTCCCCCTGGTTCTGTTGGGTATTGCCTTTCTTAACGGGATTCATACAATATTTGGCCTAATTGAGTTCAAGTTTCCATGTTCAATATGAATGATGATCGGAAATATAATAATCCGATTCAGTGTACTAAAGGGTTAGTGTTCAAATTCAATGATCTTTCTTCGAGAATGAGAAATATATCAAAAGTATCGATTTTTCGATTCAGTGTAAAATAATCCCCGGTGGAAGAGAAGGATGGCGAATTTAGAGCCAACGTCAATTCAAACAAAAAAAAAAAAAAATTCCAGACAAGGAAAAGACGTAGGATTATGCAGGGAGGTTCAGATTGCAGAGGTTATTATGATACCTGAGACAGTCTAACGTCAGGAGCCCAAGTTACGCGGTTCGATTTCCTCCATCGCTTCATATTCTTTATCGGCAGATTCCCTCCTTCCCCTCTCTTCTCTCTCTCCTCAATTCCAATCGAGTATGATCAATCAAAGAGTTGGCGTAAAGTTTTATTTCCAGTCAGGTTGATTTTTCCGATTAGATCTAGAACCTCAACCTAGCTAGATTCTTCTGTTTAATCCCCCCGCCACCACGCAGATTCCAATTCCTTATGAACAGGATACAGAGAGAGAGAGAGAGATTACGCAGCAAACAACGACGACGGGGGACGCCAGGGGAAAAAGGAAAGAAGGAGGGAGGGCGAGCGGCGGTGTCGAAATAATCGCAAATTAGGAAATACGAACAAGACCTAATTCTTCCTCTCTGAGCTGTCTGTCTCGCAACAAGAGAAAATTCTAGATATCTCTCCTCTCGTTTGTTATGATGATTCATGACTTGATTAACGTATTGCGCTCCTTATATATGCAGAGTAATTGAAGGATAACCAAAATTAACACAGAAACGGAGTTTGACAGGGCAGCAACGGAACCGGTTGATTAAAGATTATGGTTGGGTTGCGTTGCGTTGCGGGAAAGGCTTGGTTGGGGGAATGGATCAGGTCAAGAATAACCATGAGTAACTCGTCCACATCAGCATGACATCAACATCCCTCTCTCTTTTGGAAAATCTTTAATTTTCCTCTCCTTAATATTTGACGGACGATTTCTCACTCGTTTTAAGTTGAATTTTTTTTTGCACAGTTAGATCAGATTAATTGTGCTCTTCAAAATGATATTCACTTTGATATATTTTTCGAACAAAAAAATTTGAGACGTTTTTTACCAATCTATATCATATGGTATTGACTGGTATTGAAATAATAGCATACCTATGGTTTGAAAAGCGTACCATGGTGGTATGAACAAACCAAGACTGTAGGATGGTTGAATACATGATAGTATATCAACTATCATTTACGACTTTTAACATTGTGTACAACAAGATACCACCACCGTACTAGGGTGGTATTGTATGGTATTGTGTGTTATTTTTTGGTCATGTAATTTGTTCACCCAGAAATTTGTAGATCTAATAGATCATGATGAACTCGTCCCTCCTGTGCAAACGTTTTCAAAAACGAATTAAAAACGAAGAAAATACCATATGGTATGCAGTTGGTGCCTAGAGGCCATAATTTTTTTTCTAAAAAAATATTGAAAATTGATCTCATTTTGTAGAGCACGATGAACTCGTTTCATCTGTGCAAAAAAAAATTCGAGTTAAAACGAAAAAGATATGAATCGATTAAGAAAGATAGGAAAAATAAAAATGGTTTTTAATTCTCCATCCTTAGATCTGGATTTTCTAAATGAAGGGTCCATATTTGATTATTGATGGGTGCATAACCATGGGTTATGCACCCTATCTTGAGTCGGCTCTAGGCCAGGCAGGCAAAACTATATGGAGACTAGATGGGGTGAGTAGGAATGGCAATGGGCAGGTCTGGGGCTTATATCATGCTAATCATATCCGCCCCGTGGCAGGTCAGGTAATTTATCATGGGTCAAGGGTTGTGGCAGGTCGATTCAATGGTTATGCTATTTATATGGAAAACATTAGAAATATTCGTTCATTTCATTATAAGACCAAGAAAACAAACCATATTATGATAAATGTAGTTAAATTATTGGAAAAATTGAGTCTTTCACTAATTTACAACTTTATTATAACTAAAATATGATGTAATAAAAGGAAAATCCTAAATAATTTGACTAAGATTACATGTAATTTGGGTAAGAACGGGTCGAGAATCGAGCGGGTCAGGGCAGGTTGGGTTGATGAGAGTACCCATGCCCGCTCCGCCCGCCTATGGGGCCGGTCGGACCCGCTCCAAAACAGGCCAAACAGGTCGGGTAAAACGGGCCAGGTCGAAATTGACATCCCTAGGTGGGTGGTTGTTTTGTTTTGAGTTAATATCATAATTTGTCTCTTTATTATATATTTTTTAATATGTTATACTATTATTTTTTACATAAAATTTGTCTTTTTTAATTTGGTATACAAGACAATTAATCATTCTTGCGAAAGTTCGTATTTTGCTGGGAAATTTAATGGTCTTCCTGTACGATTTGTATGTCAGAGTAGCAATCGAGTAGCTCATATGGTGGCTAGAAAAACTCTTTCTTTATATCCGACTACATGTCGGTCTTTTGATTTTCTTTTCTGGTCATATTCTAGGCTGTAATTTGTCTGATCTCCTTTTAATCATTACAAGTTTATCTTTGTAAAAAAAATAGTGACAAATGGTTTGGAATAGAGTTATTCACAAGTGCACAATTAAATTTGGATCCTTGTTATTGAGTGGGACTAGATCTAAGGGAAGGGGTGAGATTAAAAGATTTTTTTTATATTTTTCATACATTATTAATTGGTTTCTATATTTTTTGTATTATGACTCGCACGAAACTACACCACAAATTAATCTCGACTAGAGTTCAAGTTTTTAAACTCTAGCCGGGTGCAGTATAGAGCAAGTATTTAAATTGTCAACCCAGGCCGGTTCATGTACCCCCTACTTCAATCACTTAAGTTGTTATCTAGCAAAACGATTTTGGGTTTTAAAACTAAGAAAACTACAAACTAAACTAGCAAGGAAAAGTCTAACTAGTAACTAAGGGAGCTTCACCCAGGAGTTGCTTCCACCTAACTAGCTACCAAGACTCGTTGGATTGGAACGATTGCTATGGGCAAGGTAACCGCGAACTGTAGAGGGATGCATATATGGTCGTAGACCACAATCTCAATTACTAAAACGAGGTGAACATTATAGGCCGTGTCACTCGGCCCTCTCGGTTTAGGCAATCGGTGTTTGACTTACTCCCTCACTCAACTCAAGGGGTGGATGGCTTAATCGCGCTTAACCAATTTGCTTAATTCAACATTGAGGTTTGCCCTAAATTAACCTAGTTAGGTGGCTTAAAAAGCTAAAGGAAAACCAACTCGATTGAGTCTCCATTGGAAGGTGGATTTTCCTCTCTAAGCTAGGTTAAAGTGGCTAATTAGATTGCAAAGCACCAACATGCACAAATCTAAGGATGCTAAGCACAAAACATGCACCACCCTTATATTGCTAAGCACAAGCATGCACAATCAACATGAATAATACCTTAATAAATTAAACAATACCCAATGACAATCATTTCATCTAAACAAGTAATTACAAAGTATTAGTTAGGGATCTACAACACCCAAGAGAAAAGAGTGAGTTTCTAGAGAGAGAGAGAGATTACAAATTTGAGCTCAAGATCTTCGTCTTCTTCTTCTTTTTCTAGGCTTGAATCTCCACCCAAGCCTCCAATGATGCTCCAAGATCACTCTAGCACTCTCTCTCTCTCTCTCTCTCTCTCTCACTCACTATAACTCCCCTTTGGTGTTTGGGCTGAAACCCTAGAGAAAGAAAGTGTTCCTTCTCCAAAAACCAACTCTCCTTTCTCTCTCCCCGCTGTTGTCTTCATATTTGCCTGAAAGTGATCAGTTCATCGACGCGTTGGGCAGTTCACGGTCGTGAACACCTAAACGCGTCCGTGAACTCAGTCGTCTCCAAAATGCCGGCCTTGCTTCCTGGGTTCACGGTCAATGGCCACAGTTCAAGGTCTTAGAGACCGTGAACTGTCTTGTCGTCAGTAACTTCAGGAACCTCGTTGGACGCCTCGGTGTTCACGGTTTGTGGTTGAAGTTCACGGTCTTAGGAGACCGTGAACTGCCTCGTCCGACCGTGACTGCAACTGTTTCCTGGGACACCTTCACTTCACTGTTACGTGGCAATTGTCACGGTTGACTTCGGACATTTCTTCGGTTTTTGCACTTTTTGACCTCCAATTATCCCAAAATTCGACCTCGACCCTTCCACACGTGCTAGGACCTGAAATGTATCAAAACAAACACAATCTAGCGTGAAATATGTCAAGGAACGATGAAATACTAAGCTAAACGAATAAGAAATGAGGGGTAAAATGTGTACATTTGGGCCCGAATCATATTAATCCAAATTTTTTTTCCACAAATGAGAAGGGCTCATTGTCATCTATAAAGTATATATATTTTTTATATGTTTCGAGAAATTGTTTTTGTACCACTCGTTACCACATGTTACCACCCTGTATCACATCACCAAATTTTGGAATTTTTTGTACAAATGGATCGAGCCCAACGTGATATAGAAATTTATGGGGAAAAAAAATCAGGACCAAATATACTAGGGGTGGCTATACGGTCCGGTTAAATTGGACCAAATTCACTGGTCCCAGTCCGGTCTTTTCGGGAATATAAGAACCAAAGATTGGATTGGATACAGTCCGGTCTTGACACGGTCCGGTCCCAATTTTATCTTGATTTTAGGTTTTGGGGGTCTCTTATCCGGTCTTTATTCGGGTTTTTTTTACCTCAAATCTAAGCCCAAATATGAGATTGGACTGTTTGCTATCCGGTCCCAATACGGTCCCGGTTCGGGTTATACGGTCCGGTTTCGGGTAAAACCAAACAGTCCGGACCAAATAGCCAGCCCTAAAATAATAAAATATACCACCATATACAACCCCCAGTATAGGCTGATAAATTGGTTGATGGTGCTGAAAGGTGACAAATAGTGATTAGTATATTTCTACTATCATGTATACAATCATTTTACACTGTGACGTTACACTTTCATGCCACCATGATAATACCTTATGTACTACAAGCATTATCATCATTGTATAGACTGGCAATATAAGCCTCAATTTTTTCCAAAATATGTCAAAGAACACAATTAATTTGATTTTCTATGCAAAAAATTGAATTTCGACTTAAAACGAAAGAGATACAACCCGTTAAATGAAATTTTGGAAAATTTTGGATTTTTATCCGATGATTATTGAGAGTTATGTAGAATTGAGTTAATGAGTGGATCCGCTCCCATGACAAATCCATAAATTAGAATGATGTGGGGCTGAAACACTCATTATAACACTTTCTAAGTTTCTTAATATATGAATACATATTACAACCTTAGATAGAAATTGAAGGAGATTGTAGCCGTTGTTGTCGAAATCGGACCGGACAGTGATCCGGATTAGCAAGAGGTTTAAAGTTTATCAGATGACCGGTGATTAACCGGTATGAAACTAGTGATAAAACGGTGGCATATAACTTTTTCAAAAACATAATCATGAGTTAATGGTACGTCTACAAATTAATACTATTTTTTAAATTGAGAATCCTCTTATTTACATATTCAATTAAGAATTTAATATTAATCATAGTAGTAATAAATATTGGATTTTTGCTTTTTGGAGTTTGATCGGTTGAATTGGTCATTTGAGAAATTGAATCGAGAAAGTGAGAAGAAGAGGGAGGTAATTAAAGTAATTATTTAAATAAAAAGTAATTAAAGTAATAAAATGTTGCCTACGTCGGGAGGATGGTTCAAAATCACACAGATGGCGCGATGCAAGGGAGTACAGGGACTGCTACAGCGGGAGGTTGTCTCCGATACTGTGATGGGGTTTGGATGGCTGGTTTCTGCATTAAGATTGGATCTGGAAAAACTCTATTAGCATAGTTATGGGGCATTTTTCACGGGTTTAACTTTGCTTGGAAACAGGGAATTCAACTCCTGATTGTTGAGACAGACTCCCAATTGACAGTAGGCTTGATTAACAACAGAGATGACCCGGTTCATCCTCATTCGACCCTCCTATCTGCGATTCGGAGAATGATGGCGCTTGGTTGGATGGTTCGACTAGTGCACACATATCGGGAAGGGAATAGAGTCGCGGACTGGCTCTCGAAACACAGTCTCGTCTATCCCTTTGGTATGTATGAAATAGAAGATCCTCCAACCAGTCTTGATAAGATACTTTTGGAAGACATGATTGGTGTTAGTTTTAAGGATGGTTAATACGGGATAGTCTGGCTTCCAAGCTTTTACTAGTTTGTTTTCCCCTTAAGATTATTCTTCTGTCTTGGTAGTCCTTGATCCCCTAGACCTGGCCGGGTTGTGGTCAGAGTCTGGTGAGTTTGTATTTGGGTGTTTGTTTCTTGGCTTTCAGTCTTCTTCATTAAAAAAAAAATACAAAGTTTATTTGGGAAAATGAATTTAGGAAAAGTAGAAGAGAAGGAACTTGCTTGAGGGGTAACAAAAAGAAAAATGAAAGCGGACAAAAAAAGGGGAAAAAAACATTTATTTTTATCTTTCCAAGTTTATTTTGGGTAAATATCACATTTGGTGACTAAGATTACTAAATCATATCATGTTTAGTCACTAGAAAAAATTAATATAAAATTTGGTCACTTGAATTACTAAAGCATATCACAATTAGTCACTCTATCGTTAGTTTCCGTCCAACTTCGTTAATGGAGTTGGACGAAGGCTAACGAAGAGTGACTAAATGAGCAACACCAACCTACAGAAGATGTGAACCCTAAACCTAGGGGTCGACGAGAAGAATGGAGGAGAAGTCGAGTTATGCAGCGGTCTTTAATTGAGCAAGGCGAAATCAACCATTGGGGCGGCCACGCAATGTGAGAAGAAATTACGATGACGATGGCGATGAAGACTTCGATCATGATGAGGCTACCTATTGACGAGTAGATGATGATGACTTGTAGGGAATTAAGGTGACCATCCCTTCATTTAGAGGGGACAACTGACCCTAATGCATATCTCAATTAGGAACGCACGATGGAGTTGATTTTGTATTTCCGTCATTATTCGGAGATACGAAAGGTGATCCTAGACTCTCTCGAATTTACTAATTATGCTTTGGTTTGGTGGGATCAGTTGTGCAACATGAGAATAAGATATATGTAGAGATTTATTAAGACATGGGATGATATTAAGGGGCATTATGCGAGACAAATTTGTGACAATCTATCATCAAAGTGAGATGCATCAAACATTGCAAATTCTCTGACAAGGCAACAAGAGTGTTGCAGACTATTATCAAGAGATGGAGATAATGATGATCCAAGATGATGTTCGTGAAGGTAGGGAGGCTACCATAGCTTGATTTTTACATGTGATTAATCGAGATTCGAGTATTGTGGAGATCCAGCCATTCGTCAAGCTTGATGAAGTGGTGTCTAAGGCGAGTAAGGTGGAAAGAAAGCAGAAGAATCGAAGGTTCTTACCTTCTACAAGTACCACGAGATCGACTCAAGCTCCTACAACAAACCTTAGGCCAAGTTACCCTACAAAGGAAGCACCAAAGCTTGGGCCAAAGGTTAAACCTCCAAACCCTAGTGCAAAACAAGGGATACCGTCTGGTGGAATTCAAAGTTTCAAACGTCACGGACGGGGGCACATTGCAAACCAATGTCCGAACAAGAGGGTGTTGATTCTATTGGATAATGGAGAATACGTGTCTGAATCTGAAGAACAAGCACAGGAAGAGAAAGACACATCTGATTCTGAAGTTGAGGAGACCATAGAGTTTAGAGATGAAAGCACCTTCAGGCATGCTATATGTGGCTTAAAGGTTATTGAACATACAACCAAAGGAGGAGCTTGAGCAAAGAGAAAATCTATTCAATATAAGATTTATAGTAGATGGGAATCTACTCTCTTTTGTGTTGGATGGAGGATGTTGTACGAATGTGGCGAATGCGAGCTATGTGAAGAAATTGGGGTTGAAGACATCGATACATCCAAAATCTTACAATCTTCAATGGCACAACGAAGATGGCTCGATTAAGTGGCTAAGCAAGCTTTACTAAAGATTGCAATTGGAGAGTATAAATATGAAGTTACTTGTGATGTGGTGCATTTGAAAGCGGCTCATGTTTTACCTGGTAGGCCATGGCAATTCAATCCAAATGCACAACATGATGGCGTCACCAACAAGTATAAGTTGACGCATCAAGGTCGAAAGTTCATATTTAAACCACTATCTCCCAAAGAATTTTATGAAGATCAATGTCAAATGCAACAAAATAGAGAAATGGAGATAGAAGCTCAAACCACAAGGGTTAAGAAGGAAAGTGCAAGAAACTGGGAGCCCAAGGCATCAATGCTAGCAAGTAATGGATATATGAAGCTAGCCATTAATGATATAGCCCATGATTATCATCTTGTACAAGGGCGTGCTACTCAACCAAGAGTTGATTCCAGGCATACCACCTAGAGCACGAGTGGTATTGGAAGAGTTTGAAGTTGTCTTTCCCGAGGAAGCTCCAAGAGGCCTACCTCCAATTTAAGGGATAGATCATCAAATTGACTTCGTTCTTGGAGCCACAATTCCAAATACAACGTCTTATAGGACGAATCCAGAGGATATGAAGGAATTGCAAAGGCAGAATGATGAGCTAATAATGAAGAAAGGATATGCTCATGAGAGCATGAGTCCTTGCGCGGTTCCTGTCATCCTTGTGCCAAAGAAGGACCGTATGTGGAGAATCTGTGTTGATTGTCGAGCAGTCAACCAAATAATAGTTAAGTATCATCACCCTATACCTCATTTAGATTACATGCTTGACGAATTACATGGTTTTAGTTTGTTTTCAAAGATTGATTTAAGGTTAGGCTATCACCAAATTCGCATGAAAGAAGGGGATGAATGGAAAACTGCTTTTAAGACGAAGCATGGTCTTTATAAGTGGATGGTGATTCCCTTCGGCTTGACAAACGCTCCGAGTACGCTTATGAGGTCGATGAATCACGTGTTGAGAGATTTTATTGGGAAGTTCATGGTTGTCCACATCGATGACATTCTGATATAATTGAAGAGAATGGAGGAACATCTCAAGCACTTGCGAGATGTGATGAAGACTTTGAGAAAGGATCAGCTCTATGTCAATCTCAAGAAGTGCATGTTATGTACCTCAAGCATGGTATTTCTGGGATTTGTGGTTAGTGCTAATGGATTTGAAGGCGATGAAGAGAAGGTGAAGGCGATTCAAGCATGGCCTACCCCTACTAACGTGAATGAAGTGAGAAGTTTCCATGGGTTGGCTAGCTTCTGTCGATGAATCATTCCCAAATTTAGCAACATTGTTGCCCCATTAACGTCGATTATTAAGAAGAATGTGGTGTTTTATTGGGTAGAAGTGCAAGAGAAGGCATTCAAGTTACTATAGTACAAGCTTACTCATGCTCCCGTTCTAATGCTACCTGATTTTAACAAGAAATTTGAAGTGGAGTGTGATGCATCAGGATTGTGAATTGGAGTTGTATCGATGCAAGAGAATAAGCCTATTGCGTATTTCAGCGAGAAGTTGAGTGAGGCTACGCTTAACTATCCTACATATGAAAAAGAGCTCTATGCATTGGTTCGAGCTTTGGAGATTTGACAACATTACTTGTGGCCAAAGGAATTTGTTATACATACTGATCATGAGTCTCTCAAATATTTGAAGGCCCAACACAAGTTGAACAAAAGGCATGCTCGTTGGGTGGAGTTTATCGAATCTTTCCCATATGTGATCAAGTACAAGCAAGGCAAGGAGAATGTAGTTGTTGATGCCTTATCGAGAAGATACACTTTGTTCACAACCATGGATGCTAAGTACCTTGGATTTGAGCTAATCAAAGGTTATGAAGAGGATTCTGATTTTTGAGAGATCTACAAGCTATGTGAGAAGCATGGGAAAGGGAAGTACTATCGACATAAGGGCTATTTGTTTCGTGGTAATCAACTTTGTATACCACGTCGCTCTCGTGTTAGGTAGCTCTTGCTACTTGAGCTTGATTGATTTAGATAGAGCGACCCTACTTTGTTCAAGTCTACACCATTGTCGAGTCACCCTTGTGTTTGGAAGCTGCATTCATTCCATTTGAGCTTAAATAAGATTCCACGTGAGTGATTTGTGTATGGTCTTGCTAAGAATGTGAAGTGAATGCGAAGGTAGTTCTTCAAAGTGTACATTGTTCCTTAAATTCAAAACCTAGGAGGGAGAAAATCCCCTTAGAGCCCATTATTGGCGTCTTCAGGTCACTCCTATCGTATATTGTCTGGGTAATCCCCAAAGGAGTTCATTCGATCGGCCTCCTTGCGATATATGAACCCCTATGTTGAATAGAGCACCTACCCATCCATCACCTTGCCGTTTCGGGTCATTCGTGAGCGAGTCTAACTCCTAACGGTAGGATAGTGAGTCAATCGAGCTAGGATAGTACCTCATGTACGACTCTTTGCCAAGGCAAGGCCAAACCATCAGTGATCCCGCTTGGTGTATGCGATGGTGGTAAATTGATGATGCATGACATGGTGTGGGGCAAAGAGAAGAATGAAGAAGGAAAGGTCTCATGGGTGGAGCCTCAAGACCATTCAAGTTCACGAGCCTTCAATCAAGGATTCGTCCAATACTCGTGACTTGAGATAGGAGCTACGAGTTTTCCACCCTAGAAAGCCTAATCGAAGATCTATAAATTGAGCTCTAGAGGTAGAAATTGAGAGGAGTAGACGAGAGGTCAAGGAAGGGTCATTACTCTGCCGACAGAGCAACCCTCCTAACTTAGAACGAGCCCCCCCCCCCCCCCCCCCCCCCCCCCCCTCGCTTCCGAAGTAAGGGTTCTGCAAGAGGCCCTAGGAAAATCCAATCCTGGTCTTAGAGCAGGTAAATTTGGTACGTGTTCCAAACGACATCAATTTCCACCACGCCTATTCAAGAAGATAGCGGGTTGTGGAGGTTGGAGATGTTGACCATAGATACCACCACTAGGTTATCCTCCGAGGCCAAAAAGCTCAGCGACATATCTTAAAGCTTCTGATTCAAACTCCCAAAGAATCCTCCGGCACAGCCTGCAAATTCACATCTCCTTTAATTTCCATAGTCACAAAATTTCACTTCTCAATCCCTAAACCTAAATCCCTTAACGTGAGTCTAAACTTGATTTTGGTTGGGTACGCGGCAAGTATGCTAATGCTCAATGCCGGTCACGGGAAGCACTTTAACACCAGAATCATAATTGTGCAATGAATCCCAAAGTAGCAGTCAGAAAAAATGTAAAATATGGAATTCCTGATTCACTGAAATCAATCCCAAACCATGAACATATCTCTGCTCATCGAAATGACAGCTCGCACGAATTGCCATTACTAAAAGGAGGGAAAGCAACACGAATGGACCAGTAAGTTCTGCCCCACAATCGAATTAACCACTGAAAAATGAGACTATAAATAAGATCCATAAGCCAAAGCAAAACCAGAAATAGCTCAGAGCTTCATCCATCATCTTGGTAGCCTAAGCAGTTCTGAGTATGATGTGAGCACCACTGTCGGTATCCACTATGTCACTTATGTCACCAACCTTGAGGGCAAATGTTGCATCTTCAAATGGCTTCTGCATCTGCCCACGCCCAAATGGACCTGTACCCACAATTTAGCCATACAAATTGATTTGGTGATTGCAAATGAATCTACAAACGGCATGTACAATTTAGCAATAAAAATGCCACTGCAAATGAATCTACTGTTTGTTTCAAAGAATTAGGAATGACAACATTGCATGACCACAAATTGAACTGAACTCTCCTGTCTCTTACATAGAGAACCAGCGCATGCTGGTAGACAAACGACTAGATTGTTTCCACATTGCCAGGAGATATTTGCCTTTCGTTAATGCACTCAGGTAGAACTCTTACCCTGAAGTTCAGAGCTCGAAGTCATGGAAACAGAAAGCACATAATGAATCTTCCTTCACACTAACGTCACAATGATGCTCTAATAAGAAAATACCAAGTTCATAACCTTGCTTCTGGTTTTACTGAACCAGTATCAATTCACTACCTTTCATGTCCTTTCCTTCAAATACAAATCCTTAACTTTATCTGGGTTGCGTTAAGTTTCAGTTGGAAAACTCAGTCTAAAAAGAAGTAAAACTCCGAATCTACCAAGATCCATATACCCGTACATAACAAAACTATAGGAATGAACAAGGAAAGGAACTAGGGTTCCAGTAAGCTCTGAATTGTGGCAATTCCACAAAGCAAGCTCAAACTATCAGCAACCAAGTACAAAAACATGAAAGGAACCGAGATCATAATTGACAACAGCGTGAAGCGAATCAATGAGACCTTAAATCTGTGTTCTCAAACCAAAGACATCACTAAATAGTCATCAGTAAACAATATGAAACTCGACCGCAAAGCTGAAAGCCGTGGAATTCGACAAGCAGAATTACCGACCTAGATCGCCGCCGCGCTTGGCGGAGCTGCAATCGGAGTGGCGAGAGGCGATGTCCTCGAACTTGGCCTTTCCAGAGAGGATGTCCTCCCGGAACTGTACGAGCTTAGCGATGGCGCTCTCTTTAGTGGTGTTCATGATAACACGGCCTTCAGGATCCTTCCACGAAGCTTTCCGTCGGGAGCCCTCGTGCTTTATCAGTATGTGGGAAGCCCTGACCTTATCCCCGGACGCCATTGGCTTCGATCTCTTCTTGCTCTTATCCCGCTCCCTCTCTCTTCTCCTCTCCTTATCCTTCGCTATTCGATCCTCCGAAGAGATCGAATCGTTCTTCCTTTTCCGATCCGAATCTATTTTCGCAGCTCAGCAGTTAATCAGATCTCCTTCTCCTCCCTCTCGGCTTCCAACTCTCCAGATAAACCCTTTTCTCTTCTCTTGTCGATGACTAGCCCACAGTTTAAGGCTTCAGTCAATCAGTGGCTAATTACAAGTTTGGTCACTCAAATTATATAGATCTTTCATATTTGTCATTTTGTTACTAATTTGACCAATCATTTCACCGTTAGTCACCGACCGTCTGTCTCCATCAAACTTCGTTAACACCGTCAGATTTTTATGATGTGACAAACGTAACTGTTGATTGGGATGTCAGAAAGCTGAGTCGTATAATTTGACCGCCTAGTTAGCCACAATACCCAACCCAGTAATTAACGGATGACGGAAATACTCTCTCTCTCGATTTTTCCCATGATGCTTTTACCTTCCTCCATCGAAAGAAACTAAGGACGCAAGAGGGCTCGATGGCTGTTTCAACCGGTTGGCCCTCTCTCTCTCTCTCTCTCTCTCTCTCTCTCTCTCTCTCTCCTACTCTATTGTTGGGTTCATGTTGGACCTACACCTCTGTTGGATTGGAGAAGTAAACTTTTATGGCTGCTCCATCCCCTATATTGTTGGGCTATTCCGGTTCAAGTTGCCGTCGGAATTCCTCCAACTATGGTGGGGCCATGCGTTATGGTTCTCGCGAAGAGGGCTTGACTACGGGCTCCAACTCGATCTTGTGATCCACCTCTCTCCTTGGTCGCAACTTCTTGGGCATCACATAATCTAACTCTTCAAGCACACCTTCGGTGATGGGAGTTGTAGTTCCCATTGAGTCTCCTTCTTCCTCCATCTTCAAGGCCACAAGAAAATGTTGACTCCTTCCTTTTGAACCCCTTCGAAACCTGCATGGCAAACAAAGCACTATGAGGTTCATCCTTCCTCAAGAGTTGGACTGCATGAAACTTCTCTCCCTTCTCCAATCACGTGGTGTTGGAGTTGGGTTTCAAGAGCACTCCCTCCTTGACTCCTTGTCGAGGAAGTTGATGTCGAGGATGGTAAAGTAATTATCCATGGTGACGGGTGAAGTCGACGATGCCTTCCCATTCTCCGACCTTTAGTGGCACATTGCGAGCAACTCTGTGGATTGTGATTGACTTTGAATTGATCATCTTGAGGTACCCTTGCCTTTTTCTTGTAGGTAATCCCCTGCCACTTGGCCTCCTCTATGCCAAGGAAGTTGTTTGTGTCTCCAGTATCCACCAAGTTTTTTGAATCACTTTGCATGAATTGGGCCAGAACGTAGCATCTCTCACGTTGCTATCCTTGCCATCAGTCTTGACGATGCCAAGTTTGCTAATGAAGCCTATCTTAGCCTCTGCTGCCTTGGGCTCATCATCTTGAGCCTCCATTGCTGCCATTCTTGCCTTCCTTGGGCAATCTCTCACTCTATGTGGTCCATCAGACCATCACAAAGGAAACAAGTAATGACTTTTGTTCAAACTTACCTCCTTTGATTGGGCCACCATATTGTTGAGTGATATTTCCCTCCTTGGAAGGATGTCTTTGTTCTCGACCCTTGGTCTTTGGACTCTTCTCTTTGCTGCTCTCGAGCCTCTAGTACTCAACAAAAACTCCACTGTGGACATTATAGTTGCAAAGTCCTACACTCCTCGCCATTGCATCTCCATCTTGGCCCACGATTGCAGCCCATCAAGGAAGCCCTGCATGGCCTCCTTGTCGATGATGTCGGGGATCTCTAGAAGTAGTTACGAGAATTCCTTCATGTGTTCTCTAACTCCACCCCTCTGGGCGAGCCTTCTCAACCTCGAATGGGCCTTAAAATTCACAGTCTCTGGATAGGACTGCTTCTTGATTTCTCACTTGAAATCATCCCATGTTGCCATCAGAAATGTACCCTTCTCGAAGTCTACTTCACGTCTTCTCCACCAAACAATAGCAACATCAACCAAGTAAAGTGGAGTTGTACGAAGTTTTACCTCATCCTCTTGGATGACGGATGCCTTGAAATACTGCTCAAGACTCCAAAGGAAGTTCTTCAACTCCCTTGCGTTCCTCGAACAACCATAGTTCTTCGATTGTGGAACATCAGCTCATGGGACGGATTACACTGGGGCTGGCCTATTAGCCATGGCTCTCTTCACAAGAGTAACCTCACTCTTGATGTATGCAATCTCTTGCTTCACTATGTTCATCTCAACATCAACCGTCTAATCATTACTTCACTGGCATTGTTCATTGAGGTGGAGATGGTGTTATTGATGAGGGTCACAAGCCTTCGCGAAGCCCTTCATTGTTGATCTCTAAGCTCATCAACCGAGCCTCCATACCTTGAACATCGCCTTGAATTTGAGTGAAGTTAGTTCCTAAATCCTCCATCATGGTGACATCGTCGGTCACCTTTGCCTTCATTCTGAATAGGTGCTTCACTAGAGTCGCCAAGGGATCACTAGTGCTGGACTTGTCACCACTCCTTAGCTTGGAGCCCTTCGAGGTATTTCTACCATGATCTTCATCATGAACTTCTGACCCCGTCATTTTTGGTGAGGTTCCTCCTCTTCACTTTGTCTCGTTTTTTGACAAGAACCAAGCCAACTTTTGCTCTGATGCCACTTGTCACATCCCTAATCTTGGGTTTTGCGTCCTTAGGTCTCAATCCCGTTAGAGATGGTAAGCAGCCTTCTCACAAACTCACAAGGTCACAAAGAAAGAGAGAAAGAAAAAAAAAAGCAAGTGGGGAGAACTCTCTAGGTGTTTACTCCAAAAAATGATGGAATGAGTTAAAAGTGAGGAATATGACTCCTTATATGCATATTCTTATACAAGGCATCAATAACCTCATTACTACACCCATTAAGCTCCCCCCCCCCCCCCCCCCCCCCCCCCCAATAGTGTCACCCATAATGTGGCTCATAAAATGCACCATTAAGTTCATAAAGGTGAAGAATCCTAAAGGCATCTCTATGCTCTAGCCTTCAGTACGCGCCACATGTGCACAGTGCCATGTCGTGGCCATGTCATCTGCCAAATGCGAGAGCGTATTAGGGGAGAAAACGACAGGATGGGGGATGGATTAATTTATTTTAGTATTTATAACAAACAAAATTTCTTTAAATATTATCACATATGGAAATAACATATCACACATGTGGATGACATTTTGCGCCACATATTCATCGGTCAAACATGATTTGATTTCTATTGGTCAATTGTTAGTTCAAAAAATCAATAGGAAATCCAGGTATATAAATTACATTGACCCCATAGTTTGAAACATTCATGTCTTTGTTGAAAGTTCAAAATATAAATGAATTATTTTTAATGGTTGGTCATATGACTCATATTAATGGTATTATCCTTCATTTTTCAAAAAAAAAAAAACACTAGCAAAAGTGGAAAATATTTACAAAGTTATCGGCTATAAAGCCAACGAACAAAATCGCATCCCATTGGCGACAAGAATAGGGATTGACAAGCCACCAAATGGGCCTGCATTGAATCTTACTTACAAAACTGAGGCAATAAGTTGGAAGAGAACACAACAGGATACAAAATTCGTTCATATTAGCTCTTACCTTAGTGTCATGGATATTACTTGAGTTGCTTAATAACAATACCAACCGATCCAAATTGTATATATTCGAATATCGCTCGCTATGAAACTAACACTTGAATGCATCTTGCCATCCTTCCAACACATAAGGTTGGGTTGTTGTGCTATTGATTAAAATTCTCGAAGGCATGATTGGAGGTGTGGGATTGAGAATGTAATTTACACCTCTTGACTTGATGTCGCCATTGAGAATCCAAAGATGGCCTTTTCTAGTGCCACTACTATGAAAGTGTACCTGTTGTAGTCTGCACGAGCAATATAGTGCAAGTAAGGTCATAACTCACAAAGGCTATGAAGTACTAGTCATTTGTTGTATTTTCTATTCTTTAATCGATCTTGTAGAAATTCTTTTAATAAAGTAAACTAACTAAGTAAGCTATAATAATTCAACAAAGAAAAAACGCAAAACATCAAGGAAAATTCAAGCAGAGAAGATGGTGTTCGGATTTTGAATCCCCCTAGATAATCCATTAATAATTAATCAAATAACATACAGAATGTCAGAATCGATGTTGTCTTTCCTTGACTGTATGAATTCCCAAAGTGGTGCTAACCCAATCCCCTCGTGTATTAGCACCCTATCAATCAATTAACTCTAGATATGATATCCTCTTTGACATAGAACTAATCAATTAAAGGTTTAATTCATTCTTTGAATTCTCCTATTAGGTTTTACCCTAATTCAAAGGGCCTTTCTCCTCTATATAATGTTCCTGGTAGTCCTAAGTCTATTCCATCTTTGAGAATTATATTATTTATATGGGGATACGCTCCTCGTCATTCACACAAAACAGACAAGCATGCAATAGACGTGTAACTATTGAATGCTAAAATAATAAATCAAAGACAAATTAAACATAAATAAACATAAAATTCCATAAATATTCTATCAATAAAGAGTATCATAGCTAGGGTTCATCTAATCCAAACAACAATAAGGATTAGTTCATGAGGGATGAGGGAACAAACAGTGATGAAGAAATTATCTTCGTAGTAGAAGTATTAATCGATCGCTCCAAGTTGACTCCTCCGGGATAGAGCTGCCAAAAAATCCTTTTTTTCTTCCCTCTAACTCAATTTTTTGTTGTTTTAGGTTAAGTCGGACTGAACTATCCATCAGAAAACTTGAATTGGAGCTTAAATAGGTAAAAATCCGAGACTAGGCATGACCATGTTCACCTCAAAATATATTTTTTTTCTTCTTCTTTCTCTCACATTTACGACGGGTTGTCGATTCCCGAGCACCCCGCGTAACACAACTATGCTCCAAGCCATGTTAGGCTAGTAAAAATCTTCAAATCACGTCCAAATGCTCTTCAAATCGCCCCGAACTCCATAACTTTCATCTTTACTGTGTTTTTTGTTCAAATATCATCAAATTCACTCAAGGTGACCTAAAATACAATAAAACAACAAACCTCGCATAAAACTAACAAAAAAATATAAATCTTGCTGAAATGATAAATGATGTGAAATGGGGAGTAGCAATATGTATAATTTATAGTGTACCAATGTTGAGGACAAAACCTGAAAATACTCAAAGTGAACAGTGCACATGTTCTTCCAAATCTGCCACAATAAAGAGTTCACATGCACAACCAAATAAACACTTTCTAGAGTTTCCGAGTAAGATAATAACTAGTTAATGAAACTAGTTATGAATCGGATATCCCAAGGACACATTAAATTTGACAACCCAACCAACACTCACAGTCGAGGAGCAAGCAGACATTGAAAAAAATACATGTTCATGGATTCTCCTTTCAAATTACAAACTGGGCAGAGGTCTGCACTGTCCAACCCTCGACTTATCAACCCTTCGATAGTTGGCAACAATCACCTGAGCAGTTGCCAGAAAAAAATATTTGAGGTTTGGTTGCTCTTGCAAAAGACTAAACTTTCTTCCAGAGCCTCGAATCCACTACTCATACTTGTCATTGATTCCCTGGTAGTCGTGATAGCCCAAATTCAAGATGGTATGATGAATATACTGTAATTATTATGGAGGAAGCATAGTGCCAAATTATCTCTTATTGAACAGGTTGTATAGGGAGGGGAACTAAGACAGTAAGCTTAATGGATTCAAGGCTGAAAAAATCGGCGGGTTCCTCAATATTCCACCCTTTGGTTACTAAAGTAATGAATACACAACTCCTCGCCATTGATGGCAGAACAAAACTGGGTAGAACTGTTTTTGAAATAGGGGTAGATGGTAGCCAAGAAATATGAAGTGCACTTACCTTAGCGCCAGAACTAATCTGCCAACATTACCCCTGTTGAAGAAGGTGCTCTCGACCATGAAGAACACTGCACCAACCCCATGAGAGATTGGATCCAAAACTATATAAATTGAACGAGGATGATAACGGTTGCAATAGACCCTTGCTAACATAGAAGTAGGATCTTATAGAATTATCCAATTTATTTTCGCGGGTAGTGCTTGGTTAAATGCAACGAAGTCTCAAAATTCCAAACCTCCACTCGCTTTGGCTTCACACAAATTTGAAAATCAATCCAATGGATTCTCCGCTTTTCCTGAATCCTTCCCCACCAGATGGGTGGAACAATGACATTTGATCGACGAAAAGTTATGGTGGCAATTAAAATTAACTCATGACATGTATGGGCATCAGAGTCATCCAATGAATAGCGGAGGCCCTATTCTAGAATTGAGAAATTGTCCAATTTTTTTAAATATAATAAAATAAAAATGGCCATATCATTGTTATTTAAAACAATAATTTGAAATAAAAGTATTTAACTCTTCAAATTTTGTATAAATGCTAAGAGAAATAATTTTCAATCATCATCGTTAATCCATTAAGGATTTCTTGTGTCATTTTACAATCCAAATAGGATTTTTAAAATTAAGATAGGACATTAATGATAAATATGCATGTCTACACCACCAATTAAGATAGGACATTAAAATGCATTATAATAACCATACTTAATCAACCATACACCACAAATTCATCATATAATATAGGGTAAATAGAATATATTAGCCACAACTATTATGAAACGGGAAATTATAGCCACAACTATGAAAATTCAAATTATTAACCATACTATTGTTGCAAGTCAAGATATGGCTAATTGTCCGTTACTGTTTTTGAATTTGACGGAGAAGACCACGTCTTGGCCACGGCAGCGACCACGTCTTGGCCACGACAGCGGCCACGTCGAAATGCTTTTAATTTATAACTTTAAAACATAAAAGTTTAGTCAGTATTACTAAAGAAATTGTTAACAGATAGTTAACGTTTGGCTAATAATTTGAATTTCCATAGTTGTGGCTATAATTCCCACTTCATAATAACATAAAAGTTTAGTCAGTATTACTAAAGAAATTGTTAACAGATAGTTAACGTTTGGCTAATAATTTGAATTTCCATAGTCGTGGCTATAATTCCCGCTTCATAATAGTTGTGGCTATAATTCCTGCTTATCCTATAATATATGATTGAATTAACTAACAGACCTACAGAGGATGCCCCCCCGATATTTGAAGACCCTATCCTGGAGGGCCTCCCAACACACTCCATTGGTCGGGCTTGATGAGCATGGATGTTGCAATCAACTTAATCAATGTCTCTTTGGTAACAGGTGAAAATGTTTGGCGTTTCCATCCTTGTAGCTTAGTTAATAGATCCTCTTCAACAACAACAACAAAAAAAAGTTTCTTGCTTGGATCGCCCAATAAGAGAAGGTAAACTCAGGTGACGATCTTGTGTCCTAATAGTCCCCACTCCTAAAGTCGTACCCAACTCTGTTTCTATTATAGATGGAGTGTTGTGACTGAAAAACCCGAAGACTTCAATAAGTTCTCTTTTCGGCCATTGATAGACTCATAATCATGTAAACTTGTAATAAATTATGACATTCTCCTGGAGACACTCGTAAGAACAAGAAGGCGTCATCTGCAAAAAAAAAAAAAAAAAAAAAAGTGAAGTTGATGGCGATTTGTACCACATTCTCAAACCATACACTCTACCATTCAGGGTCACTTATCACATCATAATAGAGAAACCTTTCGTATGAAGATCAAACCAAGAGGTGACAAAGGATCACCCTGACGCAAACCCATTGTCAGATGAAAAATACTCTAAGGCCGATTTCCTACTTATAAACCATGGATCTCTCCCGTACTTTATCGATATGGGATTTGCCAAACGTGTTACTATAGTCATACGGGTCTCGTCCTCATATCGGGCAAACTGCTACTCGGCCCTGGTTATGCTTCAATTGGGCCTGATTGTGACCCAATACGGCCGAGTCTATGGTCCAGCAATATTCGGGCTTCCCCAACTACGAATAATTCCCGCTGCTAGGGTTTTTCTGCAGACTATATATTTACATCTATAACCTAGTTTTCGCCATTTCCAATACCCTCCTTGAGTTGCCGCTGCTTCAGAGCTCTTCACAGAAACACAGAGCAGCAATGGGACGAGTCATTCGAGCTCAGCGTAAGGGTGCCGGCTCTGTCTTCAAGTCCCACACCCACCACCGCAAGGGACCGGCCCGCTTCCGCTCGCTCGACTTCGGCGAGAGGAATGGCTACCTCAAGGGCGTCGTGACGGAGGTCCTTCACGATCCCGGCAGGGGCGCGCCGCTCGCTAGGGTTACCTTCCGCCATCCTTTCCGCTACCAGAAGCAGAAGGAGCTGTTCGTCGCCGCCGAAGGGATGTACACGGGGCAGTTCGTCTACTGCGGTAAGAAGGCCAACCTTATGGTTGGAAACGTCTTGCCTCTCAGATCTATCCCCGAGGGAGCAGTCGTCTGCAACGTCGAGCACCACGTTGGTGATCGTGGTGTCTTCGCTAGGTGCTCTGGTGATTATGCTATCGTTATCAGCCACAATCCTGATAACGACACCACTAGGTAGTATTACCTCTCATCTGTGCTAGCCTTGTTTCGTTTTATCTAGGTGTTTATCCAATGAGATAGATATATGCTTGTTAGGGTTTTTTCTAGATTGGTGTTATAGTAGTTTGTATTGTTACATGCTCTACGCCCGCTGAACTTTGATTAGGTCTTGATTGTTTCTTCTGGAATGGTGTGATATCTTGATTTGGTTTTGCTCTATTTTCGTTGTGGGTAAGTTAGGTTATTGAATAATTCCTCAATGACCCATATCCAAATGTCAAATTTGCCGTCTGGCTAGGTCTTTGGTTTGTATGTTGTTCTTCCACATCCCCATTTGATGAGATTTATCTCGTGTTATTCTATAATTATCATTGGTCTACAATTAAGTACAATCTGTTTCATGTTTAGGAAGTCATTTTATTAGTGATCTTATTTACTCTGGTTTCCTTTAGAGATCTCCTGAAGCCCTAAATTTGAAACTCTAAAATGTGTTGGTTATCCATAGATGCTGTGTTAATGTTGGGATCATGTTTACTGCTGCAGGGTCAAGCTTCCATCTGGTGCTAAGAAAATTGTGCCAAGCGGCTGCCGCGCCATGATTGGACAAGTTGCTGGAGGTGGTAGAACTGAGAAGCCTATGCTCAAGGCTGGTAATGCTTATCACAAGTACCGGGTGAAGCGGAACTGCTGGCCTAAGGTGCGTGGTGTGGCTATGAATCCAGTTGAGCATCCTCATGGTGGTGGTAACCACCAGCATATTGGTCATGCCAGTACGGTGAGGAGGGACGCACCACCTGGGCAGAAGGTTGGTCTTATTGCCGCGAGGAGAACTGGTCGACTCAGAGGCCAGGCAGCTGCTACTGCTTCCAAGGCAGACAAGGCATAATCCTGTCTATTCGAGTTTTTGGGATTTGTTTTTGCTACCTTCCTGCTATTTAGATCATTTTGAGGACAGTGTTTGTAGTGTTGTTCTGATAAGACGATGAAGATGTTGGTTTCAATGGTTTTGTTCCTTTACGCTGGTTTAAGATATACCTGTGCGCCATTTTGTTTGGATTCGACCCGTCTCTTCTTCCCAGTTCGATGTTATTATGCATGATTGAAAGTTTTCCAATTGGATCTTCTGCTATGGAGATTTCAGGTTAAGTTAACGCGAAGTGCTCTTGTTGGCTTCTCTGTAGTAATTAGTAAATGATGCTTGAGAATTTATGGGCGGTAGTATCTTTGCTTGTGTAGTGCTAAATCCCAGTAACTTGGGCGGAATCAGGAATGATTTGCACTCGAGATTAGGATATATAAGAATATTTGCATATTGATTAATTATTATAATGTAACTAAAGATGAGGGCAATTTTGGAATACTAACACTCTCTTTTCGAAAGAAGAGAGGGAAATGGAAGGAAAGGAAAATTTGGAGGGGAGGGAAAATGTTTCCGAAGGAAGAGAGGGAAATAGAAGGAAAGGAAAATTTGGAGGGGAGGGAAAATGAGGGAAAGGAAAAGTTGAAAGGAAAGGAAAATGTTGTTTTATGGAAGAAAGTGGAGGGAAAAAGTATATTGGGAAGTGTGTTAGATATGTTATTTTATTGATTATGTAAGAGTAAATATATGAAAAACATATATTATAGAAAATATAGAAATTGATATTTTGAATAACCAACTTCTACATAAGCGCTTCATGATATCAAAATCTTTTGTTGATTTTATATTTTCAAAATTTTTACTAAAATTTTTATTTTATAAAATTTGAATAATATTTTGACAATGTTTTATACGTGTTTAGTACGGTAGCCATCAAAAGAATGGATGGAAATTAAACGTCTTGACAATAATACAGACACGAAAGTTTTAAATAAATAAAATACGTACATGTACATATACATGTATTAAATGCAGTATTTACTAACTATGGTTAATTATGGAGAATAAATGGTGGCAACTTGCCTAAAAAATAAAAATAAAGCTAAGCAATGGAAAGGAAATTGCGTAGGGAAAATGAAAAGCAAAGGAGAATGGTCATTTTCTCTCCAATTTGGAGGGTGGGCTTAAATAGTGACTTTTCCTTTTTTTTCCTTTCCAAGGTCGTTGTTCCTGCTCTTGAAAAACAAGGGAAAGTGTATAGGGAGATGAGCTTTCCTCCCTACATTTCCTTCCCTCTCTTTTCCGCCCTTTATGAACACAGTGTAAGGGTTGTTTGGTTTTGGTGATTGTTTGGTTGAGATAGTTACGATACATGTATTGTCCACAATGTATTGTTTTTTTTTTTTAATTTTGTTTGCTTGATGTGATGGAAACTATCACTTAAAATGAGTGATAGTACTATGTCTAGTAAAACTTAAGATTGTTGAGATAGTTAAGATTATTGAGATAGTTTTGAGGAGATTGTTGGGTTCTTTTCTTCTATACTCTTAGTTTTATATATATATTCTCATTAAGATAAGGGTAAAAGTGACTTCCTACAAAAAGTAATATAAAATGTAGAATACTAAAGGAACTATCACAAAAACCAAACAATGTAAAGTACATTACATCATTTTCCTTAATAACGTGTATATTACAGTGCATGCATTGACTACAATGCATTGATTTAAGTATCACAAAAACCACGACCCCTAAAATTTAATGAGGGTATATGGGTAAATTTAATCATTGATTTGTGACATGTTTCAAATGCCACATCAATATTAGAGATTTACAAGTTACTGAGGTTCATGGATTTGGACTCTTAAAATTTGTGAGTCCCGTGAATTTGGTCTCTAAAAAATGTAAACAAACAATGAATTTTCCTTAAATCTATGATGAATTGGATTTGGGTACCAAATCCATCATCCAAATTCATGAACCAAACGACCCCCATGTTTCAAAAACTTGCATAGATCCATTGTGCAATATGTTTGTTGCATTTATGTGATCAACTATAAATGTTATCAGGTTTTTGTTCTATTGTAAAGAATCATGGGTTCATCTTGATCTGTAAAATTGAATTCAAATAACCAATTAGCCTAACCAAGTTTTTTTTTTTACTCTTACATGTGAGATTTAGATTAACTACCCTTACGATTTATCGTAAGCTGCTTATCGATAAAAGTGTGTGTTACTGGTAATGAAACAATCATTTAGAGTAAGGAATGATTTGAAATCACAAGGCATAACCTAGCAAAAAATGGCCTCAAGGACGATGAATCCAAGTTAAGAGATTAAGTAAAAGGGGTGCAAATGTGTATAATTAGGCTCGAATCAAGCCCAAAAGCATTTCGTTCACACATGTACTTGGAGCTATCAAATGTTTTGAATTTCGGCGTATCCAAGTTCCAAGCACTCAAAAGACGGACCAAAATTTCAATCACACACCATTTATCACACATATACAACACCCACACACTTAAGCACGACATTGTCCTCAATGTAGGACAGAGATGCGTGTGGAATGAAGTTACCGGATCATGTGTGAAGAATGTTGGACGAGACTTGAGGGCACTCCCTATAGAGTAGATCGGGTAGAAACCGCCACGTAATATAAAAATGGTAGTTTATACACAAAGAACTCACAAAACAAGTCAAGCAAAACAAAAACAAAACAAATGGAAATAAATAACAAACCAAAGTGTTGGGTTGCCTCCCAAATCCCAATTAGCACTTCCTTTACGTCTTAAGCCGAACGGGGATGCTGAAGTTTTGGTCCACCCAAAAACCTCTTGGAAGTTGAGATTCTCGTCGGTGATGTGGAGGTGCAAATCATGTGCATATGGAGTGAAAAGTTGTGAGGATGGGTCGTAGACTTGATGAGAATTAAAGCTCCACCCGTGAGACCACTTCTTCTTTCTTCTCTTTGCCCTTACCTTGTAGCCCAGGGGCGGAGCTACCTTAAGGCTTGGGGGGGCCCCGGCCCCCCCGAGAATTTCGTAGATCACGTATAAATACATCGAGAATTTTTAAAATTATGAAATAATTTAACGTTAATATAATTATCAAAGTGTGCAGCAATGTATCAATGTAGTATCTTATAGTCTAGTGGTCTTGTTGTTGCTTTTTCTTAGTGTTGTACACTGTTTCAATCCCCAGCGGCAGCAAATTTATTAGTTTTTCTAACTTTTCTTTAACTTTTGCTTAAAGTTAAACTTAAATACTTAACTTTAGTTCAGCTTTTGCTTAAAATTAAACCTAATTACTTACCTTTAGTTTAGTTTCTGCTTAAATATCAATTTTTATTTTGCAAATACTAATATGCATATACAATTATTGTTCAATTACAATAACAAAGAATAATATGGTACAAGCTGGAAAAGAAAGATTAGTTTTTTCCTTGTCATTTATTATTTATCTTGAACATACTGACAAAAAAATTTAGTTCATATCATATGTTTAGATTTTTTAATTATCTTAAATAATGTATGCACGATAACAGTAATAAATTTTTGTTCATATCATATATTATTATTGTTTTAACATTTGACGGATCCAATGAAAAAAATTCGGCCCCTCCGACTTCCGAATCCTGGCTCCGCCCCTGCTTGTAGCATACCTAGATTGACCACCACTTCATCCACAAAGAAGGATCAATGATGATGTGGCCTTGTTTTGGCAAAGAGACACCTCAAATGGGTCTTTCTCTATAAGTGCATCAAGGTTGGGGGGGGGGGGGGGGGGGGGGGGGGGGGATTGTTGGCAGCATTTGTAACTTGTAGAGGCTTCATCCATCATTACCTTGTCCATTGATTGGACACTAATTGCGTCCTCAACCTCCCCTTTTACTTCAAAAATCTCTTCCTCCCCTTGGAACAAAGAGTTTCCTTCTCGATGCTCACTTCCTCGATCTCAAGCTCCTCTCTCACATTCCCATCCTTGTCGTCAAGCACGAATTGGAGAGCAAGTTCCATGCAAGGCCATTCATAAGGTCATCTTGCACCTATGCCCTCGAGACTTGGTCTTCAAAGTTGGTTTAGGATGGGTAAAGGTGTGGAAGTCGTTAGCGAAACACTGTTGGTGGTCCTCACCACGAGAGCTTTCAAGGATGAGACCATCTTGCTCCACAGGGTCATCATTGATTGCCTCTTCAACCTCCTCTTCCTCTTCAAATGTTAAGAGATGAATTCGTGCACAAGCTTGCTCAACTTTCTCTCCTAGCTTCAAATCGAAGGGGGGGAGGGGGGTTGATAAGCTACATTGGAGCATGCAATTTCAAATTTTTCCATGACAACTTCCAATGAGCTCTTGGTATCCAGTTGTGGAGTGTCACATAGTCTTGATGAATGTTCTATGAAGGGGTCCATAGCTAACTCAAACTCGGATTTCACCTCGGGTTGTGGAAGGAAGTCTTTGGGTATGGGGAAGCTTTTTGAAATCCTCATGGGTATGGTAGTTCTTAATGGAAGGGAGGTTGAAGTGGAATGAACCCGAGTCCTTGGATTCCACCTTCTCGGTTGGCCCATAAAACTTCAAGTTAACCCCATTCAGATGTGGGTGGATGCACCCACATGTTGGAGAATCCATTGGAATCCACGATTCAACCTAAACAAAAACACCTTCAAACGCAAAGGTGGAAATAAAATAAATGAATAAAAAACAACTCAATTAACAAACTTAAGCATTTCCCAATAACTTAGGAATCTCTGGTAACAATGAAAAAAAACTTGAATCACTCTAAACTACTCTCCAAATCGAAGGTCAAGTATAACTAACAATCTGGTGTAGTACAGTGGAAGTAAAGTAATAAAATTACCAAACCCTAGGGTCTCTAGGTTTACTATTATCCTGCTTTTGTTTGTTATCTAGCCACATAAGATTGAGATTAAGAAACTACACTAACTAAACTACCATAACACCTACACTAACTAATTACAAATTGGGAGCTCACATAGGCATTTATTCCCAGTAGCCAATAACCAGATCTATTGTTGATGATCCTCTAACTTGATTTATTCGTCATTCATAATGCAGAGGATCCTTGACTAGACCTTGAATATCTTTTTGAGCAATCAAGGCCCTCGTAAGTGGATTGCTTAGAAGCCCTTAACCTTTTCTATATAAACCGATCAAAGCGTTCTACACTAGACTATCTCTATTTGGTGAGGTTCCAGCACAATACAAAGCAAATACCTGAATAGTGCTAGTGAAATCGACCCCTTACTCCCATGGTGCTCTATTGTCCTAACAAGATATTCTCTATCATAGGGTCAAAGCATAATCAACAATACACAATGGAGCATAATAGAACCGCAAAATCAAGCATATATTGGATATGAACTAAAGAATCAAGATACAATACTCATACAATCATTTAATCCAGCTACACATGGCTAAGGTTCATCGAAACTTTATTAAAGGAGAACTATTCCATAAAGAGGAGAGAGAGTACAAGATAAGGTTTAAGATCTTCAATCTCTATGCCTAGGGATGCTATTCTTATTCTAGCTCCAATGGTCCAAGAACCCTCCTAGATCGATCTCCCTATCTTTGGAACACCCCTTGGATGTTTTTGGTAAAAAACCCAGCTCTCATCTCTCAGAATTACAACAACTTAATACAACAGTTTGCACGAGTCATTTTCATAAGTCAAGGTCTTGAAATCGAGCAAGGTCGTGACATCGGCAAAAAACGTGCCATTTTGGCCACTGGAACGTCCCAAGTCACCCCCTGTGTCATAAGTCACGACCACAACAGTGACTTGGGACACTCAGCCCATGACTTGTGAACTGGCCGTGACTTGTATAAAACCTACTTCTTTTTTGCTCATCTCACTGCCTATTTGTCGAATGTCACGTCTCAGGCCGTGACTTGTGCACAACCTCTAGTTTTTGGCTCGTTTTGACCTCCAAATGCCTCGAAACTCGATCCTAAACTCCCCCCTCTTATGAGAACCTAAAATTGGTTGAGGAACTAGTATATCAATGCCAATCAATCAAGAAATGAGGGTCAAAATATGTATAAATATACACTTATCAATGGTTCTTATAAGTATGCACTTTATCTTGCAGTAGGGATAGTTAAAAATTACTCATCAATTTTATGAACGATAAAATGTGATTCATCATGTTATAGACCATGGTCAATGGTGAATTGGCGAAGACATATTTTTTTCTTAGAGTTGTTAGTCATTGGGACGGAAAATTGGAAAGAAGCACGATTTAAAGACATAGGTGGTACTTGGCGTCCTATTCTAACTTAAGTGGTATAGCTCCCCCAATTCTCAAAGTTAAGTGGTACTCAAGGTATTTTATCTAGCAACATTGACTTTGGAGGGGGGTGAAAGGGAGAATAAGAGAGTGGGGAGGGAGACGAGTTGAGGGGGTCTGGCGGAGAGAGGAGAAGGAGATGGTGGGTGTGTTAGGAGGCTTATTAGGATTTTTGAATGGGAGTTGGGTTTCTAATAGATATATGTATGATATATTTCATTTCATTCGTTAAAATTGCAAATTACTACCTTATTTGTCTATGTATTTTAAAAATATAAAATGACTCAAACATATTGGATTTCAATCATACCATTAAATCTTAAACCACTTACTTCATACCATCTCCAACAATAGGGTAAAAAAACAAGAGATTCAAATTATCTCCAACAATGAGTTCCAAAATGCGGCAAAAATGTGGGTGGTGTCAAATTTGAGCCGGATATAGAGTTACAACAAAAAAGTGGAAAATTCCGTGCCCCACTTTTCTTCCTTGCCATACGAAAAGATTCAATCACACATGCAGTGCCTTCTCTTCCTTCCCTCGCTTGGCATACGCGCACTTTGGCGGGATTCCTTTCTATTTTTTCTTTGTGTTTGGGGGGCGCTTCCTTGGTTACTTTTCAGCATTAATTTTTTTTGTTGCCAAGTATAACCTATATCCGTGTGTAGTATAGAGCAAGTATATTTCAATTATCAAACCCGGGCGGTCTACATAGCATTATTTTAGCAATCTACAAATTATCTAGCAATCAAAATGTTGTTTAAAGCTATGTAACTAAACAAGAAAATAACTAAAACAATGTTTAATTCATGTGAGGAAAGTTCACTTGGATGATTATCCCCCTAATCCCATGTTGAGATGAGAATGTGTTACTCTAGTATGATAGGCATGTTCCATATAGTGTTAGGAGATCTAAAATAGTTAGGATTCTATTCGAGTGCATCCTAACTCGCTTAATCGGTCTAATGGAGGGGCGTGCCATACTAATGCAAGGCAAGCAATTCCACTTCCTCAGTGATTGGCCCAAAACATAATAGAGTCACCAATCACAATGATTCATGACACTCTACATTGATTGAGTAGTGATCTAAATTGCCATAAGAGGATCTTCTCTCTAGATCAATTTGCCCAAAATTGAGGGATCTCATCAAGAACACTCAATGTGCATGAAAAATACTTAATCAATATATGATTAACAATACCCTTAAAACAGAATTCATAAACATTAATCTACAACATCCTATACTAGGGTTCACATCATCTAAGTGAAAAGAGAAACTACTCCATAGGTATAGAAAGAACAACAATTAGAAAAGAGGAAAACCCCATGGACTTGATTCTCCTTACTAGTTGCTTGGATGGATGATTGGAGATGAAATCTAGCCTCCAAATGGCTTGGGTAGGTCAAATCCACCTACAATGCTCCCTTGTTAGTAGCTCTCTCTAGGTTGTGGAAGAAGAACTCCAAACTCTCTCTAGAACTCTCTCCTCAAACTTCGCTCTCTCTCCTTTATATAGCCTGTGAGGGCACGTTTCACGGTTGCACATCACACACGTGAAGTGTGCAACAAAACTGTGATCTCAGTGCAAAGTGCATTGTTTCATTAACACACTTCACGGTTTCTCTGCTGACTTCATAGTGTAGGACCTTGATCCTTACAATGCCCGCGAGGTGTGAGCGAGCTCTTGGAACTTTGCAATCTTCAGGTATTCTTTGTAATCTTCACAGTCTGTTGCCCGTGATATTTTCCGCAAAACCGTGACCTTGCACTTTCCTTCGTTTTGCTCCCTTTTCAATCCCTTTTGTCCAACTTTTGATCCTTTCACCCATTCTACCTGATAAAGTCTGAAACATGCCAAAACAAGAGCGAACCTAGCATAAAATGGCTCCAAGGATGGTGCTAAATAAGTCAATCGGCAGAAGGCAAGAGGTATACAAGTGTACAATCTATCTCGAATCACCCAGCCATTTGCCCTCCTTTTCTTTTCTTTTCTCCATTCTTATCCTTTAATTGACGGGAGGAATGATGCCATTGTGGATCAGTTTGATGCAATACATGCTAGCATTGCTTATCCCATGCAAATCAGGATTATTCTTCCTTTTGTTGTTGAATTTATCTAGTGTTTTGTTTGTTCCTCTATCTTTCATTTAATTGGAGATAATTGGAATCGATTGAAATCTTGCTTTTGTTAATTATGGTGTTAGGGTAATTGGATGTGCGAATGAAGGGGGCAGTGAGAGGCCCCCAGAGAGTGAGGGAGACCAGGGAATGCGTTAGGGTGATAACTAAAATTCTAGTAGCCACCGTGGCTACATCATTATCTGTCGTCCATTTTTATTTTTTTTCCATTTTTTTAATCTCATGGTTAAGATTACGTCAGAGTAATTTTGGAAACGTAAAAGAGTTCACACCGGATTATTCTATATATTCTACCCAAACCCTGCTTCGACACTCCACTCTCTCCAACCAAACCCTACTTGAGACGGCTGTCGATTGCGGGCTGCCCGCCCTCCATCCCTCTCTCCTCCGACCACCTCCCTTCGCCGGCCATCCCTCCCCCTCCCTCCCAATCCCTCCCCCCTCTCTCTCTCTCTCTCTCTTCCCATCTGTTCTTCCTCCACAGTAGAATCTTTCCACTAATATATACCTAAAATCCAATCCCCTTCCCCCCCCCTCTCTCTTCTTCTAACAGAACAACTGATTTTTTATTGGTATGTACTTTCTCGCATTGGTAGTATTTTTCCCCGTAATGGTAGTGTTTTTTTGCATTGGTATTGAAAATGTGGGATGAATAAAAATCATAGATCTGATTTTTTCCGCATTGGTAGTGATTTTTTTCGTAGTGGTAGTGTTTTTTCGCACTGGTATTGTTTTTTCCGCATTGGTAGTGATTTTTCGTAATGGTAGTGTTTTTTCGCATTGGTATTGTTTTTTCCGCATTAGTATTGATTATCATGTAAGTGTATTGCTTTTCAGTGAAATTGTATTTTTCTTGTAGTGGTAGTGTTTTTCACATTTGTATTGTTTTCTTTTTCTTTTTGCATTGGTATTGATTATCATGTAATGGTATTGATTATCATGTAATGGTATTGATTTGCATGTATTGATATTGATAAATCTGCAATGGTATTGGTGTTTTGTGAAATGGTAGTGTTTTTATTTCACAATGATATTGGTGTTTTATGCTTTGGTAGTGTTCTTTTAATGGATTGGTATTGTTTTATTGTTGCAGCGGTATCTGAACGAAAACAAGGAAAATATTGAAAAAAAGGAAGAGAGATCTGCCTGGAGATTGTGGAAGTGAGAGAAAAAGAGAAAATTGTAATTAACATATTTTTGTAACTTCCTAAAATGTAATTTGTTAAAAAAGGTAATTAATAATTTTTTTGGCATACTCAGTTTGCCCTTAGTAATTACTGTGGTTAATGGATAATGTAACAGAAGGGTAGCTTTGGGAATTGATAATAGTAGAAAGGCAAGGTTGACGTGAAAAATAGTAGAAGAATATGTTGGAGAAAATAGTAGAGGGTACTTTTAACAGTTAGGTTCTGCTGAAACAAGTAAGAACCCCCGAAGAGGCAGGGTATCCGAAATTCCGAATCTACGAGTATTCCCCTTTCCGGTTGTATGTCGGACAAGCGACATCGATCAACCCTCTTCTTTTTTCCTGGCCGGAATTCCCTCTCCCGTTCCTGAATACAACCCTAAGTCTTACCGCAACCTCTATAGGAGCTCCGAATCCTCCTGTTGTTGCTAGCCAGCCAGCTTACACGACCCAGAAGTCTGATTTCTCTTGTCCATCTGCCCTTCAATTTATCTACCCATTCGTGTTCCAAGTTTCGCTCTTTCCCCGGCTCTTCGCACTATCCTATCCGCCTGATTTCAGCCATGGTTGATCGGAGCGGAGATCAAAAGGCCGATCCTTTCCTCCTGCAGTACCAACCGGCGGAACTTCGAATCGCATCGGAGTTCTTCAACGAGTGGCTGCCTTTTCTTTCCCGAGGTCTCTGCCACACCTGCTCCCGAACTCTGTCAGATCGAATTCGCTCTCTCCAGCCAGGTACTTTGAACAAATATAGGATTGTGAATTGTGTATTGTACATCTAGGGTTTTCCCTTTAAACATTCTCGGGAATAATTGGGACTTCCTCGTTTTCGTTTACCAGAACCCGATGCTTCGTCGGGGCAATTACGTTCGGGTCAAACCACAGTCTCTTCGATTGCGAGTGCTGGCCAATCTTGTGAGAATTGCACAGAAGATCACGAGGACGAGAATTTTGATCAGAATTCATTAGGAAGTTGGAAAGATGGAGCTGATGCATGTCCTGCTTCAGTCCCGGAAGATTCTGCTAGTAGGGGATTGCTTGGTCCGCCGCCAGGAGCTGATAATAATACCTCAAGCCCTCGGAAGTCTTGGGCTGATATGGCGCAAGAAGATGAATTTGTGGATGAAGAAGAACAAGTTGATTCAAGCAAAGAAGCAGTTGGTCTAGGTTGTTCTCCCCTGGTTACGAGAGCTGCAGGGAAGCCTCAGTTACCAAGGGAGCAGAGGGAGTACATTCGGTTCATGAATGTGAAGAGGAAGAAGGATTTTATGTGCTTCGAGAGAGTTCGTGGCAAGTTGATAAATATCCTCGACGGACTTGAACTTCACTCGGGTGTTTTCAGTGCTGCCGAGCAGAAGAGGATAGTCGATCGCGTTTTTGAACTGAAGGAGATGGGCATGAAAGGAGAGTTGAAAGGTAAGTTTCCAATCAGTCCATTACTATCTTTCGTCCTTCAGCCCGTTCTATTTTGCGAATTGGCACTCACTTCTATTGGTATGTGTTATTTCCGAGTTCTTGGCCAGCATAGATACTTTAGGGGGATAAAGATTGATCCAGCTGTGGGCTTAGGTTCTGCTGTAATACAAGAGTTTGTTATCTGACTGTACAGTCGGAGAATTGACAGGGTTCTTAGTATCAGTTCACTGTGTGTATCACGATTAAAACGTGGTCCACTCATTGCATCTGCAGTTGCCATAAAGCTTCCTATCTTATTATATTTATTTCATATCATGTTGCATCTTAGACTGTAATATAGTTTATTTGTTCATCTCTATGTTTTCCATCTTCTTCCAGTGGGAATACTGCAATTAGTTTCTATGTGAAAATTTCATCGTCGAAGACGTCTGTTGGAGGATGTTTTCAGCTAACTGTTATAAATTGTTTCAACGACTAATTTAATCACTGTCCAATTCCTTCTTTAGAGCGCACATTTACTGCTCCTCAGAAGTGGATGAGGGGTAAAGGGCGTGTAACGCTACAGTTCGGATGCTGCTATAACTATGCAACTGTAAGGTCCCTTGACCCATTACCCTGCATGATGAAAATATTCATTTATGTTGGTACAAGAGTTTTGAAGTTGAACCTTTTCCATGCAGGATAGAACTGGTAATCCACCTGGCATTCTGAAGAATGAAATGGTTGATCCGATACCTCAACTTTTCAAAGTTATAATCAAAAGATTGGTCAAATGGCATGTTCTGCCTCCAACGTGTGTGCCAGACAGTTGTATAGTCAACATTTATGAAGAAGGGGACTGCATACCACCCCACATTGACAACCATGATTTTCTCCGACCATTTTGCACCGTATCTTTTGTTAGTGAGTGCAATATTGTGTTCGGAACCAAATTAGATATTTTGGGTCCTGGTGAGTTCTCCGGATCAGTAGCGATTCCTTTGCCTGTAGGGTAAGTCGGGCTAGACATCTTATTTTCTTGCATCTCATATTCCTTCATTTTTATTCTTGTTTGCTCTTTTCATCATAATTTCCTTTTCAGGTCTGTTCTTGTATTGAATGGAAATGGAGCTGATGTAGCTAAACACTGCGTGCCTTCAGTCCCCACAAAGAGGTACCCTCTAAAACTCGTTTGGTTAAATCTTAGTCTCATCATTCAAAACACATTATGCTGTTTATCTGATCTGCTTACTCATGCATGTTTTTTTTCTTCCTTCCAGGATATCCATCACGTTTAGAAAGATGGATGAGAAGAAATGGCCTGTTGGTTATGCACCAGAGCCTGATCTGCAAGGGATTGAACCATTGTCATTTGAAGTAGAAATGACTAGTACTGTTAGGTCGACCTCTCCAAAACCAGAGCAGCTCCCGCCAAGAAGGCAGCCCATTGATAAAGAAGGCAAGACAGAAGCCAGAAGAGCAGCTTTCTCAGAACCTCGTTACGGTAACCGGGGAAGGAGGGGTCCTGGATCACGGCGGAGGGTAAAGGTGGATGTTGAGAGTTGAGTCTACAGAGCCAGTTGCTTGGATCATTGATTTCTAGTTGATCACAGGAGCCTCTGCAGAATAGGTGAAAAGGGATAAGGAGGCGACACCTGTATTCGTTAAGGTTTTATAGTCGAGGAAAGTGCTTCTTAGTCTCTGATAATCTGATTCGTTGTCTTCTTTGCTATCTACGGGGATATGTAACTTAGAGGGATTGAGAGCAATACTGGCTGGGCATATACACTTTGTGTGATTTGTAACATTGGCTTTCGTTTGGCAGCTATATAGCTTCTATTGGATTTTCAGTTTTAGGCGGCAAGCCTTGTGAACCAGGTGGGGGCTAGGTGATAACTCGTTGATGTGCGAGATATTGTATACATCTCAAAGTTATATACGAAATTCCTATGATAAATCAGTTTTCGCCGCTAGTCATATTCTCCATCCTGCAGTTAGTTTTTCCTTCTTTTGATAAATTCTCCATCTGTTTTTTTTTTTTTTTGGGAAATCTGGATCAATTCATTTATAAGGAGAACAAGTTTAGGGCCCAGGGCCCATATCCGCTTCAATCAAACAGCAAAGAGAAATAGGGGGTTATCAACCCAAACCACTTGCTGATCCCAACCCAACCCATTATGAGCCAACCAATGGGCCACCCCATTTGTCTTCCTCGGTCGAAAATTCCAACTCACCTCGCGATCTGACAGTGACTCATTCGCTTTAGCCAGCATCTTCAGTTCATCACACCAAAACCCCAGCTCCGATCGATCTTCACTTCCTCTCCTCAGTTGGTTCATCAAAACCTGGCAATCCGACTCAATGATCAGGGGACTAAGCTCCCTTCGATTCGCTTCCCTCAGACCCATAACCAGGGCTTTCGCCTCAGCTTCAATCGGTCTACAAATCCCCTTCTCCTTCTTCGCCATCGCTCCCACAAAAGCCCCCTGCCAGTCACGAATAATACACCCCAAACCAATCCCTTGACCATTAATCACCCCCGCATCAGAGTTTAGCTTGTAAAAACCTTCCGGAGGCGGAGTCCAGTGGGTTTCTTGAGGCATGCGAGCATGAGTAAGATCGCCCCCAGGATCTGTGTTAGGGGGATCGTGAGCTTCCAGAAAAGACGAGATCCATCTCAGGGCACGGGGAACAATCTCGTCCTCTTCCATCTTCATGTTGTTGAATTTGTGGTTGCAGCGCTCTTTCCACAGGTACCACATAATAGCACTGAACTTCTAAATTCGATTTTCTGGGAATTCTTTCAATACTTCTTTAATCCAATCAAAGCATGTCTTCCCTTCCCCTTTCTCGAATAGATCTCTTTCCTCACAATTCCTCCATTGTCTTCGAATCCAGTCACATTCACGAAGGGCATGCTCTTGGGTCTCAGGAAGGTTGCAGAAGGGGCACTTAGGGGCTGCACACTCGATCCATTCCTCAACATGCACTCCAACCGGTAAGATACTCCTGCACACTCTCCATCGAAAAATTTGGGTCTTAGGAGGAATATGTAACCTCCAGATAGCTTTCCATACCTCGGAATCATCAGGGTTGAGATAGTGGGAACGAGATAGATGGCTAGGTTGTTTATTGCGAATGAAAGAGTAAGCAGATTTGACTGAATAAATCCCCCTATCAGAGTCTTTCCAAACCCTGGAGTCAGGGCCAAGGCGGAACCTGAGAGGGATTTTAGAAATAAGTGTCTGGTCCTCCCGAGAGAATAGCTCCATGAGCTTATCAAGATCCCAGTTCCTCGAGCAGACATCAATGAGGGTGTTAACAGGGGCATCAGGGATAATCCCATTAGGAATAGGGTTAGGCTGAAAGAAACTCTTCCCTGGTATCCATTCATCACTCCAGATATTGATAGACTCACCATTCCCCACTCTCCACCTGAAACCATCAACAATTTCTTCTTTGGCAGCAATAATACTCTTCCAAATATAACTAGGTTGGAAACCCACTTTCGCCTGTAGAATTTCACACTTAGGAAAGTATCGGGCCTTCAACACCCTAGTCATCAGAGAGTTAGGTCTGTTTAGAATATTCCAAACCTGCTTTCCAAGCATAGCAAGGTTGAAAGCCTTTAGATCTTTAAAATCCATTCCCCCATCTTCTTTGCTGTCACACAACTCATCCCATTCGACCCAATGGATCTTTGCTTCTTTACCCTTCTGTCCCCACCAAAAATTTGATATAAGTTTCTGAATTTCCATGAGAGTTCCCTCTGGAATTAGAAAAACAGACATAGGATATAGACACTGAGCTTGGGCCACAGCCTTTATAAGGATCTCCTTGCCAGCCTGTGACATGGTCCTACTCTTCCAATCTTTTAGTTTTTAACGAACTCTCTCTTTAACTTCCTCAAATATAGCCTCTTTTTTTATCTTCCCACCACAGTAGGCAATCCAAGATATTTAGAGTGTTTGTCCACTTCTTTGATTCCAAAAGTTCCACAAATTTCCAATTTCCTGCTTACTTTCACATTCTTACTAAAAGATAACTCTGATTTGGATAAGTTTATCAGCTAACCCGATTCCTTAGTATAGGTATCCAAAATCTCCTTGAGTTGATCACACTCCCTTAGGATTGATTTGCCAAAGATGACACAGTCATCTGCAAATAGAAAATGGGAGATAGTGGGCGCCTTCCTTCTTATTTTGATCCCATTTAGTTTTCCCTCCTTCTCAGCCTTCTTGATCAGAGCAGTGAGACCTTCAACACATAACAGGAAGAGGTAGGGAGACAAGGGGTCTCCCTGTCTAAGACCCCTAGAAGGGGAAAAACTCTCAGTCTTATGCCCATTCACCAAGATAGAATAGGAAACTGTAGAGATGCACTTCATCACCAAACTGACCCACCTTTCATCAAAACCGAGTTTTAGCATCACTTGCTCCAAAAAATCCCATTCCACTCGATCATAGGCCTTGGCCATATTGAGTTTTGCAGCAAAAAAACCATCCCTTGCCTTCTCCCTTTTCTTCATATACTGAAAACATTCAAAATCCACAATCACATTATCAGTAATAAACCTTCCCGGAACAAAAGCACTTTGTTCCTCAGAGATTAAATCATCCAGAATCAGCTTTAACCTGTTAGCTAGAACTTTAGAAATGATTTTATAAATCACTCTGCAGAGGCTAATAGGCCTGAAATCCCTAGCAGTATTAGGAACTTTGACCTTAGGGATTAGGGCTATAAGAGTGTGGTTAAGCTCACTAGGGAGAGTCCCATGAGTGAAGAAATTCAGGACAGTCTCTATCACTTAGGGGCCAATAGTATTCCAATTCTTTTGAAAGAAGCCTGCAGAGAAACCATCAGACCCAGGAGCTTTAGAAGGCCCCATTTGATCAAGAGCCAGCTTAATTTCCTCAGGAGAAACAGTTCTCAGAAGCTTGTTGTTCATAGATGAAGTTACTTTTCTTTCTAGAGCTTGAACAACTTGGTTCGAGTTAGGGATTTGACCCTTTTTGAAAAGTTCCCTGTAAAAATCAAGAATACATGAAGATACTTCTCTTTGCCCTTTGTATAACCTGCCCTGCTCATTTCTCAGCATCTTAATAGTATTTCTCTTACGCCTGGCAGTGGCCTTAGCATGGAAAAATTTAGTGTTCTTATCTCCCCCTCTTAACCAGTCAATTCTGGATCTCTGTTTCCACAATTCCTCTTCTTGGAGGATGAGCTCACTTCTTTCCTTTTCCAAAGCCCTTCTCTGTTCAATCACCAACTCAGTCTTAGGTTTGAACTTGAAAGTTTTGAGAAGGTTTTCAATCCTCTCAATCTTCTTTTTAGTATCTCCAAACTTCCTTCTACTCCAACTCAGCAGATCCGCTCTGCATTTTGAGAGAATAGATAACAGATCCTCATTAGCATTTGTGTTACACGCCCTGTTCACAATTTCAGCACTTTCAGGGTCCTTAAGCCAAAAGGATTCCACTCGAAAGTACCAGCCCCACTTAATTTCTTCCTCATCCCTCCCTTCTGTATAAAGCAAGATAGGAGAGTGATCAGAACCACATCTATCGAGATGGATCACTTGGTGATTAGGGTAGCAGGTCTTCCAATCCCAACTGGCCACACAACGATCTAGTCGTTCCTCAATGAATCCTTCATTTGCCCTGTTATTCTCCCATGTAAAGGGTAGCCATTAAAGCCACAATCTAGGAGACCACATTCATCAAGAGCTTCCCTAAACTCCATGGCGTGGCTTTCATCAATGAGTCTACCACCTCTTTTTTCATTTCCAGACAGGACTTCGTTGAAATCACCAATACAGACCCATGGTAAGTAACATCCATTATTTAGGTCTCTAAGCAAGTTCCACGAATTGAATCTTTCATCATGTTCAGCCCATCCATAGAAACCGGTTAATCTCCACTTTTCATTCCATCCTCGCTAGTTACAATAGCATCAATATGGTGGAGTGAGGAGGAAACTTTTAGCACAGAAAACTCTCTATTCCAAAAGAGGCTGAGGCCCCCTGCCTTCCAGCCCTCATCATTACTTGCAGCCACACCACACCCCCCCCCCCCAGAGAAACCAAGCTTACGTTGAATTTCTTGCCATCCACTCTCATCTTTACGAGCTTCCATCAGAAAGATAATATCAGGTTGTTGTTTTTGGACCAATCTTTTTAATTTAGCAACTGCCGAGGTGCTGCCCAAACCTCGGCAGTTGTAGCTCAGAAGCTTCATTGGACTCAGCGGCCTTGCTCCTTGACAAGGTCCGCCACTTCGCCATCCACAATAGAGTAAGAGAAGTCTTTCTGACGCTTTTCACCCACCTGGTTCTCATCAATATCCATATCATCAAGAGCACCCCGTTTTCCAAACTCCAATCTAGCAAGGTCACTGGATTGACCCTCAAGACCCCTTCTTTCAATTCTATGCCACTTTCTACCGAGCTTTGTCACCTGTTTATTCCCAGCAGATTGAGAGGTAGTATCAATTTGTAATCCAGGGGGAACTGGTTCCTGCTCTCCAGTTAAATCTTGAGTCTTATGTTCTTCATTAGGATTCATGACAGGAACTGTACCAGAATCATTAATAGAAATGACCAGCAAATCCTCTGATAGTTTCTCAGCCTCCGTAATCGATTCCTGTTGGTCTTTTACCTTCTTCTTTTCCATAGCTTTACCAGCTTGAACCTCTTCCCATAGTTTAGACAATTGATGGGATTTTTCTTTTTCCTTAAGGGAAAGCTTCTTTAGAGGGGACTCAGCTCTCAGCCAGGATCCATAAGGATCATTTTTATCTACTTCTTCGTTATGTGCCGAAGGACATGATTTTCTCAGATGGCCTAGAGTGCCACATTTAAAACAGTAGATGGGGAGTCTCTCATAGCCAACCCTATAAGAGATAGGGCCTTCCTTACTCTGCATCTTGACCACTCTTCTCAAAGGTTTCTGAGTCGAAATAGACACCCTGATTCGCATATAATCGCTGCTAACTCCAGAGTATAATTCATCCCATCGGACAAATTTGCCAAACATGGATCCAACCTTTTCTGCCATTTGCAGATTTCTCATATTTAGGGGAAATTTTCTTATACGAACCCAGAAATCCGCCCAACAGAACTCAACCTTCGATATATCCAGATCCGGAGGAACTTCTTTGAAAATCAACAGTTGCCTTTCTTGATGCCAAGGTCCTCCAAACAGGACGTTATTCTTATCCCCATAACAGTAAAATTGTAGTCGTAAGATATTTTCCTTTGTTGCTTGAATATCGAAATCCTTTTTCAGCTTCTAGGCTTCACTCAGAATCTTATCAGAATCCTTCCTGAGGGAAGATTGCCTTTAATAACTTTGCCAACCAAACCAAGTTCTTTTATTGATTCTTCAACTCCTTTCGTTTTAACCGTATCTTCAAAGCTAATAAAAGCTTCCTCATCTTCCGTAAGATCAATCCCAGACAGTTTATCAACTAACTCGTTCGCCTTGAAAATTGCAGGTAGGACTACAGAGTAGACTCCAAGAAGAAAAAGATCAGAACAAGGGCCAGAAGGTACTGAAACGTCAGCAGGAACAGAAAGAAACCACGGAGCGGAACACTCACTGAGGAACAACCAAGCAGGGAACCGAAATAGCACACAGACAGAAAGGAGGAAGGAGACAATCCCAGAGAAGGGGCAGAGATTAAGGACAGAGACGAGAGAAGAGATTGCGAATCACCAGGGATATGATCCGTCTCGAGGAAAGTTGGAAGAGGAAACGTCACCACTGAGGGACAGTGAAAAGACAGAAGAAGCTCTCTAGGTCAGAGAGAAAAAACTTAACTTTTCTGAGAAAAAACTTAATTCTCCATCTGGTTTCATTAACTGAACCTGAACTAAGGCTCTATTCTTCTGAACTAAGGCTCTATTCTTTTGTTTTCTCTCTTCCCTAATACTAGTTTGGACGGTAGTTTGGTGTTCGCCCGACCCATCATCTAAATGTCATTTGAATATGACGTATTTACAATGTACAAGTTAAGGTTTAAAAATATTTATTATGTGTATTTCTATCCAATAGCTAAATTTAATTGTTAAAATCAAATTAAATAATTAAAATATCAAACATAAAAAAAGTACTTAAAGAAGAGTTAATGGGCCACTTAATCGTCATCGAAAAGTCATATGTTCTTAGAATTTTAGGTTTCTATATGGTTTTAGTTTAAAAATATACATAAAATTTGTTTAGGGTAAAAATTAATGATTCATGTCCATTTTTGAAGAAACCATGGCTCGAATCCTAGGATTGATGTATTTTTTTTCCTATGAATAAGACAAATAATTGTAAAGATAAATTTATCCTTCCTACTTCCTTTCTCTAGAGAAAATTTGAAATGCTAAAAAATTGCTCATAACTCTACTAAATATGATAGGTGGGTTATGCATAAGGTGAGATGAATTTTATTAGTTTCTTCGCTTTTTAATTGATTTATATTTTTTTTATCCAAAATTTGGATCTTTTCTTCAGATGAAACAAGTTTATTATGATGTGCAAAATGATATACATTTTTTATAATATTTTGGGGAAACAATTTCGTACATCTATCCCGTGCGGTGAACACTCATACATGTGTGTCATCCATAACATCCCAAAGCCATCGACAGTTGAAATCCATGGTGGTTGTCGCGGCTATCAAACATCTAATTGAGCAAGAGCCTGACCTGAAGGTGAAAGTCATCATCGCTGACATTTCTAGTCGTTATGGATATATTATTAACCATGAGAAGGTGTGGCATGGAAAGCACAAAGCTCTGACCGCCGTCTTTGGTGACTAGGAAGAATCATATGCATTCCTTCCTAGGTTGATTTTGGCATTGGAGGCGTCTAACCCTGGCACTGTTTTCTCCCCCCTCTACAAAGATGAAGAGATCCAGCCGCCGGAGCCCGGTAACAAACGCTATTTCAAACGTCTTTTTTGGTCATTCAAGCCATCTATTGATGGTTTTGGCTTATGTGTCCCTATGATGCAAGTGGATGGAACATTCCTTACTGGCAAGTACAAGGGCACTCTCTGATTGCCAGTGGAGCGGATGCAAACAGACAAGTCTTTACTTTAGCCTTCGTCATTGTTGAGGGAGAGAATATCGAAAGCCTATGCATGATTCTTTAGACAAATTCACCTCCACGTCACCAGGAGGACGAACCTGACAATCTTCTCTGACCGTCATGTCGGGATCAGAGCTACCATCTTAGGCTTGGATCCAGAGTGGAAATGGTCCTAGAGGTGGTGCATACGACACTTCAAGAGCAATTGGAACCATCATTTCAAGCGAAGAAAGCTTGCTGATAATTTATGGTGGATTGGTAAGCTCTCTATTTCACTGGTTATTTAATTTTGTCAACTGGGAATAGCTTATAGGAAATACAATGCAACACTTGGTTAGACTCTTTGTAAAGAGATGCATGTCTAAGGAAATAAGATTTTAAGCGATTATCATGGCCCTCCCATTTCCTGGGAAAATCGGGTTTTAAGCGACCCTCGGATCCCCCCTTTTTCTGTCAAAAAGGCTGCGTTTCTAAGAAGATGTATACATCTCCTAGCAGTCTAACGAGAGTACCTGTATTTCTTTTAATTATTGAAAATTGGACAATTAACACTAACTTAAGAAATTCAAGAAAAGAAATTCAAAGAGAAGTTGCAGAAGAACTGTGAGCTACGCCCTGAAGGGGCACAGTGGTTGGATGGACACGACCTAAACATGTAGACTTTTCATAAGGATGGAGGTACCAGAGGGGGTATTGCCACACTGTAGATCAAATACTACTAACCGGTCATATCACCAACATCCGGTGGGGGATGATCATTCACACACACCGCGTTGCCGTCGATGGGCAGATGGGTTAGGATGACGATGTCCTTTAGTGTGATGGTGCATTCTCATTCGCGAAAGTTGAAGTAATGTGTCTCTTTTCGCCATCTCTCCACCAATGCGGTGATGAGTTGACGATCGATCTTTAACACTAAAAATTGCCTAATCGACTCCAACCGTGCCTTTTTGAGAAAGGGCAAGATGACGTCGTTCCATGATAGCACATTGCTCGTACCCCTGTAGCGGATTATTGGTGTGCCTCCTAGCGAAAATTTTAACGTTTACCATAAATAACATTTTAAATGAATACTGATTTAAAGAGAGACATATTCAAATATTTAAAATTAATTAAATTAATTTTGTACACATACACAAATCCATGAGATTATTGTGTAAATCGTATTGGTTGTTTTCAATAATTTAATAGAATACAATGCAACACTCGTTAGACTCTTAGAAGAGGTATACATCTTCTTAGAAACACAACATTTTTTACAGAAAAGGGGAGATCCGAGGATCGCTTAAAACCCGATTTTCCCAGGAAATTGGAGGATCATGATAATCGCTTCAAACCCCAGTTCATTAGGCACGCATCTCTTTATAAAGAGTCTAAGTGGCGCTATGTATTCGATTAAATTATTGAAAACACCAACACGATTAAAAATGATCAAATTTATTTTATATTCCACTAAGTACGTTAGCAAAATAAAAGAATGACAAATGATGAAGAATTGTATGTACCTCGTGATCGTTCCAAATATCACTTGAACGATGGTTGGGTTGGTCGTACAGCACGGTTGGTTCACTAGGTCATTGATCAACATAATATCATTGGTTGTATAAATCCACGTCGTCCCCAACCTACGAGAGAATAATAACAAGGTTAGTATATAGATTAATTAAAAAGGTAATAACAACAACAAAAATTATGTAAAATGAGTACGTACTGTTTGAAATTCATCATAATAAACTCCCTCTTCTTGGAACCACTCCTCCATTTTTTCGCGAAAGTCGGACAGAGATTCGACGGGTTATGAAGGTAAACCAAAGAAATGTTTTCTGATGGCAGATCGGACTTAGACGCAACCAACATATCACTATTTCCTAGGCTTTTAGGGAAGGGGGGGGGGTGATAGAGAGATAATTTTAGAGAGAGAGTGAGAGAGAAGAATGGGTTGTCATGTGAATAAATGGAGAGGAGAGGGGGTTTTATAGCACTCGGACCGCACCCTCCAAGGGCGGTTTTGTAATTTCCCCCAACCTAAAACCGCACCTCAAGCGCGCGGTTCACGTAACCTGAGGAGGAAATAGTTCCCCCTAGCACGTGGTTCTCGATCCCTGGCGCGGATAGAAGCGATGGCGGGCGGTCGACCGTTCGATCGCCGCCTGATCCAACGGTCATGGGGACCGCCTCTTCCCCGCGTGGTTCGTGGCCTCGTGGGCTGCCGTAGCGAGAACCGCATTGTCCCCAAGTGGTTTCCTTGTAAACCGCACCTCTGAGGCTGTTTTTTAAAATGGTGATATTTCTGAAAAAATTCCAAGAGAGGCCGTTAAAACAGGGGGAAGTTTTGCATCGGAGAATAAAACCCTAACGTGAATCACCCTATAAATCGGTCCACTAATCCTAATTCTCACGTATGATTTGAATTAAAATTAATCAGTTTAATTAAAGTATCCTTATTAACCTTAACTAACCAATAACTAATAATAATTGCTAACTAATTGGTAACTACCATAGATTAATCTAACGATCTAAATTCACTTAAGAAACTTCTTAAATATTGAGACTTAAGGATATGAACCCATCACTGATTTACTCCATTACTGTATCGTCCTGAAGAAAATAGCATTAAAAGAGCATGATTTTTTACAATGAACTACGTGAAGAAAATAATTCGGAATAGGATGAATGATGAAATCACGAATTATTTTTTGATTGGTGACATTGAAAGTGAAATTCTTGATAGTTTGAATGATGAATGTACTATGATTTTGAATGTCCAATACATAATTGATAGTTAACTATTCGAGTTACAATATAAATAAAAAGAAAAATTAAAAATATTTCATATCTTTTTCCGACCTTCACCTTCCAAACCTATCCACCCGCCCAATAATACCATCCCAATTTCTAGGTTTTGCCACTACCCCAATCATCCGCTTAATCATTTGACTAAACCAAATTGGTATAGCCGTGGAATACTCCACCAATCCTTTTATATTTCTTTTGAGGGAAACCTAAACCAAATTCCGTTATAATCTGAACGTCCAAAGATGTTGAGTAACAAATAAGCAGCGGCATAATTAACTAGACAACCCGATAAAGCCACATGATGGTGATTATATTTATTTAGCGTACAGCTAGCTAACGAGGCCAAACAAAGAGCCGACCACTTTCCCCCGCCGGCTCGCCCCAACACTAAATTAAAATCCAAATTTTGTCTCATCTCACAAGATTCTCCAATTCCATAATTTCATACCTCTCAATCTCTCTCCAATTATACCCCAACTCAACTCTCAACTTCACAACAAAAAGCAACATCGTCAGTCAATCCTATTCCTATGGACACATCGCCATCCCCTCCTCCTCCGTCCACAAGAAGAAGAAGAATGAAGAAGAGCAACCAGTTCAAGACCCACCGCCTCTCTCCGATTTCCCTCCTCCACCGTTTCCGGGAAGCCGTCTTCCGCCTCATCATGATCTCCGCCCTCTCCAAGCCCACCAGGCCCAGGACCGCTTCGCCTTCGCCAGATCATACCGCGAGGAGGGCTACTTACCACCACCGCCATCTGGCTGATCCTTACAACAGCGAAGCACTCGCCGACTGCATCGAGTTCATCAAGAAGACATCCGTAACGGTACACGGCGACACTTCCGCCGCCGCCGCCATTGCCAGCTCCAATACCACGGTGATGCCTGTCCCGGTCATGTGATATTACTCAATTTCCTTCCGACATATATAGTTTGCCCTTAATTAGTTTAATTTTGCATCAAATTTTTGCTTAATTTCCTTGATTTACGCTTGTGTGTGTCTGTTAATGAACGACGACTAGTAAGAATTGACGTGTTCCCGTTGCCTTCTGTTTTCAATTGCAGTCTTTCTTTTTTCCTTTTTTTTCCGGGTTAATTCGCAAAAACAATTCTCCATCTAACCATTAAGAAAGTTGATTAACATTTATAATAAGTTCCTCGCAAATTATTAAGACTATTACTTTGGACGCTTCCTACTTTTTTCATTTGGATCCGGGTTATTTGTGGGTAGATCAATGTTAAACTACCGATTAACCATCCATATGCCCAACACTAATTGTGTATACAAGGAACTACTGTAATTTGTTAAACCTACTGTGTATGAAAAGTTGGATACAAATTTGGTGAAATGGCTAATGAATTGCTGAGTCAAAAAATTTGGTGACGTGGCTAAAATTCTATTATTTCATTACACCACATAAGTATTTATTGTTTTTTTTTACAAAATCACAAATTGAAAAAATTGGTAAATGCCACATTTGGTCACTGGAATTACTAAATAGTGTCATGTTTAGTTACTAGAAAAAATTATTATCAAATTTAATCACTCGAACTACTAAAACAAGTCATATTTAGTCACTCTCCGTTAGTCTCCGTCCAACTCCACTAATGGAGTCCGTTATGTGCTGACAAGGCAAACGGGAGAGCCTAATCAGCGCCATTTTGGGCCGAAAATGGTCAAACCATACCCGTCATATCATACATCCAACCCAACCCTACCTAGAACCAAACCCGAGATTTCTCCCTCGTTGTCTTCTACTACTTCTTCCATGACGACTCTGCCGCAACTCTAGCGATTTGCACGAGGCCGGTGTTGATGGAAGTCGTGGCAGCTATTTACGAAGGGTAGAGCCACTTGGCAGCGGGAATCCTGTCTCGAGGCTGGTGTTTTAGTAATTTGAGTGATCAAATTTGATATTGATTTTTCTAGTGACTAAACATTACACGATTTACTGATTCCATTGACCAAATGTGGCATTAACCCTTGGAAAAATTAAGGGTAAATACAATTTGTTAGACAGATATTTCATTTTAAACAAAATATTAGCCAAACCTTTTTAAAAATAATTTATTAGTCAAACCGTCAACATTCTATCCGGTCAACCATGAGTTGTCTCCATTGCCATCGTCGTTGTCTGCCTTCTTCTTGGCCATCTCCGATTACGCTTCCTCTCTCGCGCCGCCCACCTCCATGCCTCATCAATGTTACTGTCTTAGCACCGTATGCAGAGACATTTTGAGTAGGGAGGGGGGGGGGGGAGAGAGGAGAAGGTTTGTGTAGAAAGAGGGGAAAGTGGAGAGACGGCCGTGAGTGGGAGGGATAGTGGTAGGTCAGTTTATATCAAGGTTCAAGAAAGCACTAGGCGTAAAGTGAGCGTTGAGACTTTGCCTAGCGCCTTGTATGCTTAGGGAATGCCTAACTGTGCATAAACGTTAGAAGTAAACGTAGCAAAAATATCTCACACTTGTCTAGAATTACAAGTTTATGAACCCATATTATTACGCATCTATCTCTCATTTCTAAACCTTCAGCAACAACACATGAAATAAATAATAAATGTGTAAAGACAAAAATGACCTTCCTACTTTCACTCTCTTTGCAGGAAATTTGAAATGGAGAAAAGTACACAAAACTCTACCATATATTAATGGAGGATGAAAGAGAAATAAGGAGGGAAACTTTTGACTTTTCAACTTTTTGTAGAAGGAAAGAAGAGGGTAATTTGGTTCTTTCAATTTTATGGAAGAGAAAGATGAGGGAAAATTGAGTTTTTCTAATGTATGGAAGGAGAAAGAAGGAGTGAAATTTTAGTATTTTTGTGAAAATAAAGAAGGAAACAAATTTGGTGTTTTCAATTTTTTGGTTTTTCATAATTTTAACTTTTGAAATATGAATCTTTAACTTTTATATGGAGGGCATGACTAGTTAAAATTATTCTTATATGCTTTGAATGCTAATATGTATATATGTATGTAATTTTTTATGGTTTAATAAATAAATTAACCATTAGTTACAACAATTTATGCTAAACTTGATAAGTAATCTTTGACGGTTCGTTGTTTAGGATATAAAGTATATGGTTGGGGTATAAGGTATAAGGTACATATGGTTTAGGGTGTATATGGTTAGAGTATAAGATATTGATGGTTTTGACGGTTCTAAGTTTTTTATTAACATATGTTCACTTGAAGTCATTTGAAGTCTTTAACGGCATGAGATCCCTTTTTAATTTATGTTTATGGTACGTGGTTAGGGTACAAGGTATGTGGTGTAAAGTATAGGATATATGGTTAGGGTATAAGTAGAGGTGGCAAATGGATTGGATTGGTGGATTGGATTGGTGGATCCATGGATCAAATGGATTGGATCTAATGGATTGGTGGATTCATGGATTGGATCAAGTGGATTGGTGGATTATCCATGAATCCAAATGACATCCTCAACCAAGGACCAATATGTAAAATGTAAAAAGTTTAGGTACTAAATGTCCTAATGAAAAATTTTAGGTACCAAAATGTAATTTTCCAATGATTTTTCATATAAAAAATTAAATGTTAGGTACCAAAATGTAAAAAATAAAAATTAGAGGTACTAAACCGTAATTTGCCAATGATCCATGGATCCAATCCATGAATCCACCAATCCAATTGGATTTGGATAAAATGGATTGGATTTAAATGGATTGGATTAGGTGGATATTTTTAATGGATTGATGGATTGGATTGGTGGATTGGATTGAAATTGCAACCTCTAAGTATAACAATTAGCAAATATCACTTTTTATCTATGTTTTGAAAATCAAAGTATGAATTTCACTTTTAAATTAACTATACTAGCAAAATCACAACTCAATGACATATGGTTAGGGTATAGGTTATGTGGTTAGTGTATAATGTATTGATGGTTTAGGATATACAATCAACAACATATACTAACTTAATATTGTTGATTGAGGGTAAAGCTAAGTGTATAGGATATATGCTATTGAGTAAGTTATGATTGAAGTCACAATAATTTTACTAAATTTGATAGCTAATCTTTAATGGTTCAATTTTTAGGATAATTCGAACAATTTTACAAATAACTCGTTTGGCAACAGTTTACTAAAGTTATTTGGGCAATGAGTTATTTTGAAATAACTCCTTTTATCACTATGCTTTTGCCAAATACCACACCCCAAATACCAGATTTGCATGGTTATACTAAAAGAGATACTTTAATTCAATTACTACTGAATTAATACTAAAATGTCAAATAAACAATTAACGGTGTCTTTTGGTTGCAAATAGTGATATCACCATTACTATTAGCTATAATACTTTACCAATTATGATTAATTACATAACAAGTTTGCAAGTCATACAAATTGATTTAACATTTTGACTAGTTTTTTTCAAAAAAATAAAGTATATATATACGAGGTAGAAATAAATTGGTTAAAAAGTTGAGAAAATATTTTAAATTAGTGTAATAAAATGTGTAAGTTGGTAATGAGTAATGAGTTAAGTTACTTGATGCGCTGGCCCGAACAAATCGAAACCCGACCCGCCCGACCCAAAACCCGATGAACCCGCAACCCGATTTGCCCGCAACCCGATTGAATCCGAACCCGATGAACCCGCAACCCGACTAACCCGCAACCCGTTTGAACCCGAACCCGATAAACCCAAACCCGATGAACCCGCAACCCGACTAACCCGCAACCCGTTTGAACCCGAACCCGATTGAACCCAGCCCGAACCCGCCCGATTGACACCTATAGTAGGTACAATGCTTTTTATGCAGGGCTTTCTTTATCCAGGCATTGACGACCCGTACATTGTCGAACTACTGGTGCCCCGGGATGCTAGCCACTGGTGCTCTTTGAAGGGTCTTACAGAGGTGGTGTTTCAAGGAGGCGCAAAGACAATTATTGACAAAGTTAGGGATTGAAACACTTGGGATGTTTGAGGAGGGGTCATCTTTGAGGAGATTCAATGCCTCCAGAGACAATTACGAGAGCTTTGTAGTGGAGTTTGTAGGCAGGAGTAACGACTGGGCGTCCCATTCGGTGGCCAAAAAGGCCCTCTCTTTGTTTCCTGCGGGGACAAATGATTTTGATTTTCGTCATTGGTTACAATTTGCTTTTTGAATTGTCGTTGCTTAGGCAAGTTGTAAACTCGGTTATCTTTTCAGTTTCTTGGTAATACAAGTTAGCTTTTGGCGAAAAAAAAAAAAAGATGTAATCAATTATGGTTTGGTAGCTCTAATGTTAAAACAATTTTTCATGTACAAAGAAACATGTTTAAGAGTACTATCGAAACAACGTTAAAAGCGTGGATTCCATGAATGCTTGTTACCATGGAGGACATGATTGATATGATTTCGTAGTCATGTCCCTAAGCAGCAACTGCTGTACCACCAATTGGAAGGGGCTAAGCCAGTCACACCATAGTCATAGAAGGCTGCAAGTAAGAGGTTTTCAGTGACATCCTCAGAGAAGGCCATTTATGTATGGCCAATCCTGATTCGGTAAATGTAGGATGTAGCTAAAGCTATGAAGATGTTCCAATGGAAGAGGGGGAAATACTTGGTGATTAAGCAAATTAAAAGACTTGATACGAACCAAGTTATAAACTCCGTTGTTAACCAAACTATCAACTCCAATCCGAGCCAAGTATAACTCGAATTGGTGTAGTAGTATAGAGGAGACCCTCGATGTCGAGTTGTCACGGACACCTTAGGCTTACTATTCATGCAGATGCAGTGTCAAAAAGACAAAACTTGAAATGAAATGAAATGAAGCAACGTCAACCAACTTAAATTGATCTCAACTCTAAATCCTTGAGCTTTCATTGACATTTGGTTAAATTCTCCTTCACTAGTACACAAACTCATAACACTCGAGAAGAATGTACATCCGACAATGACATTACCCATCCATCACTGAATAAGCTATGGTCCTTATGGAGATCGGCGTAAGGACATCCTTACTTACGCCCAACCCCATAAGGATGCTATCGAACATCACCAGCGCCCTTAGGGCCACACCAAGAACCAGCCCTTTTGTTTTGTTTTCTTTGTTTCTTCAATTACAGAGACGACTGAAGTTTTTCATACAAAATACCAACTCCTCCCTTCCAACCTATAACTCGTTACATTCCGCCTCATCCTCACTCACCATCACATCAAATCCTTACTATGAACAACTTCCACAAAAGATAAAGAAAAAACAACAATGACACAAGTTTCTTTCATCGCCAAAATCTCCACTTGCATCTTCTAGACCCTCCGAGAATTGCGGTGTCCGGAAGGACTTGGCAGATTGGTTGACCCCATGCTTGCGGTTCTCAGAAGTTTTCGGAACTCTGATAGGCTTATCTTGCCATCTCTATCAATATCTGCCTCCTCAAGGAGCGGGTCAATTGAACCCCTTAACCCGGTATGCTGCAACAGTAAACCAAAATCAGTTAGAGTGCAGTACTCACTCTGGAATCTTATTTTATATTTTGGTGCCTGTTGATGCAATTAACCACTAAGTTAGTTCGTCTTACCATTCTAAGCTCGTCAGGGGTAATATAACCATCTCCATCAATGTCAAATTTGTCGAAAGCGGCCTGAGAACGTTCTTCCCACTTCTCGGAGTTGTGCTCTTGCAACTGATGCACATGTAGAGCAGCTGCAACAAACTCAGAGAAATCAACAAGCCCGTCCGTGTTGCAATCAATCTGCACCAACAAGTTTATTCAAGAAAAAAGGGGCGAGGAGTCAGTTTCACCATAAGCAAACAACTACAAGGTTCTGGGTTGCATGTATGCAAGAAACCCTACTGGGGAAACAACGAACACACAAAATGTCACATCAATTCACTGACCAAACCTTGTAGATATTGGTTCAAGTGGAAAGGAGGGAGACAGACTTACTGCTTGTAGAATTTCTAGAACACGCGACTCTTTTAACTTCCAGGGTAGATCCTTAGCAAGTGCCTGCAAGTATGAGGCCCCATATCATCAGTCATCAAGTACTGATAGAACCATTCTTATCTACATCTCTTCAAAACTGATAGAACCATTCTTATCTACATAGCACGGTGAACCATTCTTATCTACATAGCACGGTGAACTTGACACCCACCTGCCTCATCTCTTCAAAACTGATAGAACCATTCTTATCTACATCGATTGCATCAAATTGATCCTTGAGGTCAGATAGCTCCTCTTCACCAAGTGTGCTAGCCAATGCCTGCAATGGGATAAGCATATTATTATAAAAGTGGGAAGAAAATGATAATACATCGTATTATTGTTACAGCTGAGAATCCAAAATTAGAAGCTTACACGGAGAGCAAACTGTTTCAGGCGACTGTACTTCACAAATTGCCTCATGTTCTTCAGAACAGATATGTCAATTGGAATCTCGGATGCATCTCCTCCTTCTCGGACCCATGGATGTGCTGTCAAATGATCAAAGGCATAAGAATTTCAAGCCAAGCGATTATATACTTGGTAAACAGAGTAACTATGTTTACAGATGATTTATGACATACATTCACCTAATACTTCACATGTTCATTTTTAGCTATTTTCTCCCCTTTTTAGGATGACTTAAAGGGATAGGAAAACGTACACAAAGCTTGAGCAGCTGTAAGTCTAGCACGGGGATCTTTCACAAGCAACTTCCTAATAAAATCTTTGGCACTGTGGCTTGTGGTTGGCCATGGTTTGCGGCGAAAATCAGGTTTGTTTCTTAGGACCTGCAAGAATTACACAATAGCGAACTGAGGAACTAACAATACTAGTAAGAGTGATGCTGCAGTAAAATAACGGACATGGAAACCAAATAGATTAAGAAGCAGAAGATAAAAATGGTCCACTCAATACAAACTTAAAAGCAATGTTGTCATAACCGAACCGCAGCATGACCCGGTAATGCAAACGGCTCGCACTTTAGTGGTCCAACCGGCATTAGACCGTTTAAAAACCGTTAGAGAACCGGTACCTAATATACGTTATCAGTATAAATAGTGGACATTTATTAATCAGATCTCATCTCTTTCCTTCGAAATTGTGAAATGGAAATAAGGATTCAGTTTGAGAGCCCTACGTTTTTTGTTTATTTCAATTTTCAATTTTCTGCAATTTTTTTAATTGAATTTAGTGGCTGAATGGCAAAAACCGGACCAGCTGCTCAATCGGCTCGAACGGTTAACCGCTTCGGCCGCTCGCCAACCGCTACATAAAACCGGAGCGGCTTTTAGACTGTTTCGAGCCGGTTTTATGATTGGGTGGCGGTTTTACCGGTCGGGCCGAACGGCTCGGCTTTAATAACAATGCTTAAAAGTCAATTAAATCATTCAATGAAAATCAGCAGCACGACATTGAGGATTGCTAGGTGAACAGTGGTAGAATTGCAGCATAAATAAGTTATACCATGAAAAATTCGGAAACATTATTATGATATGTCTTGCGTAAAGAACTTCATTTTCATGTTGTGAACTTGTATACTCTAAAAAAGTGAAAACCTTTTGCATATATGGCATAAATTACCATGCGGATGAAGGGAAAATACCAAAGGGCCAGTATCATAATTAAGATTGGTACTGCACCTCCTTAAATATACCATCCTCCGTTTTATCCCAAAAGGGCCGTCTTCCACAGAGCAAAATATATGTTATGACACCAATGCTCCAGACATCTGACTCAGGTCCAGACTTCCGTTGTAAGACCTCAGGAGCAACATAATAAGCACTGCCAACAATATCATGGAACTTCTTTCCTGCAAAATCAAATTTAACAATATGATAGTGTTTAAGGTATTCCCAAGATTACTGACTGAGGCCATCAGAAGTGTCCGGCCAAATGGCGATCCCTTAGCTTGACTGAAACACCACTCACCTGGCTTTATGAAGTCTGACAAACCAAAATCTGTAGCCTTCAGCACTGAGTCCTCTTTAGTTGACTTGAAGAGAAAGTTCTAGAGACAAACAATACAGAAAGAGCTGATAAGAAATTTTATTGTCCATGCCACTACGGTTCTTCTCAGAATGTCAACAAGCATGGCATATTTGGCCAAATACTTGATATACCTCAGGCTTCATATCACGGTGGACCAAACCATGTAAATGGCATTCAGCTGCTACTTTAAGCATCTGCCTTACAATTACTGCAGCATCTTTCTCGGAATAACGGCTGTCCTTTCTGAGAGAAGAGTAGCAAGAAGACACAAGTACAATATCAGAAGAAATACAATAAACAACTCATTTTACGTATTATGACACCAAAACATCAGATTGGAAAAATCATATCAAGATAAGGAGCGAATTTCTGGATAACAGATTTCTTACTTTGCCAGAATCCGGTCTAGTAGTTCACCTCCTTCACATAACCTAAATAAGTGCAAGAAGAACAATGATCGTCAGATAAAAGAATTGATGACGGAATCAGAACATGATAGTTCGCATACCCAAGCAGCGAATCACAGGCTTCCCCTAAGAAGAGCAACGGTAAATAAGTTGCCATGACAAGAAGTACAGAACTTACTCCATAACTATATATACATATGAATCATCCTCAAATGCATTGATAAAGTGGACCACGTTCTCATGACCAGCAAGTTGCCGCAAAATCTTGACCTCTCTTTTGACGTCTTCGACAGCAATAGGAAGAAGCATCTATCACCACCACAAGAATTAGTTTAGAAGAACATTAAACAATTACGCAAATCATTAATGAAGACGAACAAAAGAGGTTATAGCTAGGGTCGAACTCCCAAGTGAGTCAACCAAAGCATCATCCTCACAGCATTCTAGCACATGAGACAATGGATTCATGCCATCAAGAAAGATGTTCATCCTTTAAACAGATTCTAGATAATAGCATCTCAGATTCACCCCTCAACAACTTTAAACTATCATATGAAAAGGAAACAAGAAAGAAAGAAGGTTTATGAAATCCCTGGCGTTTGCTTTACAGCAATCCCTTTGGTAAAAATAAAAAAACAAGTATGTAGGAGAGACACAGGATCAGAGCTGAAATTGCTAATCCTCCATGAAATGGGTCCCACAGAGGATATAGTAGTAAGTTTTTCTCTTTTTTTGGTAAACTCGAATAGGATTTCGGCCATGAGACTAATCTGATAGCAGACGGCAGAGTCTTCCAAGTATGTGAGATGCATGCAGTAGACGGTATCAATCCGGTGGCTTGGATAAGGTGGTATCACAGCAAGGTAGACCGGCTCTAATCAGGAAAGTGAGATGAACTATCTCCACAGGAACAAACATCTAGGACCCTATTAAAAGGTCTTCTATAGTTAAAAACAGCTACGTAAATAGGATCTGGTAAGCAATCCACCATTTTGATGATTCAAGTGCAGAATTGTAAATATTCCCCGCCCAATTTGACGATCTTTAATCTCAATAACGACCACAAATTCCCAGTTAGATTTCCATCAGAAACAAGGACATACTATTTATTCAACATAAATGGAGGAAAAGACGAAATCTAAGCAAAACCCAGATTCATCAATCACCCATTGAGGCCACAAAAACCAAAACCCAGGTAGAAAATCCGATTATATCAGATATGGAAGCATTAAAAAGGCAAACACAACTGTGAAATAGGAAACAGAGAACGCTGGCACTACCTTGCCTTTGTCAATCCGTTTGACTGCAACACGATCTCCGGTTTCCTTATCAGTAGCAACATACGTGTACCCAAATTGGCCATGGCCCAACAATTTCCCGATCGTGTACCGTTGATTGAATTCCTTATGGTAGCCGAAATCCGTCCGCTTCCCACACGGAATCGCCCCACTGCCCTTCCTCGAGCTCTGCTTCCCTTTTAACTTCACTTGCTGCTGCTGTTCGGGCTGCTGTTTTCTGGTCGTCCTCTTCTCGTTGGTATTGTGATTTTTCTTAGTATTGTTCGCCGACGAAGCCTGCTTGTTTTTTGCCGCCGCCCCGCTTGCGGCAGCCTTGACGCTGCCTGCTACCCCTCCTCCGGCGGCGGCGTTGTTCTTGTGGTTGTGATTGTTGCTGCTGGAGCCACTGACCTTGGTTGTGGAGAGGCAAATCCCCATGGTCGGCGGCAGAGTTCAGAGGATCGACAAACCAAGCAAGGACAAGTCAGCGATTGAAGTATATGCAAAAATTGAGGGGCAGATCATGGGAATGTGGGGGAATTGAAAAAAGAGCAGGCGGCGTTTATATTCAGAAACACGCTTGGAATTGATTGGGTTTTCTGGTGTTATCGGTCTTCGTTTTTTTTGTTTGTTTGTTTAAAAAAAAAAAAAGAAGCAGGAAGAGGAAACGGAGGAGGAAGAAAGGAGGAAGAAGGGAAGAAACGGTGGTGCTGCTGATGGTGGTGGTGGTGGTCAAAATACGACCTGGCCTTCCCCTCCTTTCTGCTTTTCCTTCTTGTTTTTTTGTTTTTTGTTTTTCTACTTAGATTATTTTTGACACGCGACAAGTGTAAATTCTGTTTGTAATTTGTTACTTTTTTTTTTCAGAATTACAAAAACCAGATCGTGTTGTTTCCAGATACGATTGTCGGTTGGCATCTCTTCTAATTCGTCGATACTTCCTCTTCTAATTCGTCGATACGAGAACTAAACGATTTGTTGAGCATATGATCATAATGAGTAGTTGGGAGCTGCAATTGTTGGGGGAGGAGTACATTGATTGTTGATCAATAGGTTATTTAGTCTAATTGATCTGTGATTATTTTATTGCGCAAATGGTTGTGATTGTGCTGCTGAGTGGCATATTCGTTGCATCTTGTTTGCTTTCTTTCCTTCTTTTTATTAACCTGGTTTTTGCTTTTTTTCTAACTACTCCATCCCACGTAATTTTTAATATTAATCAACTAATTAACTAATATATAAAAAAATGCAAATTTCAACAAAATGGGTAATTTCCTCGGCAATTTTGAGCTTTCTCTCACGCTCGCGTCACAGGAACTCAGGAAGCCCTACGGAGGAATCTTGACCAAGAGAGGAGAAAAGAAGAGGGTAGTGGATGATCGTCAATGCTTTCTTGTGCTCTTCAGTCTTTTTCACTAATAATAATAATAAAGCAACTGATGACTCTTCGCATCTTATTCATAAATCCATTTATCACCTTTATATAATCAACCGCTTTCTCTACTCCGTTGGCACCATAGTGATCTCTATACCAACTCTTGACTACCTCAATAATAATTGAATCGTGCTTAGGAAAACAATGATCAAATCTTGTATGAGTTCGTATTTTTTTTTCTAAATTGCGAGTTTGGTCACTCGAATTACTTAACTGGCGATTTCTCTCATTTTAACTGGTGATTTCTCTCATTTTAAGTCAGAATTTAAATTTTTTACATAGATAAATTAGATTAATTTTGTTCTTCAAAATGATAAATACTTTGATATATTATGAAACAAAAAAATTGATGCATTTTTTACCAGTCTACCATGGGGGGTATATTGATTGTATTAAATAAGAGCATACCATATGGTATGAAAGCGTACCATGGTGGTATGAACATACCAGACTGTAGGATGGTTGAATACATAATAATAAGAGTCTACAAATTGTCATTTACGACTTTCAACATTCTGTACCATAAGATACCACCCCCATACCAGGGTGGTATGGGGTGGTATTTTTTGATCTTGTATTTTTTTCAAAGATACAAGGAAAAAAATTAAGTCCATTTGCGATTCCCTCACTCGCTAACAACCAAACAAAATGGGATTCAATTCTTCGATTCCCTTCTCTTCCGGTTAGCAACTAACTGGCTCTCGTACTCGGTACTCTATTCCTCCCGTTGCCTAACCACCTTACCTATTCACCCATCATTTTAAAAAATGACTTAAAAACAAAGAAGATACAATATGGTATGGAGTTGGTAATGAGAGGTATGAAAAATAATTTCTCCAAAAATATTGAAAATTGATATAATTTTGTAGAGCACAACGAACTCATTCCATCTCTGGAAAAAAAACCCAAGTTAGAACGAAGAAGATAAGAGTTCATTAAGAAAAGTAGGGGAAATGAAATGTCTTTAGTTCTCGACCCTTAGATCTTGATTTTCTAGGCCCACTCAAAACTAATGGTCCATATTTAGTTACTCATGGGTGAATAACCAAGGGTTACTCACCTCATCTTGGACCTGTATGTCGGGCACTTGGCTCGTACTTAACAATAGGAAAGGAAGGGTTTGTTCATTGGTAAAATGAATTTGTGTTTATTTGCTAAGGTGGAAAACTGTTTTGGGAGGAAAGAAGGAAAGGTCTTGTAATTGAAAGAAGAACAGAAGAATTAATGGAAGAACTTCTTTTATTGGCTACTTCTTTCTTTTCTTGGCTATGCTTCCCAATCGTACAAAGAGAGGCCTATTTATAGGCTCCAACTTACAAAAGATTTACTCTCGTAGTTGAGAACCATCATAGGTTTGTGGTTTCTTATCTTTTTCAATTCTTTAGTCACTAATAAATTGCAACCAACGCCATTATTGCATTCTCTACAACCTTCCAATCCACACACGCTCCACATAGTTCTTTCTAGGCCTTTATGATTTTTATTTTTAATAATTAAACTTTAATATCATCACTCCTCCTTAAAGTTTTATTCTTCATAACTCCGAGTTGTGTCCACATCTAGACGAACACGTCTTACTTGAGCGGCTTAGTGAAGATATCAGCAGTCTGGTCTTCATTCTTTACATATTCCAGCATCACTTCTTTCTTCTCCACGCATTCTCTCAGAAAATGATATCTAATATCAATATTCTTATTGTGATCATGAACACTGGATTCTTTGCTAACGCCAAGGTAGATTTGTTATCCACAAATATCTCAGTAGACTCATCATGTTCCATGTTCAACTCCTTCAGCAACTTTCTGAGCCAAATCACATGACACGCACATGATGTTGCAGCAACATATTCAACTTTCCAAGTAGATAGTGTCACGATAGTTTGCTTCTTTGAACTCTATGTGAAAGCTATATCTCTCAAAAAGTATACGACATGTAGTGCTTTTGAGATCATCCATGTCTCCTTTCCAATCACTATCGCAGTATCCAACCAGTTTTGCATAAAACAACTCATGATCAATTGTACCTTTAATGTAGCACAAGATTCTCTTAGCAACATTCCAGTATGACATTGTCAGTGCCTCCATGTATCTGCTGACTAACCCAACTGCGTAGAGAATATTTGGTCTTGTACAAGTCAGATATCTCAGACTTTCCACAAGGGCTTCTAAACTCAGTCAAGTTAACCTTAACTCTTTTGTCATCTTTGAATAACTTTAGTCCACACTCAGCTGGGGTGCACTTCTCCATTTTAAACTTCTTCAGGACCTCCTAGGCAAAACCACTCAGTGAGATAAAAATTCCTTCCTCCTTTTGACTCACTTCAATGATAAGATAGTATGACATCATTCCAATTTCCGTCATCTCGAACTCACGAACCATTGTCTTCTTGAACTCTTCAAACATTTAAGGACCAATGACTATGAAGATGGTATCATCCACGTACAGACAAACTATTAATATTGCTCTCCATTGCACCTTGTAGTATAAGGTATGCTCATGTGGACATTTACTGAACCTGTTGTGCTAAAAATACTTGTCAATCTTGTCATTCCAAATTTTAAGTTCTTGTTTCAAACCATACAACGACTTTTTGAGCTTTAGCACCTTATCTTTTTGGCCTTCAACGATATATCCATAAGTTTGCTCAATATATAAATCTTACTCAAGATATCCATTCAGAAAATCTGACTTCACATCCATGTGATGTACTTTTCATCCATTTTGAGCAGCGAGAGATATCACCACTCGAATACTCTCAATTCTTGCCACGGGAGCAAATAGTCATTAGAGTCAATGTCTGGTCTTTGACCGTATCCTTTTGCGACTAGTCTTGCTTTATATTTGAAAATTTCTCCCTTTGCATTCTTTTTCGCCTTGAATATCCATTTCACACAAATCGGTTTCTGGTTCTCAGGAAGTGATACAAGCTCCCAAGTCTTGTTCTTCTCAAATGCTTGAATTTCTTCATCCATAGCCTTTCTCTGTTTTTCATCTTTCATGACTTTTTAAGCATCCACTGGTTCATTAGTAATGAAATGACAATATAGTGTCAATTCATCACCATCAATGCTTGTTGTAGCATCATAAAGATCTTAAAGACATCGATACTTCTGTGGCCTTTCTCTTGGACTTTCACTTGAACTTCCTATTGGGCTGGCATGCTCTCTATGACTGGATGGACTCGATAAAGTGTATCTGTATCTAGTACTTCATCACTTTCATCAAAAGTGAATGGATAAAAGGTATACTTCTTATGTGCTTCAGTAGTCAAGTCTCATGTTGCTTCTTTATTAATTACCACGTCTATGCTAATGATCACCTTCTCTTCCACAGGATCAAACGTCTTGTATCCCTTATAATGTTCAGAGTATCCAAGAAATAAGTACTCCTTGCTTTTATCATCCAACATTTTCCTTTCTTGATCCGATACGCGCACATATCTGACACTTACAAAGACTAGGAGATGAGAGACTGTGGGTTTCCTTCCTCTCCATGCTTCTTGGGGTGTTTGATTCCAAACACTCTTTGTTGGTGACCTATTCAACATGTAGAATGCACAGTTAACATCCTCAACTCATAGTTCCTTTGACAGATTCTTGCTTTTCAACATGCTTCTCACAATGTTGAGTACAGTTATGTTTTCCTCTCAACAACCGTATTCTCCTATGGGGATCTTGAGACTGTGAGAACTTGTGAATTCCTTGATATTCACAAAACCTTCTAAACTTCTTCAGTATAAATTCTCCCTCTATATCTGATCCCATAGCTTTGATGTAACAGTCACTTTTATTCTCCATCAACATCTTGAACTTCTTGAAAGCTTAAGATGTATCTAATTTATGCTTCATGAAGTAAACCCATGTTTTCCTACTGTAATCATCAATGAACACTAGGAAATATCTTCTCTTTCCAAACGATGTTGGGGTGATTGGTCCACATAGATATGCATAGATGAGCTCAAGTGGTGCTTTAGCTCTAATTAGAGACTCCTTTGGGAAACTTCACATGGACATGTAGTTTGACACAGATTCACCCTCCATTTTCATTGATTCAAAATCTCCCATGAGTGTCTGAAGTCGAACCTTCTTTACAGGTTCAACACCTTGCATTTCATTTTGCAAAATATCACATGCTTCCTTTGTAGTGCTAGCATATGCTACTTGGTCGAACATCGATTCATCAAAACATTGATGAATAAGAGTGAGTACTTTTTTTTATCACTCTTTCTATTTGTCTCACCTTCTTTTTGGTAGGACTTAATTGAGAATTGAATGGAAAATTTTGATTTTTGGGTCATAGTTCAATCATTATAACAACACCACGAGAAATTCTTTTATGATGTGGAAGTTCAGACTGCGCTGCAACCACAGAGCATTCTAAGAAATGACTTAGACTTTGTTTCCACTCTGTTAGAAATAAATGTTATTTCCTTTTATATGGTGGGCACTTGGCATGTATTTGGCAATAGGAAGTGAATAGTTTGTTTATTTGGGAAAATGAATTTCTGTTTATTTGCTATGGTTGGGAAAATGTTTTGGGAGGAAAGAATGAATGTCTTGTAATTGAAACTAGATTATGGCCCGGGCTCTTGGTCGGGAGTATTTGATTCTCATGTTGTCATGTATAAGTGTAGGTATATATTTTTATTATAGTTCATATTGTTGGGGTTTGAAGTAACTATTTAGTTTGGTAAGTTCTCCATTAATAATATAGGAAAGTATTTAATGTATTTGACTAACGAAGTTTTAAAAATGACGAACAATGTCCAACTACACTAACATAATTACATATTTTCAAACGAAATCGTATTGATATAAAAACGTCTAAGAAGAACAATGGTAAGAGTTGTTTTACATCATACATGCATAATCAATCTTCAGTATACGATAAAATGTTTCGACTTTTCCATTGACTTTAGAGTATTCAATGATATAGTTGAACAAAGTATATGTTTAGAGTGTCCTTAATAAGAAACAAACTAAATCACACACTCATGTTTTGAGTGACATTTCATATAGAAGTCACTGACTCTTTTTTTTTTTTTTTGAAAGTTTCATTTAGATTGCAAATGGGACAAGCCCAATGGAAAAAGTACACATTATACAAACATTAGACGCCCAAACCCCAATGATCAAGACCCAAACCCAAAGACCCAACAACAGATTGGAGACCCAATAGGGCCCAATCAAAGCCCAAACCTAGTCCTGAAAACAAACCCTAGCTGCCTAATGTTTGCCCATGGAACCATCACCGCCGTTGGCAGCCCCTAGCAAACCCTCCTCCCACCACCCGACATCATGGAATGACGGCCAAGCACGAAGAAAGGAAAGCTGGAGCCAACCACCCCCAACTGAGGACAACGAGAACAGCATGCAAAGTTCCAACCAACTCCTCGTCGGACCAAACTCCAGCAGCTCCACACCGACAAATCAAAGCGAGCAACTTCTGGTCGAAAGGGCGGCCGGTGACAGACCATGGTGGTGACCTTCTGTCTTCAAAAACTTCACTCCGAGTCCAAAGCTGAGAGCCACATCTCCGGACCACCAAGATCTGCAAGGTGAAACAAGGAGGTAGACAAAAAGAGAGAGGAGGAGAAGACAAGCCAAAATCAAAGAGATCCGGCCTCCTTTGCATCTAAGATCAGCAACATCTCCAGATCTGATATATCAGATCAGAGGACAAAATCTCAATCCAATTAAGGAGCAGAAGGAGACCCATAAAGGGGAAAAACAGAGCCAATCGATGTCTGGAAATACAACAACAAAGAGATGAAAAAACAAAACATGAAACTGGAAAATGGAAGAAAGAAACGGGAAAAAACATGAAAGAAGGATGGGCTGCCGCCGGTCACCAACAGGTGCCGGCGGCGCCCTTAGAAATCTCAAGGGTTAAAGGCTTAAAGCAAGAGAGAAGGGTGCTGACTCACTGTGACATTAATGTAGTCGAAGCATGCAGATCTCCAACTGTCAAGTTCAACTAATAGAGCAACACATAAAAAGCTAAATCAAACTGAAAAGAATGCGAAACCTAAAAGCAACATTTGTCACGCCGGCCGGCGTGCCACCGATTGAACCTGGTTCAACCAGTACCAGTCATAAAACCGGCGTGACACTACCGGTATGACCGGCATGATCGATATATAAATCTCTAAGTAAAATGACCTTATTTTAGTGAATTTAATTGATAAAAATTATTTTATTATTTATTTTATGAGTATAAAAGTTAAATATTGATGTTATTTATTAGATTCAAGTATAAATGTTTAAGTATTGACGTTAAATGTCATGTTTAAATATGAGTATTTATAGTTTTATTTCTAATATTGACCGGCAAGAACCGGCACAAACCGGTATGTGCCACCAGTCGAACCATTCCACTTGCTAAACCGGCACACTGGCATAAACTGGTTTGACAACCTTGAACATACCTAATATTTTGGAGAAAATCGACAACAATTAAAGTCATTGTAGCTCGTACTCAAGTTAGAAATACTATGATATGACAGTAGGTATACAATGATATGTAGTGCTTAAGCCTTAAGAGGGAAGATAACACCTTACATTCTTTATCAATATGCATCTTAGTTTCATAAACTTCAGAACAAAAAAGTTGTAATTCAATAATCAATATAAGCATCAATATGGACACAATATCTAATAAAGAGAAGAGGAAGCGAAAAAACACAAATTGTTGTCTATAGATTGTGCTCACGATATTTCATAGTGAAAAATATCATAAAAATTATTAACTGATAAAAGGGAACGATAAAGGGGAAAATGCATCAATTTGAACCTAAAATGAGAGGAACTAATATCCTACACCATCATACAATAATGATATATTATATCCCAAAAAATCATTAAAAAAATCTACCTAAATGAAAAAGTATACTAAATTGAATCCAATGTAAAAGTAACGATGAAGATATATATTATATCTACCTAAGGAATAATAAAGTAAGCCATGTTTCTTAGAGACCTCTCTCGATAGAACCACTCTATGATAAAAAAAACCATTTCGTCAAACAATTGTATCATATGAGTTTTAACTTTAAAATTTAAGTGCTTATAATTATCTATTTCAGCTCATAAATGAATTAATTATACCATTTGGTATAAAAAAATTATAAACTTGAGAGTTATTTTGCTTGTTGTTAAATCATTTGAACTGAAGTATGAAAGTGCTTCAGAACTGTTACTTCATTCATCATTATTAAAAATTACTATTTTAATTGCAACGTCTAAGCGTGTCTAGGCGAGCTAGGAGATAGACAAATGCCCAATGTCCACCTTACGATTAACGTGTTGTTGAACCTCAATAATTATAGCAAACTTTGAGAGCATCTTATAAATTTGATCATTTCTATTTGGTATAATTGATTACATCCTGAAACTTATCAATCAAGAATTCTTTCGATACGATTTTGATAAGATGTCCCCTACTGCATAATTAGTATGACTAAATTGTAATAAGATAATCATGTATTGAATTTTAATTGATAGCGCAAAAGATCGTACTAACTCAAGTAGAGTTTTAGCTACTTAATACTTCATATTCACATGTAGATAGCTACTTCAAAGAGTTCGAATATTGGTTGAGTTTGTTGAACTTTACCTAACAAAACTATGATATCAATCGCAAGATATGATGCTTTTTCGAGAAATTGTGAGAATATGTTGGAGACATTAAACCTGACATGGAAACCGTTGAATTTAAGTAATAAGCAATATTCATAGTCAATAGATTACACATGAAAAAATATTCATCATTCTCATAAGTTGGTAGGAAGCAGTGAATAATTAGGGATGGAAAGCTAGAAACATAGTTGATTTAACAAATAACTGCAAAAAATATTGGAAAAAAGAAAAAAAAATGCTTAGAGTATAGGCATGAGAGTGTTACATTAATAGTTAGCTGTGGATATTGAAATAGTTTACTAAGCTGAATACTATATACTGGTGATTAATAATTGGACCTTAGCTTGAACATTGCATCATGTTGATAAAAATTGTCTCATTAATTACAATGCTGAAATAAGGGGTTATATATGGAAATCTTGATGGGGTTTTTTAGATTGTTAAAATAAGTACATTTTTCATAATACAATGCATATGTTTTTATTTTTGTTCATAACACAATTGTAAATTATATGCTTGCTTTGACTAAACTATCACTCAAATCGAATGATTAAACAAATTCGAATTTTAGCATAGACTGTCGAGATAATTGGTATCGGAGTTTGTCATGTTTATTTTTCTTGAAATGTATGGTACCAATGCTCTTATGTCTTCATTGAACACTTCATTCAACACTTCAATTATATTCAATGCACAATATTCCAACCAATGATATTTGTGTTGAGATTTTAAGATTATCCTTCATTTATAAGTTAGAAAAAATTATAAATTAATTATTAAAATATGAAAATAGAATTAATAAACACCAAAAAATACTTACAGGAGACTTAGCGGGCTAACTAACCGTGATAGAAAAGTACTCTGTTTTTCATAATATTAACTTCCTCTATGTTTTGTATTAATGAAGTATAGCAAATGTGTCTAGTCTAATTGGTTACAATTCTTGTCTTTTGTGGAAGAAACCATGGTTCAAATCCTAGCATTGATATATTTTTATATGAAATAAAAAATTGATTGTGTAGACAAAAATACCCTTCCTACTTTCACTTTCGTTGCAGGAAATTTGAAATGGAGCAAATCAAACTCTTTAAAATGTATTATAAGTAATGTAGATGTAGACAAGATCAGAGGAATTGATGAAAGAACTTCTTTTCTTGGCTACTTCTTGCTTTTCTTGGCTTGGGTTCCCAATCGTGCCTATTTATAGGTTTGTGGTTTCTAATTTTTTCAATTCTTTAATTACTAATAATTGCAGCCAACCCCATTAATGATTTCTCTACAACCTTCTACTCCACACACAGTCCATAAATGGTGAATCAAAAATAATAAATTCAACGAGTTTGGAATAAATGGTGAATCTAAATCAAAGGCACAAATTTAATCTGAATCGCTAAATGTCGCCTTTAAAATGGCTAACGATCGCCCTAACTCTAATGATAAATTACTTATATACCCCAATAAAATTTTAAAATTTAAACAAACCAAACAATCCCTAGCTCCTCAAATTGAACCCCTCATCTGCCTTCTTCGTGAATCCCTCTTGACGCACCAGTCCGCCGGCGCTTTCCTGCCGTCGTCGTCGCTCGTTCTCTATCGAAATTTCCAAAAAAATGATCAAGGCAAGTTACGGTTGGCCCATGGTGCAATCGCAACTCACTTGCAGTTGGCCCATGGTGGAACCGCAAGTGAGCTGCGGTTGGCCCATGGTACAACCACAAATGAGCTACGGTTCCCTTTTTTTGTTTTTTTTTTTTCAATTTTTGGAATGAACTTTACCGATTCATAGTCGCTAGTCATGATCCAGACGTCCTATCAACGATTCCAACTCCAGAATGACGATGATGGATTCTCTCTTTTGAATAATGTTTTATTTTCTTTACTAAGTGGTGTTTGTTTGCTAAAGGGAGAGTAAAGAAGCTAAAAAGTTAAATTTGTAACTTTGATGTTTTTTACGGCGACATTTAACAATTTTAAGGGCCACCTTTAACAACTCCCAATTTAATGTACAATATGTAACTGCTAATAAAATGACAACATAAGTGTAGTATCGACACCATACTTGTTGCAGTTTTATGATATATATATATAAAAAAACAAGGAGAAGAAAAAGTTCAAGCAAGAATATCTTCTAAAGGCGTGGCTTCCCCTTTAACCTTGCCATCAGCATCAGTTGTTTGATCTTTGGCCAACTTCTTTAACCTAGCCAGCTCAAGGTCCCGCATCATCTTCCTCCTGTACATCTCCGCAAATGTGATCGCTTCCTCCATCACAACTTTCTCACCATCTCTCATCTTCAGTGGATAAACCTTTGCCTCAGGAGCTGGATTCTGAAATGTGGCTATTGAGAGCCGGCTACAGTTTGAGTTAACCACTGCTCGATGGTCCGCGCTCTTGAACCTCCCGTTGCTAAGCAACTGCTCATGCATCCACACAGGGGAAAAAATATATTTGATTCCACGTGAAATAATCAAGGTTCAGGAAGACGCTAGGCGTAAGACGAGCACGGGAGTTGAGAAGATTCTTACGTGGGTATGATCACCGAGGTTGACCACGAAGGCTCCTTGAATGGGTTTAACGGTGATCCAGGTTTGACCTCCATCCCTGGTGGCTTGGAGGCCTCCGACCTGGTCCTGGTGCAATACCGTGATGGTCCCCGGATCAGTGTGCCGCTTAAGGCCGAGGGTCAGGTCAGGCTGAGGGCATTTCGGGTAGTAATTCACCACCACTTTTTGGTCCATATCTATGCAGGCTTCGGTCAGCGCTTCCTTCTCCAACCCCAGGGCTTCTGACAGATGCTCCAGCAGTTTGCATGCCAATCCCATTACCTTCTCGCTGTACTCTTCCGTCACCGCCCTCCACGCCGGCGGCTTGTCCGGCCACCGCGAATAGTCCCGGTTCCGGATCGGGTACGAAAAGTACGTTACTATCTCGCGCCAATCCTGCACCGCTTCTCCCTGCATATGCATCCGGTACACAAGATTATTAGTGCTACTCCCTAACATTGGGGGTCGTGGAGATTCGAACACACACGACCACTTGACCAAATCAGACTCTGATACCATGTCATAAATCAGTTGGTTCCAATAACTCAAGTTGTTGGAAGAAGATTATACTAAATCTTATACCACTCTCTAACAAAGCGAAAATACATGAGTTTCGTTACAGGCAGTCGAAAGATAACATACCCAAGCATATCCCCACACATGACAAATAATTAAACGGAAAGGCGATCACCTGTAAATGGCTGGAAACAATGAAGCCACCTTTCTTCCCACCGGACATGTCGAATCGGAGCTTCTCATCGGGCGGCAAAGCGAAAAATTCGAGAGCGAGACGGGTCATATTAGATATAAGGTCCGGGTCGATTCCATGATCCACGACCTGAAAAATCCCCCATTCCTCGCAGGCTTTGACGATCTGCTTGCTAACTTCTTCCCTTCTTTTTGCCTCCTCGTTGGTCCCGCCGGCAAGGGAGATCACCGGGATTTCGTTGCTGAATTGATTGTAAGCTACTCTGGGGCGTTCATCCTCGTCGCGAATGAAGTTTGCATGCAACGTCTTCTCTTCAGCCAGGGCCGTCAACGTCTTCGGGGCCGCCATACGCGAATTGGCTAGCTGTTTTTTTTCTTCAATTTTTCCTCTTCTTTCTCCCTTTGATTTTGATTCCCTAGAGCCCTAGTAAATTACTTGTTTCTTTTTTGTTCTTCTCTTTTTTTTTTTTTGGTCATCTATTATAATTTCCCTGCATAATTTGCGGTTTACCAATGAAACAGAAACAGAAACGTATAGAAAGGACAAAGTATATTTAATTTGAATTGAATACATTTATAATTTTGGTTGACTTTCCAATACCAAAACGGTTGTATAGAACTAGACAATCAAATCCTAACCATTGATTTTGAAAGAAAAAAAACTAAATTTAATGGTAAATATTTATAAAGAGTAAAGAGGGAAGTTAAATTTTTTTTTTTTTTGTGAATGGGGAGCATGGTTTTTGGGCCTAGAAGTTAGGTAATCCAACATGTCAAAAATAGTATTCAACATCTCATAAGGAAATAATTCTATTGACTGTCATAGGTGTTAGCAGCATAGCATAGCATGCTAACAACAACCCAAAAAAAAAAAAAAGTGTTAGCATACTAGCCAATTTGACGCGGATCCACACCTGCGCTACGCGCATTCTAAAACTACATCACCAAATAATTGTCTGGTAGAAGAGCACTTCTACTATGCTATAAGACATTGGTGCTTTAATTTACAATTTGAAGTTGTACTATAACGTTAAATGTACAAGTTCAGGTTGTACCATAAATGAATCTGTACACTTATTTTATGGTACAATTTTACAACTTAAAATTGTACCATAAAAGAATTTGTACAAAAGAATCTAGATAGAATCTGAAGTTGCACTATAAAAACAAAAACTTATCGCACGAATGCTATATAGCATTGTAAAATTCATCTCGATAAAAAAGTAAGACAGAATACCAATGACGCCGTCGTTTTGATGGAGAGTGAGGGGAACGATAAGACAACAGTCATATTTATTCTTTTACTCTTTGCGTAGACTTATCCTCACATCACAAGAGCCACTGCATTGCCAACCAGAATCTGGTCCACGCAATCGCGTAATCTCCTCAAACTAGAACCAACAAAATGCAAACACTAGTGTCTAGTGATCCCTTTTTTACACTTCCCTTCTCTTCCACATCTCTTCTCTGCATTCTTCCCTCACATTTTCCCACATCCCAACCATTACTATGGCAGCAGCTGCAGTGACTTCCGCTGCAGTATCTTTTCCTTCTACCAAGTCCTCCTCCCCACTCTCTTCCAGAACCTCCATCGTCTTCACCCACGAAAGAATCACCTTCAAGAAGGTTACAATTTTGTTTCTGGGTTCCCCTCGCTCATCTCTCTAATCTGCTTCCACTTTTACTCCAACTAGTTTCCTGACAAGGGGCTTTTTTCCATCGTCTTTTCTTGTTTGCATTTCGTCAGTCATCTCATGTGCATACTGGAAGCAGGGGACTGGTTTCAGTGAGAAGCCAGGTCACAACCGAAGCTCCTGCTAAGGTCAAGAAGGAGTCCAAGAAACAGGAGGAAGGTGTGGTTGTGAACAAGTTCAAACCCAAGGAGCCTTACACTGGGAGATGCCTTCTCAACACCAAGATCACTGGCGATGACGCCCCTGGAGAGACCTGGCACATGGTTTTCAGCACTGAAGGTGTGTCATATATCTGTTTTAATTGGGCTCATGTATAATTCCTTTTGGGATGTATGTGGCTGATGTTTTCCTTCCACTGAATGAACTGGGTACTTCTCGTTTTCTTTGGCCGAATCAGGGGAGGTGCCTTACAGAGAAGGGCAGTCAATTGGAGTTATTCCAGAGGGCATTGACAAGAATGGGAAGCCTCACAAGCTTAGATTATATTCAATTGCCAGCAGTGCTCTCGGTGATTTTGGTGACTCTAAAACTGTAGGGCTATTTCTAACTCTTCTCCTTCAAATTTAAGTTAACGTAATGAATGTTCTTTTCTCTACAATCAAAGAATTTTACCCATCTTTCTTTTACTTGCCACTGGACTGCATGTTCATTTGAAATTTGGAATCCTTGTCATTGCAATCGCCATTTTCAGGTCTCCCTTTGTGTGAAGAGGCTTGTCTACGTCAATGACCAAGGAGAGACTGTTAAGGGAGTCTGCTCAAATTTCTTGTGTAAGTTCATGAGACTAGAACAAAATTTGCTGTCAACAATTAAGAAAATGGGTCACTTTGGTTAGAGCTTAATGCTTGTGAGTAATTGCGGTCTGTGTTTGTGCTCGACTCCAGGTGATTTGAAGCCCGGCTCAGAAGTTTCAATCACAGGACCAGTTGGGAAAGAAATGCTTATGCCAAAAGACCCTAATGCCACAATTGTCATGGTAAACTGCTCTTATGCATTCTCTAGTGTAATACAAATTTAAGGCGCCCATATGGGTTCCAGTAGATTCTTATGCTATCTGCGTTGAACTCCTCTTCTTTGCAGCTTGCGACTGGGACTGGCATTGCACCCTTCAGATCGTTCTTGTGGAAAATGTTCTTTGAGAAGCATGAGGACTACAAGGTACAAACTGAATATCATTTGTTTTCTTTTCTTTGCAAGCCACTCTGTTAATGTGTCAGCTAAGATGATGTCACGAGGAATGCAAGACAATACTGTCAAACACTCATATAGATAGACATTACTGAATTCCCTGCCAACAATTTTTCTAGTTCAATGGGCTCGCATGGCTCTTCCTGGGAGTTCCCACTAGCAGCTCATTGCTGTACAAGGAGGTATATATATTCAACCAAAAACCCGTTTTTTCAACTATGATTAAGTTGTACACTTTGTCAAATCTTCATTCGACATTTGCACGGGCAGGAATTTGAGAAGATGAAGGAGAAGGCACCTGAAAACTTCAGGCTAGACTTTGCAGTGAGCAGAGAGCAAACTAACGAGAAAGGCGAAAAGATGTACATCCAAACGCGCATGGCTCAATATGCGGAAGAGCTGTGGGAGCTACTGAAGAAAGATAACACATTCGTGTACATGTGTGGATTGAAGGGAATGGAGAAAGGCATTGATGACATTATGGTCGGTTTGGCTGCTAAGGATGGTAAAGCTTCCGAAACATCTTGGAAGGAATTTTGGCAAAAAAACGTTCCATGTTGTGAATAAGCTTTGCTTGTTGGTGGGTATGCTTTAATCTTTAAATCTGTTGTTTCCCTGTTGTTGGCAGGAATTGATTGGTTTGATTACAAGAAGCAGCTGAAGAAGGCTGAGCAGTGGAATGTGGAAGTGTACTAGTACTGTTACTTTCTTTTCGGTGAGATGTATATTTGGAAGCCAAAAGAATGTGTCCTCCTGCAATAAACTGTATTCGCTGCATTGTGTAGATAGGATGTAATCGACCTCATATATCGACTGTTAATTCTTCAAATACTGCTTTTGTGTCTGCCCCAAGCCTCCCTTGTTCATTATGTATTAGTGACTCGTAGCAATCCTCACGGAATAACCAGAGATCGAATCGGTTGCTAAAGTCTAGGCAGTAAATATCAAATGGGAAATTAACGTCTTCTGCAAATTCAATTTTCTATCTCAATTTTTTCAATAATTCATGAAGTCTATGAGTCATTGAGTTATGACTCTATGAACTTGTGAGCTATGAACTTGTGAGCTATTTTATTGTTTTTAAGTATTAAATAAGTTATTAATTATTTGAGTTGATTTTTATTGTTTTTAAGTATTAAATAAGTTATTAATTATTTGAGTTGAAGTGTGAAAATGTTGTAAATTGTGATTTCATTTAACATGAAGTAAAAATTGCTATTTTTCTTTCAGCATCTAGACACACTTAGACGATGCTTAAAAGAAGGGGTAAATAAAACAACCCTCAACCCGACCCACCTGTATTTATCGTCAAAATTAAAGTTTAATGTTAGGTGAGGGTTTTCTTTTGTACAACTGCCTCTATTGGGTTGGGTACGGATTTTGGGTAACGCAACCCGTATAACTAGACCCAATCTGTGTTGAACTATTGTCACAAGTGTTCGTATCGAAAACATATTTGTGTCATCAATAAACATATTTATGAGAAAATTAAGCTTATATTATCATATTTTTCTCTTGTGGTTTCCCTAGTTGAATACATTCTTCAACTGAATATTTAGATGTAGATTTAATATAAGCTATAATTCACGTGATCTTTTTTCTTGTATATAATTTTAGAAGAACGATATATAATGAATGTGTTAGCTTATAACCACTTTAGCTTATTTAAAAAAAAATAACGAAAAAGACTAGACATATGTTGAAGTAAATTGCATTTCATTCAAATCCAAACAACATTTATGATATCGATACTTTTTTGCCTCCATTTAATTCTTTAAAATTTTAATTAGTTATATAATATTTTTGTAATGTATAATAGTTTTCTTTTTTGTGTTGAGTTGGGTTTTTAATTAAAAGTATCTCCAACCCGACTCAACCCAATTATAAACAAACTGTAGGGTTCTAATTTTTTTAGTGGGGTTTGATTTCATATTTTCAAAATCGTAATATATGAGTTGGGTGATTAAAATGACCAAACTCAAACCACCCAAGCCTTGTACACCCCTACTTAAAAGTGTTAAAAGTGTTAGGAGGTAGGCAAAGCTCCAATGCATGCCTGCGCCTTCTTGAAACTAGATTATAATAGGAAGAAAAAAATATAAGTACTAATTTTTTTGGGTGCGCCTATGGTGACTTGCACTTTTCGGTCGACCTCAGTTAGGATTAGGTCGACCTCATATAGGATTATGTCGACCTAATTGGTTGTTTCAGTGTAAAAACAGTTTCATGGTGCCTACTTTGGAGATTCATATCTTACAATTGGCTCGATGGAAATTGGAGATTAAGGACTTGTTTTGAAGCTGGGTGTCCCTCTACACATTGAAGTGCTTGGGAGCTCGATAGGAAGTCCAGAAGACCATTTGTGAACTTGATCAAAAGGTTATGCCAAAACTGGGAAACTGGCTGAAAATGGCCAAGTCTGGGAACGTGTTTGTGAAGCCTACTTTGGAGCTTAATTCGGGAAGTATGGATGCAAGTCGAGTCCAGGGGCCTCTACCACGTTAAATTAGGTATGTTTTTATACAAAGTCAAGTCATTGGATCAAAGATTGGATATCTGTAAGGCTTCAAACAAAAGGGCCGAAGTGGCTACGAAGACTGTTTTTCTGTCAGACTTCGAGCACAAGCAAGTTGTATGAAAAAATTTAAATTTTAGGTAATGAAGTTGAAGGAACAATAAATTAGGTCTAAAATATAATTTTTAAATTTTTTAATACTTGGCAAGATGACTCCAAATTCAAAAAATAGAAATAATAAAATCTAAAATACCAAAAAGTAGCAAATGAATAACCACACAATGTATTTGGATTACTTAAATTTCAAATACAAGCATTAGAAATACACATTTCCTAACACACCCTTACTAATATGAAATTTCACAATTGGGTGCGTGTAGTGGAGACCAATGTTCTATCGGTCTAGTGAGTGATTCACATTTTACTGGTTAACCGATATCAAACCGTTAATAAACTGGTACCTTATAACAAGAGAAATATAAGTAGCACATACAAGAATAACATATTTATTATAATAATTCAATCCATTAGACTACTTAGAGATGTGATAAGAAGCCTCGTCCCTCTAGGGATGATAATTGAGCCCGTACTCAGGGTAAACAATCAAACCCAATCAAAGTAGGTAAAACCTAGTTTTGATGAATTTTTGGTCTGGTGAGAGTTTTACCCACTTTTGAAATTAGTGGGTTGGGTTGGGTGTGGGTGCTCATCTAGTTGTCGAGACAGACTGAAAAACTCGTTATATGTTTGTTGCGCCATTTTCACGACCACGGATATGAAATTTATTTTAATTCAATAGTCCAATATTGGACTCTAAATACGTAATACAATAAATACTTGACTAATTGAATCCTATATTAAATATGCAATAAGCCGAACAATAAAACAACCAACTCTTAATTTATCAATTTCGGTAGTACTAGTTTAGGGTATTGGGTGCGAATACACTTTCTCACACGTAACCATACCCTCAATCTAAAATCCTTATAATTCGCAGACTAGGTCCCTGTTTGGACCTTAAGGTCGAGAGTGGTACAACTAGAGTCGAATGCTCTATTAGTAAGATCAATGGTGACTAAGACCACGATGCGGTCGGCCCCGATTCCGAGGGACGGTTGCGACACTTATTAATGATAACTATCTCATTGTCTTTTGTAGTATTTCATATTTTCGACGACTTGATGACTTGTCAATAATAGTATCTTTTCTGACAACGTATTACCGACGACATAGTAATTGCGTCAACAATGTTAATTTTTTTTACAATTTTTTTCACCGTCAATAATTACGATTTGTTTCGGGGGGGGGGGGGGGGGGGGGGAATGAATTTTCATCAGTAATATTGAGTATTACCGACCCAAAAAAATATAGGTGTCGAAAATAATGATGGTTTGGAATTGCATCATAAATGGACATAACTAATGAAAAATATTACAATTACTGACGAGATTTTTATGTGGTCACCAAAAAGGTGGATATAACTGACGACATAGCTTTTTGGTCAGAAAAATGTCTTTTTCCGACGAAAATTTACTACTGTAAGAAAGTTATCGTCAGAACTGTATGTCTTTTTGTAGTGTACTAATTACATAAAATTGAAAACAATTCTTCCTAGAGTCCTCCTTTAGTTGCCTACTCTCTAGTTGGTTGCTCTTCAACTGGTTGCTCCATCAGTCCTTCTCTACGACTAGGTGAGTGGATTGGGGTCAAGTCTACGCCGTTACTAAAAGTCTACGAGCATTTGAGGGGTTTTCCTTAAGGTTCTCCTTAAAAACAGTGGAAGTTGTTATCACAACCAATCTTAAACCCTCAAAATGTTGGAGTTGTTGTTACTCGCCACCCTAAAAAACTTAAACCTTTGACCGAATCAGGGATCCCCTCACTAACTAGTCAGCCACTTAAATCATACGTATGAGGGTCGATTTAGGCCTATCCTTTCCTTATCCTTTTATGCGAGTATTATTGATTCATCCTCATACACCTGAAGAGCATATCATGCTCTTCCTTTAACTTTCACATCTTTATGGGAGTCTTATTGATTCATCCCAGAAGCCTTAAGAGCATATCGTGCTCTTCCTTTAAACTTTCACTAGGGTGGGAGATTGGCGTTAGTGACCTAACTCTTGACATTTTTACCTTAAATCCTATAGTAGTAAAATACTACTAATAGAAGACATAAACATAACAGCTTCAAGTAAATATTGAAAGCTCTAGCAATTGTCTCGGATAATAACTAAAATAAAGAGCAGGCATCCTCAAACACATACATAAACTCAAGTACTGGCATTACATTATACATAAAAGCACATGATAAAAAACTCATCATACGTAGAATTTACCCCCTTTTACCACGCACCTTACATTCAAACTGATTGACTTGAATTATCCCCCAAGTTAGTAGATCCGATGCTTCAGCTTGTCATAAACCAACTGTTCCCATTAACTCGAGTTGTTGGGAGAAGATTATGCTGGATCTTATACCACTCTCTAACACGTGCCCCCAAACAAAAGCCAACCCATGGGCTTGAAGTTTGCACAGGTGATCACCATACCTTGTGCTTTAATCAACTGTTAATATTGGAAGTCGTGGAGATTCAAACACACTGTCACTTGGTCAAACCAACTCTAATACCATGTCATAAACCAAATTCTCTCTAACACAACTCCTTGCTTGAAGTGCAACAAAGCTATCCATAGTACCATGCCACCATGTCAATTTAAACTTAATTAGTTTCTGCAAATTTACTTACATCCCTTCTCGTTTGTAATTACCATTATTGTTCATCCACCCATGCATTTACATGAGCCTTCACCTGTTGTGGTTACTTTTGTTACTTGGTCAATAAGTAACATAGTCTTTGGCCTACTTGTCTTTGGCCTTTTGTTTCTTGTCCCAGAAGGAGAAGGACACTCGATCGTCCTTAGGTTTTAACCTAAGTTTTTTTCTCTATACATAGCTTAGTTGCGGAGATTGTCGTAAGCAAGCCGTCACAATGTAGTCCTCTAATAAAACGTCAGTCATGAGCTCTTTCGAACTCGCCATGGATTAGTCTCGATCAATCAATCGATCAAGGATACCACGTAAAATCTCGTGTCTCTTGTGTTCTTTCTTTACCGCGTTATCAAATTCTTCATTGTATCAGAGTGAAACTCGATCCCTTGTCTAGCATTTTGAGCTTTCGCACGTCTTCCTCTTCGTGGCAGCTTACTAAGTCTCACCAGCGTGGTTCTCAATTTTTGCCGCATAAAGTCCTATTCACATCAGCCATATGGTTATGCTATTATGGTCGTCCGAGTCATCTTCTCTATTTCAAAGGTGACTACTTCAACAACACGTCAAGCTTTGAAGAATACGTTGCCAGAAAGGGGAGCGGTCCATGACCATGATAGAAACATACGGTTTCTATTTTTACTACTATTATTATTAGGTTTATTATTATTAAGATTAGTAGTCTTTGAGTCATAATATGATAGTCTATATAGGTTTTTCTAGTCTTTTGTTATAAATATGTACTTTGGGTTTACGTCATGGTCAGTCAAGAAGAATATTAATAAAACTCTCCTAAACCCTAATCTCTTCCTATCCTCCCAATTCTCGATCTCAATCCTTTAAAGGCTTCAGCCGATTCTCTATCTTTCTCTTCTCAAATCCCTAATTCTGTTCTGAATTGCTAATTCCCAATCTCACGACCATACCCGATAGAACCCTAATATAAGGTTTTATCATTTGGTATCATAGCCAACATGAGCTCATCGAGGCTCTCTGATCTGGAGTGGACTTGTGTGAAATATCAGCTCGACACGATCCTCGCCGAGCAAGACCAGGAGGCACTCGAACATGCGACACGGCGACGAGCCGTCGCGACACCGAGCACTAATCATGTGGAGGTTCCGGCGACGGCGATGAAGAAGATGATGGTGGACGGAGGAACGAGAAAGACGCTAGCAGCGGCTTCTGGGACGAGGGAGTCGAGACCTGAGCTGAGAATGGATGAAGCACCGGAGTTGCAGCTCTTCGCTTCAACGTGCGATCGACTAGAAGCCCTCATACAACAAGCGCGTGATCGCCAAACTCAAGAGGAACGAAGGTGGAAGGAGAATATGGAGGAGTTCATGCGACCCCTAGATTCGTCGCGGCGAACCAAGTCACCCACCACCATCGTGGTGACTTCACCACCACCATCACGGACGGAGGAGATTGCGGAGGCCGACGGAGAAGCGTTGGTGGAGAGCAACGGGGTCGAGGGCGCTGCTGATCTGATGCAGTCACAAGTGCAGGAAAAGTAGGAGACGGAAAATAAGGTGACGATAGAGGCGTTGCCGAAGAAGGAAACCGCGCCAGAGATGGTGAAGACGACCGGTGTGATGGGTTCTAGCGAGCGATTGAAGAGGACCCCAACAAAGGCTTTCGTGGTGGCGACGAAGGCCAAAATGGTAGATGGAACTCCCTGCTAGGGGAGGAGTAGTTCACCGCCAAGGGATAGATCGCCGGGGAAGAAGGTGAAGATGGGCATCGCGTCTTCGAGATTAGGGGTGGGCATGCAGTTCTGTAAACCCGAACCGAACTGACCCGAACCTGAATTCAACCAAACCGAAACCGAACTATTGTCATTCAGTTCGGAATTCGGACATGAATAATGGGTATTTCGGAACCCAGGGTTGTCATCACCGAACCCGAATTCCGAAATCTGAACCGAAAAACCGAAAAGCCTAGTCGGCCAGTCCCCACCCCAGCCCAATCTCTCATAGGCCACACACTAACACACCACCACTCTGCCCAACCCAATCTCTCACAGCCCTAGCCCTAAGCCCACTCACACATAACAAATATACAACCTCCACAGCAGCCATCCCTCATCGTCACCCACTCACCCTCCTCGCCGACCAATCTCCCCTCTCTCAGTTCTCTTCTCCTCAACTAGTGCCTGCCACTTAAACCAAGAAAATCAAACATAAAAACCCACATGCATTAGTCAAGATGAAGAGAATGTTGATTGGGGAGGTGCAAGGATCTTCGTCGCCGCCGCCGCGTTGTTCACTTCGTCAATCGCCATCATCGTTGGCGCTGCCGCCGTCTTGTTATCTCGGTCAATAGTCGTTGCCGCCGAGTTCGGGTCTCGGGGTCGGAGGGGAGACGAGAGTGAAATTGAGTGAAGGATAGATCTGGCAGATAGAGGAGAGACGAGAGAGAGATTGATTGAGGGAAGGATAGATCTTAGGGAGATAGAGGAGAGAGGAGAGAGAGATTGATTGAGGAACATATTCGATAGATGAGAGATGAGGGAGAGGGGAAGGATTAATTTGGGGCTGATTTTTAGTGGGGAATGGAAATAAAGTGTGTTGGTTTTATATTTTCGGGTTTGGGCCTTGAAATCGGACCAACCGAGATATAATTCGGTTCGGGCGAACCGAACCGAATTATATTTCGGTTGAAAATCGGTTCGCTGCATGGACTAATTCGGGGAGTCGGTATGCTTAATTTCGGTTCGATTAATACCAAACCGACTGATTGCCCACCCCTATTCGAGATCACCTTCTGGTCACCTGGGGAATCGCTCGCCGCTGGGGAACAAAGTGCCAAGGAGGAGACTGGAATCGAGCTCGGCGCCAGAGGAGAAGAGGAAGAAGTTGCCGCCAGTAGAGCAAAGGAAGGGAGGTTGTGGCGTTTTTCTCTCCAATAGCTCGACAGTTGTAGCGTCAATCAACGCAGAGGCGATGGGGAAGACGAGAGTCGCCGGATTGGGGCAGCTGTGTACCGATCAGGCGATTGGCTCGCCGGGGGAGGACTAGGTAGAGGAGCTGCCGACGGGGGATATGCAGGTCGGAGGTATCTTTTCCTTTGCAAGCCCTAGGCAGCCTGGGCTAATCTGCTTTGTTCAACATCAGCAGAGGCCGAGTGGGTCCATGGGCTCAGATATTTGGACTACATGCCCTATTGAGCCAAGAGAGGCAGGGTGGTTTGTGGAGGGCAGGACGAAACTGATATGTTTCGTTGGGCTTGACCAGGATCTGTTGAGCTGGCTGCAGTATGAGAGGGAGAAAGGTGATCTAAGGTCGGGCTTTGGTCCATTCTTAGGAATGAAGTGGGCCTGTGAAGGGCTATCATGCTATGCAACAGGGGAGAATGGAAAGGAGGTAGTGGGCTTCACTACTGGTCTTGGGTCTCAGTCTGAGGTAGGAATGAGGATGAAGGGAGGTATGATGGTTCAATTGCATCAGGTGGGCTTAGAAAAACATGGGGAAAGATCTATTGGATGGGATGGCAGTAAGGGGGCAATTAATTTGGCTGCCATCATAAGGACGTTCAAGTCCGGAGGAGCTGCGTGGGTGGGAGGAGTTCGAATGGCCAACCGCAATTGGAAGAGAAGGAAACACAAAGTACGATGGAGGCGACAAGCAGCTTTTACGGAAAAGTCGGTTAATTCGATCAACCTTGAGGGCAAGGTTGGTCTCCAGGGGGAGAGAATGACAGAAACCTATGGTTTCTATTATTACTATTATTTTTATTAGGTTTATTATTATTAAGATTAGTAGCCTCTAACAATGATACCCAACAAATATGACATAGAAGACTAGGACATGTAAGCACAAGTGTCTTAGGGAAACTATCCAAGCTCAACTTAGTCAGGGGTCTTCCTTCTTTAAGTAAAAAACCAGAATTATTCTGTAATGCATGTGCACTAGGAAAAAAAACGAGAGTCTCCTTCAAAAAGTAAGCCATATGTAACCACCATAAGAATATTTGATCTAATTCACATAGATTTATTTGGTCCAAACCAAACCATTAGCTTAGGAAGAAAATAATATGTTTTTGTTCTGCTAGACGACTTCTCTAGGTATTCATGGGTATTTTTCTTAAAAAGGATGAAAATATCACTAAATTAAAAAAAAATATCACCAAAATACAGATAAAGAAAGAATTATTAGTAATAGCGTGGCTGGCGATAACACTGCCCTGACAACGACAACTATCAGGTTAACTTTAGGAATGCATGCCGCTGATACAAGGCTGATTGTGATTTGGAGTTTGTTGTTCTCTGTGTTTGTTTGTTTTTTTATGTGAGTTTGTGATGCGATGTTGTCGCATGGCTGCTTGCGGCATGTGTCTGCAGTCTTTTAGGCTGGTAGTGCGTGCTTGTGTAGTGCTTCGCACCCCTGCTTTTGCTTTTCGTTTGCTTGTGTACGTTTCCTTCCTGTTAATAAAACTTATATCACAATTATAAAAAAAAAAATAGAAGTGATCATGGAGGAGAATTTGATAGTCATTTGTTTGAAGCATTATGTGACAATCTAGGAATACAACATAACTTCTCAGCTCCTAGAACACCTATACAAAGTGGGGTTGTTGAAATGAAGAATAGAACTCTAGAAGAAATAGGAAGAACCATGCTCCAAGAATAAACTTACCTCAACATATGTGGGTAAAAGCCATTAATACTACCTGCTACATAGCTTATAAAGTGCTTAATAGAATTAAGCACAAAAGGACTTCCTATGAACTTTGGAAGGGGAAGAAGCCAAATATAAGTTACTTTCATGCCTTTGGAAGTCCTTGCTTCATCTTAAACACAAAAAAGTCAACTAGGAAAGTTTAAACCCAAATCAGATCTAGCCACTTGTATAGGGTATTCGACCAGAAGCAAAGCTTACAGGGTCTTTAATAGAATGGTAAATACAATTTAATATCCAAACCTTTCATTTTAAACAATATAATAGCCAAATCTTTTCGAAAACAATTTAATATCCAAATCGTCAACTTTCTGCTGTTTGACCGTTAGTTGACACTTAAAAAAAGTTTGAAGTACGACACTTCATCGATATCCATCGATATCTTCTCTGAAAAACCACCAACATATCGTAGTTCCAAACCCGAGAAGTCCATGACTCCACCATGATGGTATAGAATATCTAAATATTCAGTCATCTGTAATGTCAAAACAAGAAAACAAAGTTGTATTGTGACAATTTCCCCTAAACAAAGCTTTCTTGAAGTGTCAACTAACGGTCAAACGAACGGAAAGTTGACGATTTGGATATTAGATTGTTTTCGAAAAGGTTTGGCTATTATATTGTTTAAAATAAAAAATTTAGATATTAAATTGTATTTACCCTTAATAGAAAGACCAACAAAATTGAGCAGTCTATTCGTATAAAATTTGATGGAAGTCCACATCAAACCGAGGAGGATCCATTTGCAATACAACCTCTTTTCACAATAACAGAGTCTACCTCCCAAAATCTAGAACCAACAACTCCAATTTCTGATGAACCTATTGAAACTAAACAAACATCTCATCATGCACCTGCTCATATACAAAAAACGCATCCACCTTCCCTAATCATAGGTGACCATGATGCCCTACTAGTTACTCGATCTAAAGCAAAAAAATCTTCTACTCTTATCTCTATTCACTATTCTGTCCCAAATAGAACCTAAAAACATTAAAGAAACTCTATTATATGAATAGTGGAATCTAGCTATGCAAGAAGAACTCAACTAGTTCAAACGAGCCCAGGTTTGGGATCTTGTACCTTGACCCGAAGACTGGCTAGTTATTGAAGTCGGTTTTTAGAAAACATATATGATGAATCAGGAAAAAACATTAGAAATAAAGCTCGTTTAGTTTCCAATGGCTATGATCAAGAACAGAAAATAGATTTTGAAGAAACCTTCACTCTAGTAGCCAGGATAAAAGCAATTACGTTGCTTTGTGCATTTGCTAGTACAAACAAAATCAAGCTATATCAAATGGATGTCAAAAGTGCATTTACAACATGGTTTTCTAAATCAAGATGTTTATGTAGAACAACCTCCTGGTTTTGAAAATACTTTCTTTCCTAATCATGTTTACAAACATAAAAAGGCTCTTTATTGCCTAAAACAAGCTCTTAGGGCCTGGTATGAGAGATTAAGTACTTTTCTATTAAAAATAACTTCACTAGAGGACCAATAGACTCTAGTCTTTTTCCTATTATTCTTCCTAAGGTCTCCTAATTGTTTAAATCTACGTGGATGGCATAGATTTTGGGGCCACATAAGAAAACCTTTGCACTGAATTTTGCAATCTCATGCAGGGTACCTTGGAAATGAGTATGATGGGAGAACTAACTTTCTTCTTAGGTCTCCAAATTCATCCAACTCCAGCTATAATTTTGATAAATCAAAGCAAGTATGTCCTTCCTTGCTAGCAAAGTATAAAATGTCCAACCAAACCCTAAAAATCTCCCATTGTCACTTCTCTTCATCTAGATCTTGATGAACTTGGTGCCTCAGCTAGTGACACTCTCTATCGAGGTCTCATTGGATCTTAGCTTTACGTAGCATCTAGAAAACCAGACATCATGTTCAGTGTATGTCTATGTGCTAGGTTGCAAGCCAATCCCAAGAAATCCCATCTAACAACAACAAAAAGAATTCTTTGTTATCTTGTCATACTCCTACCTTAGAAATTTGACATCCTTCATCTAATTCCCTAGAACTTATAGGATATTCAGACTCTAACTTCGCCAAAAACGAAACTTATAGAAGTACCTCCAGCGAGTGTCAATTCCTCCGAGAGTCACATGTCTCTTGGTCTTCCAAGAAACATGTATGTGTTGCTTTGTCTACAAACAAAGTTAAATATCTTGTTGCACACAACTTTTTTGGCTCAAACAACAATTCCAGGACTATGGACTCTCTATTTCCAATCAGCTAATCCTCTGTATTAATTCCAGTGCCATAAGCATGAGCAAAAATCCAGTGCATCACTCTAGGAACTAAGCATATTGTGATAAAATATCATTTCCTTCGCGATTTAGTTCAAACTGGAATTGTTTCCATTTCACATATTCCTGCAGATAGATGATACTAAACCCCTAGGTTTTGATGGTTTCACTTTTCTTAGCCAAGAATTAGGGATGATTGACGGTGCTACTCTCCTCTCCACATAACCTCTATTGGGTTTCCCTAGCAATATATTTTTCTTTCCTTTTCTTGTTATTTTCTCGCTCCATAAATACCCTCTACCTGTTCTTTCTCTTGTTATCTCGCAAGCATCGCCTCTTTCGTCGCCTTTTTGTCTTCATCTTTCCTTATAATGGCTGGTTTAAATGCTATTCTTACTTATTCAAATGCTGAATGTAATTTCTTCATCAGTAAAGGAGATTACCAGACCGCCTCCAGTATGATTCCCGTTATCAGTGAGTATAGGCTTCCTCCCTTATCATCCTTTCTAGATGAGGTTTCCTCTCGCATCGCTAATCTTCGCTGGGAAGGATTCTTTAATCTTCGAGTACCTCATTCTTTGGCCTTCTGTCCATTGGTTTTTTGGAAGTTGGAGGAAACTTCAAGCCACACTCATCTTGATTTTAACTCGAATTGGGAGGAAAAAATTGATGAAGACTAAACCTTCGTTCTTGGAAGAGAAGGAACCTGTACATCTTCCTCTACAACAATGAAAGAAGAGCAAGGAGTAGCAATCTCACCCACTCTAAGCAAGGATTCTCTATGCATAAAAGAACCAAGCTTTGAAGTGAATGGACCCCTTCAAGATCCCCTTACATCATCTCTTCAAGAATCTGCACAAACCTTGGAAAACAAGAACCTTGAGGAAGTAAGGGCAGAGAATGAAGAGTTCACCATTTACAAGGACACACTTAGTCAAAAAATGGAGGATGACATACCCGAAGTTGGAGACCATGAAGAAAATTTCAAAATCTTGATAAAAATCCATCATAGAGTCGAGTCAAATCTCAATCGACTATTTGATGAGGATCCCTTTGCTGCATTTCTAGAGAGCCATGAGGCTGTACCATCTTATCTAATCCAAATAGGGGAATACATGAGTTCCTCTTTGTATAGTTACCTCTACCATATGCATAATATTCAAAAATCAAAGTGGATCTTTTTCCTTTGGCATTAATTTAGAGAGTTACTGGATCTTTTTCCGACCAACTTCTGATATCATTCTCAACTTGTTTCGGTCCTCTTTTGATATTGATCCAGAGCTTCATGTCATGACTTGTAGAAAATCTTCCATGCAACCTTTCCAAAAGGCATAACTATTTTCGTCAAGTTTTGGTGGTTTTGTTGTAGATTGTCCTCAACTTGCGTGATTAGATGCAGATGATTCATTAATCTTGCTAAGGAACTCATAGCTTTCATTTTGGATCTTGCTCCTCATTAGAGACCTTCTCGGATACCAATTGTAGGATACGTGTTGCACACAAATATACTTATAAAATAAGATGAACCAACACAAATAATATGAAACAATTGATTTCGTCTTGACTTGCAACAAAGTGCAAGTGTTTAACGAGATAGGTATTGAGCATAATCAAATCGTCTTTAACCTCCAAGAGATTGTTCCTGTTAAGAATCACACAAACAATAGAGAGGAATAGGAAGAGAGACACACGTATGATGTTTTGTTAACTGAGTTCAGTTTATTGCTTTACGCCACGGCTCGAAGGTGGCTTACCCTTTGAGACCTAGTGTCTAGGTTTTTATCTTATTCCAATCTAACTCCAAGTTGAGCTCCATTGTGTGGAACTCAGAACCTTGACAAGAATAGAGCAAATACCCATTTGTCTCTTCCTCACAAGCACTCAAGCTAAATAGAGAGACTACACAAACCTCACAATCACTCAAGCAATACAGACAATGAACCTCTATCATCTCTGAACCCTATTGCTAATCACACAGTGTTTGATCTTGTTTTGTGTAGGATTACTCTGCCACATTCAGCGAGGCTTGTCTTGTTGCTTCCTTGTATTTATAGTTTCTTAATGCAACAATCTTCTTTTGATCTTCACTTGATTATGGAGATTCTCAATGCAACAATCTTCTATTGATCTTCACTTGATTACGAATCATATATTCACAGACATGGTAGGTAATTTTACCTTAGCGGAAAGGGAAAGCTTTTCCTCAACAATATCCCATGTATAACTAGATCTTGAGTCTTAGTTTTAAGTGATGTCATATCTAAGAGATGAGAATTAATGATATTTTTTCTTTACTTTTCTCAATTGGTTTTTATCTTCTTTTTCTAACTTGGATTTGGTTTTACACAAATGGAACAGGTTGTGTTCTACAAAATGATATCCATTTTCAATATTATTTTTTTCATACCACTCGTTACCACTGTATCATCACTTGGTATTATCTTCGTTTTTAACTCAAATTTTGAAAAAAAAATTGTCCAAAGGGAATAAGTTCATCATGATCTCTCAAATCTACAAATTTTCAGGATTAAAAATCACCTTACACCACCCTGGTATAGGGTGGTAACTGGTGGTAGACAATGATGAATGATGGTTAGTATATTTCTACTATCATGTATGCTATCATTATACACTCTAATATGTTCATACCATCATGATACACTTTCATATCACGTGGTATAATCTTAGTACACCCAAACATCACCACATGGTATGGATAGGTAAAAATAGTCTCAATTTTGTTGTTCCAAAATATATCAAAGTGAATGTCATTTTGAAAATCACTATTAATATGATTTTTCATTGCAAAATAAATTAAATTATGACTTAAAACAAAAGAGAAATAACCAGTCAAAATTAATTGGGGAAAGGTTAGAGGCATTCCATAAAATGTAATTGAAGGGTTATGCATGGTTAGGCACCCTAATTATGCCCTCTAATAAGGCAATAGATTCTATGTATAAATTTCCTATGCTATGTATATAACTCTTACTTACCATTCATGGAAAACAATTAACTTTTCTCCCAACTTAATTTAATAAGTTATATATCTTTCGTTTAAGTGGTTATTGAAATTATTTTTCAAAAAAAGTTAAATTAATTGTGCTCATAAAATGACGTCCAATTTGATATATTTCGAAAAAAATATTTACAATTTTATTACAAGTTCATACCATGGTGGTAATGTTTGGTAGTACAAAAGATTATATCATGGTGGTATGAAAGTGTACCAAGGTGGTATAATGGTTGTATACATGATAGTAGGAATATGTTAACTGTCATTTACCAGTTTTTATTACTGTCTACCACCAATTACCACCTATACCAGGGTAGTATGTTTGGTATTGAAATTTTATCTCAATAAATTTGTAAATCCAATAGGTTGCGATCCACTTGCTCATTTTAAGCAATTTTTTTCAAAATTTGAGTACAAAATAAGGTGATATAAAGTGGTACCAGGGTGTTAACGAGTGATAGGGGTGGTTCGAAAAAAATGTTTCTCAAATTATATTAAAAATAGATATCATTTGGTAGATCACAACAAACCCCTTCCATCTTTGCAACAAAAAATTAAACTCCAATTTAAGACGAACAAGATAAAAATTAATTAATAATTAAAAAAAGTAAAAAAAATCTTTTAATCTCACCTCTTATATATGATTATGCATAAGTGTCCTAGGAGTCCAGATCCTATGACTAAGAGGGGGTGCTTAGTCACTTGACTAAGCCCCTCCCAGCCCTTAGATTTGGACACAGTAATCTGACGGTTAAAAAGTGGGAAGAGCTATTTAATTAATGGCAGGGGTATTTTGGGTATTATGAAAAATTACGAAGTATACAAACCGGACTTACAATTAGTACAAACCAAACAAACGTACGAACAGTACAAATTACAACGACAAAACATACAAACAGATTTACAAACATTACAGACGGATGAATTGTACAAACAATACAAACTAGACCGACAAACAATACAAATCTTACAAAAAAGAAAAAAACAACCGGGTCGACTTTGGAGGCTCCATCCCTATATAGAGGGCTCCGTCCCAAAGTCAACCCGATTGTTTTTTAGACATACAAACATTACGAATATGATGGACAAAAATGACAAACTAGACCGACAATCCACGTAAACGGAAAAAACACTCGAGTTGACTTTGGAAGCTCCATCCCTATATAGAGGAGTTTCATCCAAAAGTCAACCAAGTTATTTTTTAGACATAAAAAACTTTACTAACATGGTTGACAAAAATAATAAACATGGTGCACATAAATAACAAAGTTTACAAACATTATAAAAGAAACCGACAAACAATACAAAGCATACTAACCATACAAAACGTCACTAAAAAATGACAAAGAAGAATGATAAACAATACAAAATACAAATATTACAAAATATGTCAACAAACATCACAAATCTAGCACTGTCGCAGGAAAATCCTTCTCCGTCATCGATGGTCGCCGGAAAAAATTTCATCCGATCAGAAAATCTCTCTCTCTCTCTCTCTGCCGCCGAAAATTTGGCTGGCCGGCGCAAACGGGAGAGGACGGTGACTGGCTGGCGCAAGGAGACAGAGACGTAGTGCTTGCATTTTTTATTATTTTATAATTAAAAAATTAAAATAAACATGCAATTAACACATTATCCTTAATTAAATTGGATTAATTGGAGCCCTTGGATTTTAATAAGGTTGAGTGCTGAGATTCACTTAGCCATGTGACTAAGGCACTCCCCTTAGTCACCTGATCTTGGCCCAGTATCCTATACCATCCAAAACATAAGTGCATAAGATGAGAGGATTTTTAAACAACAGTACATTTTTACCCACATTCGGCAAAATACTGGGAATGCAATAAAGAGAAGTTGAAGACCAGAGGCAGAACTGGAAGGAGGCGAAAGGTATTCACTTATTCGAATTCAGAGACCAGAGGCAGAAATTTTGAATTAGAGACGTGGAGGATGAGGTACTTTCGGCAGACATGGCTGTGTTTGAGTTCCATCATCTGTATGGAAGAGGGCTAGTGGATAGAGGAGATTTCACAAAGAAGAGAAGCTACAAAAGAAACACAACTCAAGGGTGGGGTAGGGTTGTTTCATTTGGGAAAAACGATGACATTTTAGTGAAACATGGAGCTCTAGTAGGTTAAACGGTTATCTGAGAAACTGTTGGTTACTAACCGCTAAACCGATTAGCAGTTTTCTTCTACCGACAGACGAATCCAAGAGCCTCTAAACCGTTAATATATCATTAACCAGTAATTCTCGACTCGGTTAATAGTTATAGAGTGTCCTGCCAAAAAATAATGGGATTTGGAATTTTGCCAAAAAATAATGGAATTTTCACCCCTAATGTAAACAATAAATATGCATCACCAATGATAAAATCAAACATTTCAACACATAAGTCATAAAACACTAACATGATTCAAATATTTACGTCTCGTAATAAGTAGAAACTTAAAAATCCACCATTTGGAGCTTGCAATTATAATAATTCGATTTTCAATTCGAAATTCGGAAATTCGGTTCGGTCGAAAGGACCCTGGTTTCTGAAATATGCCCTTTTCTCTTCCGAATTCCGAATCGAATAACATTAATTCAATTTCGGTTCGGTTTATATTCGGTTCGATTAGGTTCGGTTCGATTTTACTGAACCGTATGCCCACCCCTACCTAAGACCTAGAGATTCAAAACTAGTCATATTACCACCACTAAACCAAGCACTTGTTCACACACTAAACCTACTTATAGTTTTACTTTTTGATATTAGGTGCTACTTAAATTATTCTAACCTGAGACCTTCAAATTCAAGACTAATCATATTACAGTAAGGTAAAGCACTCGTGACTAGACCAACCCCTTATACACACACCAAACCTACCATTTTGGAGAACAGAGCATCCCATCCACGGCTTCTTCTTTCTTCGCCCGCAAGCTCATCCCGGCTGCTCACTTTTAGCTTCATAAGTGTGCATACAACACTTTGTAATTGAAGTCAAAGCCCATTATCCAACTGGGAAGAAATCCCATCAAGTTACAACCAACACTAAAGACTGATTCTGCTCCCAGGAGTCGGTATAAGGACATGCCTCTCTATGTGGTTAGCTATGTGAAAAACCAATTACACAGCCAGAAATCTCAAGGCTTAGATGATGCTGCATCACCAATGCTGTTAGACGAGTAATCATGAGCGACATGAGGGGAAGAACTAATGCTAGAAGAAACAACACAGTTCTCCTTTTCCTTCCTCTGCTTGCCTTTCCTTTCTACAGCCTCCTATACAAAACTTTCCCACAGTCAGTATGTTACTCTGGTCTCTTAATGTCCTAGGGAATCACTAGTTGCCGGAAAGTCAAAGAACTGACCTGCTGAGAAGACGATCCAGGCATTTTAAGTACAAGTTCAGTTGCAACTTCACCCGAGTCATCACAGCATTCCTCAATATGGCTATCCCCAGGGTGGCATACCAACTTGCTTCTGGGATCTGGTTTGCTCGAGCCATGGGAGGTAGAGGCGCTTTGAGCCGATGGCTGTTCATTAGGAGGGTTAGGAGGAGTCGGGAATGAAATAAAAGTCGGACAAGTACCGTGAACAGGATTGGATGGAGGTTGATTTCTGTAAAAGGGGAATGGCTGCATTGGTGGATGCATGGGGATTGAACCAGGAGGCACTGGTACAGGGACTGCATATGAATAAGGAGATCCCATAATTACAGAAGGATCAACGTGACCCCAGGGGAACATGGCTCTTAATCTCTGCTGATACTGCATGTTCAGAGCTTCAACATCAGACTTAAGCGATGCCTTCTCCTCCCTCAACTCATTCTTTTCTTGCAGAAGCTGGATTGCAAAGAAGAAACTAAATATCACAACCAAAATTCTGTATGCAGAAACCAAACTATGAACACTGGGTAGATGAAATCACCTCACGGGATTCTTCTGTGAGGGCAGAACACTCGGCTTTGAGTCTGTTAACTTCAGATGTTAGATCCTTGAGAACTTGAACTGTATCGGTCAAAATCGTTGCCTTGTCGTTTTTAGGCCTATCAGGGTCTGCGTTCAAAACAATTATTCAGAAAAAGAACGATTGACGCATGTACTCCCAGGAGTTGCAGCAGCATTATGACTCAACTTTTATAGCATAATAATAATAACTTTCGTAGTAAGTAGTTCCCAACAACCAGTGCAGGGATAGTAAGGCAAAGCAGCTGCCTACTGAACTGATATAAGCTTAAACTCCCCTTTGATTTTGCAGAAATGGCACTAGAACAAAATGAACTGAACTCCACTGCCCAAAGATAACATTTCATAATCCAAAGGAGGCTGTTGTTCGAAAGCGAATTCTTCCATCAGAAAGAGGAGAAGAAAACTAAAAGAGTAAAACTTCAGATTACCTAGAGTTTGACCCAACTCAATAAACTGCTCATTTAAACGGTCCCTTCTCAATTTCTCACGGTCTGCCTTCTGGACTTTTCTAGCAGCAATTGGATCCTTTGCTACCGCTCCCTGCCTCTGCCTGCATCAGAAAATACACCACAATCCACCACGACATCAGAAGGTGGGTCAAAAACAGCAATTCGTGGAATTCAACCCATCATCAAGTATGAAACAATTAGGGAAATTGAAGCTACAGAGTACAGATCAAAGCCCAGGAAGCAAAAACCCACCTGGGTTCAGGAGGGGAATCGTTTGCTGCCTTGTGCTGATTCATGTGGCAACTTCAGAACAACCCCACCGAAAAACAATGAACCAGGGAAGAAGTTCAGGCACAGAAATGGATGGGTAAGAGTGCCCTCGCTGGTTGTGTCGTAGGCCGACTCGAATTAGCTTCAGCTCTGCAATGAGGCAGCCTATCCTGATCTAGAAAGGCTGCAGGCAACAGAGAGCTGATGAAGGAACTCCCAGAAATCCCCAACCCCAAAGGTAAATCCAAAACTCTCCCACTTTTGCTCTCCACGAGTCCTCCATCCCCGAAATTAAATATTAAAAAAAATCTATTAATTCTCCCACTTGTGCTCTCCACGAGTCCTCCATCCCCACAATTAAATAATAAAAGAAATTATTAAGGGTCATTTGTTTGTTGGATTTTGATGATGGATTAGGTTTCCAAATTCATAGGTGATTTGAATGCAAAATTTATAGGTGATTTGCTTTGTGGATTTAAAAAAAATTGGGTAAAACTTGAATTTTGAAATAATTTCTTTCCAAACTAACGAAAATATCAAATAAAATGAATGATTAATTCCACAAAAGAAAAAAAGAAAGAAGCAAGATTGGTTGGATTACCCCACTTTTCCGTGTATATTCTTTCGAAAATGAAATTTCGGATGTTGAGGATTTGAACCTACGAATTCGCTAATTATGAGTTGGACGCTTTAACCATTCAGCCTGGGATGCTTAGCAGGGATCACGAACAGAGGACTGTGTCAGTTGTAAGAGATGCGAGTCCGCCTGCCCGACGACCATTCTTTGATTTCAAAAGACACTATTATTTGTTTCATACATTTCATACAAAATTTTGTTAATTAGATTTATAAATATGAAGTAAAATTTACATTATCATCAATAGGTTGTCAAACCGATTTATACCGTTGTGTCGGTTTGGCAAGTGGAATGGTATGACCGGTGGTAAAACCAATTTGTGCCGATTCATGCCAGTTAAAAAAATATATAAAAAATTAATATTCAATGTATTTAATCATATATAAAACATATTTGTGGACAATTTAGTTACAATCCAACAAATATCATCAACTTTTAACTATTAAATTCATAAAATGAATAATAGATTATTATTTTTATTAATTAAATTCATTAAAATAATAACATTTTGCTTAAAATGCGTAAGTCGATTATACCAATAGTGTCATACCGGTTTTATGACCAATACAGGTTGAACCATGTTGAACCGGGTGGCATCACAACCATTCATCATCATTTAATTGGAATGAAAAGATAAAGCATTAGTGCTTGTTTCTTGCCATCTGTCGATCTATCACAACTACAGAACAACATTTCGTAGTTGATGTTCATTACTTGCTAACATTGGCTACTTCAGTTTATATAAACACTTGTTATCAATTAATTCTTAAGTCCAGCGTTTGGTATTTTCAATGCACTATGAAGTTACTTACAGTCTTACACCCTTCAAAGCTGGGATTTATATCCCACCTTTGAAACCAAGAGTAAGATATTTACATGATGTAAATTAGACTTTTAAAATAAATTAGCAAAACCCATGGAAGGGTAAGATGGTAAATTACATTTTAAAGTTATTCTACCTATATATAAAAGGCAAGTCTTTGGCTCTAAATGGCTTAGGGATGGACAAATTTTGGCAAAATCCTGATTTTTACATCCAGCGTGCAAATGACTCTTTATTTACATTTGGTGCTTTTCAGTGCGCTTCTCTGGATAACCGTTATATTAATAATAGAGATACCTGTAATTGATGATACAATAATCATTGAGCCAAACGATCATGACGGCCTCGTTACAATCAACAGCTACCGCAATTTGTCTTAAAATGATGCTTTAACGGAGAAGGTCATCCTGAAACGGCACGCTTCTCAAGTGATACAAGTAATTATCCCAAAACACTAGCAAACTTTCATTTTGCACGATTTGGTGTTATAAGTTTGTACGTATAACAAAATGGGTCATTTCGTTCATTTTTCATCCAAATTATGTTAGATTGTACCAGTCAGCAATCCAAGTTAGCACAAATATTAATAAAAAGGATTTCTTACAATAACTTGAAGTAAGGTAACTTGAATTTTTTAACATGCTATAGCAGGTTTCACAGGTTGCATTACGTAAAATACAATAGGCATTACGTAATGGTTACGTAACAGTTGTAAAAGATCATTACGGAAGTCTTACGTAATAGAAGTTGACTTTACGTAATGAGTATTAACCTAGCGTTACGTAAAATGCTAAGTCATTACGGAAGCCTTACGTAAACGCTACTGATTTAACTGTTTCATAAGAAATAACTGTCGTTACGTAATGGAAGGTCTTTTTACGTAATGAGTATTAACCTCGCGTTACGTCCTTACGTAACGCTTCCTATTTAACTGTTACGTAAGAAATAACTATTGTTTCGTAACCTTTACGTAATGAATATGTACTATACGTAACAGTTGTGAAATGTTATTACGGAAACCTTACGTAATGCAAGGTCTCTTTACGTAATGAGTATTAATGTCGTTTTACGTAAAGAGTTAAGTCATTATCGAAGCTTTACGTAACACTTCCGATTTCATTGTTACGTAAGAAATAACTATCATTCTGTAACCTTTACGTAATAGAAGGTCTCTTCATGTAATGAGTATTAATCTCACGTTAAGTAAAGTACTAAGTTATTACGTAAGGATTACGTAACGCTTCTAATTCAATAACAATTTAAATAAGGAAAGGATAAAATAAGGAAAAACAAATAAATATGAAAAAGGAAAGAAAAAAACAAGAAATATAAGTTGTGAGGGTGGTGACCGGCAACATGGGTTGCCATTGATTTTTTTATTTCTTTAATCAATACGTATAAAATAAGTTTGATCAATTTTGAGAGGTGGCAAATAGATTGGATTGGTGGATTGGATTGGTGGATCCATGGATCTAATGGATTGGATCTAATGGATTGGTGGATTCATGGATTGGATCAAGTGGATTGGTGGATTATCCATGAATCCAAATGACATCCTCAACCAAGGACCAATATGAAAAATGTAAAAAGTTTAGGTACTAAAATGTCATAATGAAAAATTTTAGGTACCAAAACGTTCCAATGATATTTTTCGTATAAAAAATTAAATTTTAGGTACCAAAATGTAAAAAATAAAAATTATAGGTACTAAACCGTAATTTGCCAATGATCCATGGATCCAATCCATGAATCCACCAATCCAATTGGATTTGGATTATATGGATTGGATTTAAATGGATTGGATTAGGTGGATATTTTTAATGGATTGATGGATTGGATTGGTGGATTGGATTGAAATTGCCACCTCTTTAGATCTATGCAAGTTATCTAACTTAAAATTATATCCAAGTTATCATAGGAAGTCCCTAAATAAAAATATTCGCCTAACCAACCACTCGTACCCAATCCGCCCAGACTCCAAAACCAACCCTACCCCTTCGCATTGAAAACAAATCCTTCATCTACTACCTAATTCCCAGAAATAAAACACATGAATACAAGACCCATCCTTTCCTTCCCACTTCCCACAATCGTGGTTTCCTTCTCTCAGAACCCACCTCCTGTCAATGGCGGATCTAGGATCCTGGACACTCTTAAAATTTGGGGAGAAACTTAACGAATTTCGGTACTAGTTTGATTTTGGAGCAGGGGTCTATCCATGGTCCCGTAGGAGTGTCTTGGAAACGCCTAAAATTTGGAGATCTTCTCGTAGTAGTTTGAATTTGGAAGAAAAGAAGGAAAGATTGATAGTTTTATGTGACTCAAACCCACAACAATATAATTATTAGAATAAATGTTATCAATTATACTACAACCCAATTGTTATTATGTTTAAAACATGAATGTAATTATGATTTAATACAAAGTCCAACTAAGCCTTAATTTCCATAATTATTTCATTAAAACCTGAACACTCTCCTTACTCAATTTTATCCTAATGAGTTTGATAAATGGTTGTCAAACCGGTTTAAATCTTTGGACCGGTAAAACAAATGGTTTGAGATTTATTGGTCGAATTGATGTTTGACCTGTTAAAGTTGTTTTTACACAATATAGAAATATATACATATATGATAATGATTTAAAACTATATATCAGACTCGTGTGCCCCTGGAGCATACTATGCTCCATGTACTCATAGTGAGATATCTCTATCTAGACCATGAATTGAACCGAGTTTGGGGAATGATACTATACCCTAACCTCAAATGGATAAACCCTAGGCCCCGATTTTCTAATCCCAAACCCAAAGTTCAATTTAAGAGAAAAGAAGAGTTGACCGTTGAAATTGGCCAGAGCTAATCCATGTAAATCTAACGGTCAAATCATCTGGAGCATACTATGCTCCTGGAGCATACCAGTCGTCTCCATATATATATATGGTAATACCATACTCCATATGATATGACCATTAGATCTCCTTTTTTGAGTTTCGACTAATCTCAACGGTCAATAAATATTTTCTATATATACTAGTTTGCACTCGGCCGATAGTCCGGAATATATACATTTATTTAGATTAAATATCTCAATTAGGTTTTTACAGAGATTATTTATTAGTAGAACTGATCAAATACGGTGAAAATCACCAAATTTTACTGATAGTTTATCAAAATTTTATCGAGCATGGTCATTTATTGAAAACTCGTTGTTCTTGATTTACATACTTGATCGAAATTTTCTATCTATCTACTTTTTATGTGTTTCAATCCTTGACATACTATAATTTTGTTTAAGAAGAGTAGAAGATTGAAGTAATCAAAGATTGAATATGAGCCTAAATATGAGGTTACAAAGTTGCAACGTAGATTTAACGCACCTTATATTAATCAAACACTAAAAACTATGTTAATGGAACATTTGTTGACGTGGAAGTCACACGTCTTGACAAAAATACAACTAACTCTCTCTCTGCATCTCATGGTAGTCTTTCTTTTATCACTTTAGTGCTTCACATACTAAATACGTATAAAATATACAATACGTATATTTACATTAACTCTAAACTATAGATTTCTAGTGTTTTTTAACTGATGCCAAACTTTCAAACGTATTGTTATGTTAACATGAAATACAATACGTTTTAATAAAATAATGTATGTGTTGCATATTTCACTAATTATGGTGCCACAACTCCCATTTCTTAAAAAAAATGTTCATTAATTTTGAAAATGAGTAAATAAATATGTTCCTAAATAAAAATTCGACCGAAGATCAAAATAGTAACATATTCTTTTCTATCCAGTTGGGTAATGGTAAGACGATATCTAGTTTCGGCCCTTATCAATAAATGCAATAATGAAAAGCTAATTTAAAAATATTCAAATTTTCTATGAAATAAGGTATACAAATGAGTCCACAACAACAACAAAAAACCATTACTCCCAATAGTACAACCCAATTGAAGAACCCATTTTAACGATGACATTATAAATATAAAACTAAAATTATTATGACATGAAGTATATAAAATAAGCATACAACACAAAAAATCCATCACCCTCACATTACTACTCAAACGAAGAGCACATTGTAAAGCTAAAATTGTTAGGGAACAGTAAACGAATTCAGCTTTATATACAGTAGTAGTAATAATAATAATAATAATAATAATAATAATAATAATAATAATAATAATAATAATAATAATAATAATAATAATAATATGACAAAGGCTAGTATACTCCAGGTGATTTGACCGTTAGATGTAATTCGATGAGATCTGATCAATCTCAACGGTCAATTCTTGTTTTCTAGAAAATTGAACTTCATGTTTAGGTTTAGAGAATCAAGGCCTGTGATTTACCATTTGATTTTTTGGTATAATATCATACCCAAACTCAGTTTAATTCATGGTCGGATAGTCATTTGAAAACCATGGCTTGGTCACCTTTCTTACTTACTTATTTATGCTACGTCACATTGAGAGTTATTATCATTGTGACAAGATGATGAATTATTCTTTGAATTAAAAGGAATTGATGAATTAACTTAGCTAATGACAAAGACAAAAGTGAGTCCATTTCATTGATCTATTTGCTTTTCAAATTGTATTGATTTTATCGATCACAAATGTAAGTGTTAGAAAGAGTTTTTTCAACTTTAAATTATATCAAGAACAAATTTTGGAATTGAATAGGCAATTAGTTCATTGGTAATATTCCATCATAAATTCAATAATAGGAATGAAATTTCAACGATTATCTAGTAGGATATATTGAAAGCGCTTTGTGGAACACTATAAACACTGTAAACAAGTTTTTGATTTTTTAATTCTTAATTTGTTTTTAAAGAGTACACCCTAAATAAAATTTATGGGTCATTGCCTCCCACCCCCTTTCCAGATATATTCTTGTCTCTTCACGACCCAGAAAAAAGACTCAATTTTGAAATCAAATCCTTCAAGCCTTAGCTTCAATCAAACGATGCAAAAGTTATGTAGGGAACCGATTCACTCTTCATAAATATAATCCCAGAGATCTTTATTGTCATGATTGACAACAAAATCTTCGAATCTAGTGAGAGGCTGCGTAGTCAAAGAGCCTACTAACTCGGACCTATTAACTCTACTATCACAACCATGGCCAAGTGCAGCCAATGATCAAGTGTAATATAGTGGAAGTAAATTTTAATTATCAACCCGGGAGACAATTGTACTATTATTTTGAGGACTAATGTGTTATCTAGTAAATTGAGGTTGGAATTAACTAATCAACTACAAAATAAAGCAAATGAAGTTTGGTTGAGAACTATCGAGAGAAATTCACTCGGTGCCATTTTCCTCTAGCTGCAAAATAGACCGATGAACGATGTTCCAAGCTTGCTGACTCATGATTTGCAACGCGGAGAATCCTATTCCCGCTTGCCCATCCGGCAAAATAGAACATGTAGTGCGTGCCAAATAGATTCCCACTATTAGATAATAATCCAATACATCATTGTATTCCGATTTCACGTTCGATCCATCGAGCCACAATGAAGAATGAGGTAACTCTTCTAATCAACCAAATTGAATATTCTCTACCTAGGTTAATAGCGACAATTGGAGGATTTGATCAATACTCAAACCAATTCCATGAAATACCTCAATTCTACATATAATTAAGAGTGCATACAAGCAAGGAAAGCATTCATTCATCTAATCTAACACATATAGTTAGATAGTGAGAGAGAGATACTAACACCAAATCAAGAGTAGAAAATATCCTTGATGAGCGGGTTATTGCTCTTGCTCTTCAATCTCCAACCCTTGATGATGGGATTAGCTTCCAATGAACGATTTAAACTCCAATCCACCATTTAGATATCTCCTTCATCACTTTCTCTCTCTACACAACAACTCCCACTTTCTCACTCTAGACTCATATCTCAAAATTTTGATGTAAGCTCCTATTTATAACATATAAGTGCAGATGTCATGGTATCCCGTCATGCTTGTGAGAATTACAACCAAACAATGAGGTCGACCCAATCCACGTTGTTTCACTTAACACACCTCACGGTTTCTGTGAGATTCTCACAGTTTGCAACCATGAGGTTTACAGGAGCACGCGAGGTACAAGTGGCTGTCTGGAAGTATGAAATCTTCATGGCTTCTTCGCAATTCTCACGACTTGGAAACCATGACAACTTCAAGTGTCTGTGAGACACACTTGAACTTCTGGAACTGGTGCACATGTTATGGCTTGCTTGCAAAGAATGTCACATCCTAACCATGAGGATTTTCCATGAACTGTGACGTTTGCACTTTTCTTTATCTTGTCCTAGGTTTGGTTCACGTTGGTTCGACTCTCGCTCTTTTTGCCAATTTGACATGCTAGGATCTGAAATGCACTCAACCAAGCACAACCTAGTGTAAAAGGGCCTCAAGGATGATGAATCACAAGTTAAACGATCAAGGAGAGGGGTTGAAAATTTGTATAATAGGCCATAATCACCTACAGTATGGCGTTCCGCGATCACGTCGAGGGCTACCATTTGGGATTCCTTGCTTTGGGAAATCAGAGCTTTTCTTGCGCTTAATTTCTCTTTTACATGCTCCCATGAAGAAGAAGATGGGGAAAGGGCTAGCTACTAGGTAGGGAGTGAACTCGAAAGAGCGGTGGCTTAACTGGGAGGTGGTCCACTAAAGTGCGGTTAAGCACCCTGATCAGGTGACATGAAGCCTCGTTGGTCGCTCAATAGATGTGGAACTCGATTTAGAGACTTAAGCATAGAGAGTTTCTCTCACCGCTTATTCACATAATTTTTGCCTTCGAATGTGTCCATCAAATGAATATAGAATGCACAGCCTCCGGGTGAGTTAGGTTGGGGCGGTTGGTAAGTGAAAAACTTTATCAATATTTTTGCTTATTTGGATTGCTGATTGGTGGAATTGAACAAATGTTTAGATGAAAATGGACATATCGATTATTTCAAATTTTTATTATCAAATTGTGCAAAATAAAATTTTTGTGATGATGTTGTCCAAACTTCAAAGTTATCTGATTGTTAATGACAATTATCCCAAGTGATATCCCACGGGCTAACCCTGCCTGCGATTGAGAGAGGGGAAGTCTTAAACTTTGGGGGTCGGAGAACAACAAATAATTTTGAGACATTTGAAATGAGAGATGGAAGGAGGGAAAAACCTGAAGATTGTAACGTACAACG